CCAATTAAATTCAAGGACAGTGCATATTATTATCAGAGTTGTATTTTTGTTTGCATTTTGACTGCTTGTGTTGTGGTTATTGCAGACATGATGCCTTGAATAAAGGTGTCAGTTTTTTGTGCCAGTTAAAAGGGTAAAACCTATTACTAAGCTAACCTCATCAATGCTACTTCTGTCTTCTAGCGAATAGAAGCCTTTTATTTTGCCTCAATGCTCTACAGGGCTCCCCTGGGCCAAGCTACCCAGGGCCCCAGGGAGGGAGGCCGGGGCTGGGCCTTGCGGTGCCGTGTCTATGGTCACAGTAGCTCGCTCATGTGCAAGTTTGTTGCAAAACAAACGGACAATGTCCCCCTTCACGTGACCGTCTCTCCACAAACTAAAACGCCTTTTTTTAAACACATCCCATCAGCTTTTACGGCCCTCTGGGAGTGCAATAATTGTAGCAGCATTTGATTCAGGGCAAGCAAGACCTGGCCGATTTTGACATTCAGTGTCTCATCAGCAGACTCGCTTGGATCAATAACTGAATCAATCTTTACGAGATGAGGATCTCAGTTTGACGCAGCATATAATACATATCACAAATAAGCTAATGATTAAGGTTTGTTTATGATTATATACATCTTGTTTAAGTACAGCATGTGTCAGTCCTTTGCTAGATGAAGGCCCCTCCATCCCATCTGTGAAAAAGAGCATTATAGCTCATCGGATTCCTCCAGTATAAATACGATTCTTAAACATGTTGACTCTGTCATGGGGATTGTTTGTCAGTGCGGATTGACGAATGACACGGGGGATAGCACAGTATTGGTTCAGATATCCGTGGTCAGAATTGTAACCGCACAGTGCGTTAACCACTGTACCACCACTTATGATCATAAGCCAAATTACTCGGGAAAGCCTCGCCGAGTTTCCAGGCTTTTCTTTCAGCAGCAGAAGTCCTGCTACATTGGTAAAAAAATATTTTGGCAGATCCAAATAACGACGTGAGAGGAAGTTGGAGCTCCAAGGGAGAAAATCGAGGGGGTAGCACCCAGCAATGACATCTCCTGGTCACCTCACAGACCCAATGCCTCTTCTGTTCTTGCGATACAGTAGTATGTGCTGGAGTCAAATGCCAATGCCAAGGTTTGCTAGCCGTGAGAGGGCTTCAGGGGAGTAATGTGTGGATATTCCTCCTCCTTCGAAGGAGCGCGGAATTCAATGGTTTACTATATGGTCCGTAGTTTGGGTTGAATGGCCACAATTGCGCTACTATGGCTTATCATGAATGTATCTTTATGAGTATGAGTCTATGGGTCTCGATGTGTCTCTACGTGTCGCTGGGTCTCGATGTGTCTCTACGTGTCACTGGGTCTCGACGTGTCTCTACGTGTCGCTGGGTCTCGATGTGTCTCTACGTGTCACTGGGTCTCGATGTGTCTCTACGTGTCACTGGGTCTCGACATGTCTCTACGTGTCACTGGGTCTCGACGTGTCTCTATGTGTCACTGGGTCTCGACGTGTCTCTACGTGTCACTGGGTCTCGACGTGTCTCTACGTGTCACTGGGTCTCGATGTGTCTCTACGTGTCACTGGGTCTCGATGTGTCTCTACGTGTCACTGGGTCTCGATGTGTCTCTACGTGTCACTGGGTCTCGATGTGTTTCTACGTGTCACTGGGTCTCGATGTGTCTCTATGGGTATGCTATATGGTCAATGGTTTGGGTTGCATGGCTACAGCCACACCACTGTGGCCTGTCTTTAATTTTCCATTCGTGAACAGAGAGAGATGTGTGCACTGGCCGGTTGATGTCCTGATGCGGTTGATGGTTGGACCAGTGGTCAAAGCCAGAGGGTGCAATGTTTGGGTCTCGAATTAGCCCCATGCCTATAACACCTGGCAAGCACTGGTGATCAACCATTTAAACACCAGACTCAAACCAGCTTAGCTTCCGATATGCAATTAAATTGCGTACGTGAAATTTACACAGTGTAACTTTAGCTGAAGAACCCTGAAGGTGATGTGTGCAAGCCCGTGTCCCCCAGTGTGTGGTTCTTTATAACCTGCATGTAACGTTTACGTGACCCTGGCAGCCACTGCAGGACACAACATTGACGATGTGAAAAACAACGTTGAATCAAATCGTGAGGTGGAATATCAGTAACTCGTAGAATCGCTGGGAGAAGGGTATGCTTTTTACACGTCTCATATACAGGACTGTACTTGTAACGTACAGCATTGTACTTATAGATTAGCAGTAAAAGGGCGGGGGTGAATGGGCAGGAGCGGGCTAACTGGCTGAGCATTACTCTGTCCATAGGCCCTCGAGTAATAAATAATTCAAGTGATATTCCAAGTCCGAAAACTGGCGGGATTTTGTCCATGGTTGAGTGTGTTCATTTTCTCCATGGTTGTGAGTATGTTTAGTCTGTGTGTTTATGGATAGTTGTGTGTGTATTTGTATGTACATATGAGTTTTGATGGTAAGGTCATAAACAGTGATTTGTGATAATGGACCGCTAAGTCTGCATCTCCGCATTTCGAGCAAACCCTCTGAGCATTTTCAGCTGTTGGGCACTGAAGATGGTGAGAATGAATGAGGGAAATGCCCGGTAGCCACTTTTATGAGGACCGCACAGATTGTAGCAACCACTGGAGCATCTCAAGTGGACGTTCAAGATCTTGTGACATCTATCGCAAGAGTAGGCCATTGTGTGCCATTGTCATAGTCCAAATTAGAAGATCATCCGCGAATTAATCAATTTGGATTATGCATTGTAAGAATCGGCCTCTACTGGAAGATGGCATAGCTTGAGCCATCATTGTTGGGCTCTGGGTTATTCATACGTTCAGGATGCCTGACCCTCTGCTCACGGTCATTAAGGACCTTCGTGACGGTGGGCAGGCCCACGTAAAGCTGCGTGACCAGGAAGTCAGCCATTCCCTGTTGACCTCGGGATGCGACAGGGATATTCTCTGGCCTCAAAATTATCAACCATCTCTTTTTGACCGCGTAGTTTGAGGAGATTTCTATGGCTTTCAACAGTGGTATTGCACGCCTGTAGTCCAATACTGTGGAGGCAGGGGTTGGTGGATCGCACAAATGTTGCTAAACTTCCTTCCCGTGGGTGTCGAGGTGCCATACCCTGGCTCGCCAGGAGGAAGGAGTAGAGGAAGTGGACTTATTGATATCTATTTCCATTTGTGTGGGGATAGCGTAGTCCCCTCACATGTTGTTTTTTTCCATGTGCTTCGGTTTCCTCCCACATGTATGAACATTAATTAGCAGAAAATATTTAAACATAAAAAAATGCAGGATCTTCGTGAAAAAAGTCCTACAATTTACCGTGGCCTTGCTGGATAAATAAGCAACAACGATGACTGATTAACCCTGCCATCTGTGCACTTGTGAATGGTAGACCCCTTTATCGGAACACCTGTGCTTGCTTGAAAAACTCAGACAGGTCTATGCTCCATACTGGGTTCTTACCAGGCTGGATAGTTGTGTAGAGCTCAGATTCTTGACAAATGTAAATATGGTTCCCATTAGTTAACTTCTTCAGCAGACGAGGAAGCATTAGCTGGGTCATATATCCCGCATATTAAATTACTGCATGTCCATGCAGTTTATGTTTGGATGCAATTATATGTGTGTGATGTGTACCTGTGTTTATGTATGCTGCCAGCACCACCTTGGAAACACCAAAATAAGCTCGTTATGTGAGGTCTTACCCTCAGCCCCACCAAAACTAAGCACCTGCCTGGGTATTTGTGTCATCAAACACTCCACCCCCTCAACACCCCATTGGTGATGGGGCAGTTTCCCGCATCTCTGATTAGCACGGTTGGCTACGTACGGTGCGAAAGAAGTGCAACATTCATACATGCAGTTGTGGGAGGAGTTTCCATACCTGGGCAGTGTGCAAATTACTAATTCCGGTTTGGCAGAAGAGGTTTCACTCCGAATAAGGCGAGCGGCATTCTCTTTTCATGGGCTGTGTAACGCTGTGTGGAAGCTACCTGGCCCCATTCGAAGCTCTAGGTCTTCTCGGCCACAGGAATGCCGTCTCTTCTCTATGCTTGCGAAAACTGAATCCCTCTAAAGGAACATCTGCACCGGTTTGGAACATTCATGCTCGCCTGTGAGGAGCTCACAGATCCTTGAAAAATCTGAACACATTTCCATCGGTGAGCTCCTGCAGGCAGGATGTTGAACTGAGTGGACTTGTCAATTACTGTTACCAGCTGTGTCGAGATAGACCGCTATGGAGGAGGTTCATGTGGGACTCTACTGGGCAGTTGGAGACAATCACCCTCCGGCAACAACGGAGTGGTGCGCCGGGCAGCTTCAACGCAGCACGTTGGCACAGTAGGGAGCACAGGTGGTGCATCTGTAAGTTATTTCAGTGAGTCAACCCATGGCACCTGGGTCTGTCCCATGACCTGCTCTCAGTGAGCCTTCGACACTGCATGTGGCCTCAAGGCACAGCAGTGGCGTTGTGTCGTCACCGCCAGTTAGTGGCGAACGGCGGTTGTTGTACGTATGCTGACCGTGTGGATGTGTGCACTGTGTAAATATGCGTTTGGCCGTGCGCGTGTGTCAACTGTGTGAATATTTGTGCACGTGTATCTGTACTAACCATGCATGTCTTGTGTGTGGATGGTGTGTGTTTGCTGCCCATGGGCGTTAGATGTTGTGCATGTACCTTCGCCCTATCTAAGTCTAAGAAAGACTGACGATACCACAGTGGCTGCTGCTCTGCACGGCGGTATCGCGGTCCCTTTGCTAGTTTTCCTGCGCTAGAGCTTAAGAACGTTTAGCTACCACGACATCATGATCGTGGCAATCTCTCAAGTTGAGTATGAGAGGCTGTGAAGAAGCACGTTTAGTCCAGACATTGGAATGAATATCCTCGATATAATTTTGCTTGGTATACGCATACGTCTTCTTTTTAATAGTATAGTATAATTTTAACCCATATAATTGTTTGAATGTGTGTGTGTCATTATATTACAGGTCTTCCACATTGCCCAAGCTAGCTTCCTCATCAATGTGTTTGGATTATCATTTATCCTGGACGTTCATCTAAACCAGTGAGTATTCACAGCTTTGCTTTACCCACTATTCAACATGTTATACACACACACACTGCAATTTTATTACCATTCACATCGAATTCTAGCTGTTGGATCCTAAAACCAATTCGGTACCTGCTCATGATGGAGAACGATTGGAAGATCGCGCAGATCACAGTGATGGCTCAACTATTTGTATTTGTTTATTCTCTCTACAAAGTAAAATATTGCGATACAAAATTAGCATTGGTCAGCCCTGAGCCAGTGATGGAAATTCTGCATTGCTATAGGGGTCAGTTTCTCTACAGGGCAGCCGCTGGGTGCCGCGGTGGCGAGATGTTAACTACCTTGCCTGGTGTACAGGAGCTCATGGGTTCGGTCCCGACCCTGACGCCTGTATATTTTGAATTTGCATGTTCTCCCCGTGGTGGCGTGAATTTTTCTCCGGGTTCTCTGGTTTTCCCCTCAACATATCGAATCAAAATGCGTTTAGAGTATTTGGCTGCTATACATTTCCATGCAATAAGCCACTTCGTTGAGATATTTTTTTGTGGAAAAGAGCTATATAGCTCCGAGAGCGCTACCTGCTAAAATTTAAAAAAATAGTTTTGTTTAATTTTAGCTGTTAGGACAACCACTGCTTACTCCTTGTTCAACTCTCGGGACCCGTATTGCATTACTCTGTTCACGCCAAGACTGGCCCTGGCAAATGCCCAGTGGGCCGGTTCACTCCGAGGGCCGGTGAGTCGTTAGGTGTGGTGAAATTGAAAATGTAATCAAAGTAAAAAATATATATATATTGTTTTCATTTTAATATTTCATTACCTCTAATGTGTACGCTTCATGGCCTATTTACACTTTCAGTTGACATTAACTCCCCATATTCGGCAGCCACAAAGATACTTCCTCACCGGTCCATTTGTTTTTTTTGGACCAGCCCAAAGGTTACCTTAGAGATCGTACAGAAATTTGGGCCCGGTGTGTTTACAAAAGCCTGGATCGGTTTCTAGTCCCAGTCCGCGACTGGCTCTGTTCATACAATCTCAATGCAGCGGTTCCTTCTTTGTAAACGATAGCGAATGTCAGTATATTTATGATAAGGCTTTTTTTCTGTGAGAACCTGTATAACTGCAATCTGTTTCTGCTGAATCGAACGTGGCTCCTCATCATCAATAAAAGCCGGCCATAATGATATCCATCACTCATTGATCTTTTCTATTCAATCTGCTTGATAACAGTATGTGTTTGGTCAATGGTAGAGAAACCTTTTCTTAATTTAACTTCTTCTTATGGTTGGTTGACCTCTAAAATGTGCATTAATCAGTTTTCTCGGATCTTAATTAATAATGCATACACGATGCATTAGTCTGTCCTTGTGCTCTAATACGAGTGTCAATGCAAGCTATCAATAGCGTCTTCTTCAAAGTAAATTGACGATGCCCATGTGTAACGCCATCAAAGTGTTACTCCTATGTGTGTTTATGTCGAGAAGAAGATCATTTTGAAATGATCTTACGGATCTTGTGTGGACTGCACGATGCATGTTTAACGAATGCTGGTACAGTCACTTGCTCAAAACCGTGAACAAAAAATGAGTACCACGCAATGCCTTGTGACAATCAGCTCGTAAAAAAATTCAGCTCGGAAGATAATATAGTTTCACAACATAAATAAAAAACTGTGTTAATAATAGCGTTTAATTATGGCTTTAATCTAAATGTTAGAACAGTGTTAAATCCGGCCGAAATGACTACCAATGGATTATCATTTCATGATAAGCCAGCTGAAATGCATTCTCTCAAGAATTTATGTCAGTAGACGTGAATTATCAGTGACGCGCGTTCATGCATTGCACGCATCTTGTTTGATAATGAAAACCTGAACCATTGTAGGGACACATGAGAATTAAAGTGGTTAATGACAAGTCTATCTAATGTTATTGTTTTGTAGCGATCTGCTTTCGTCAAATTACATGGAAAAACATTTTAACGGTGAAGGAAGATCATTGCTGTCGAAGGTAAGAAACTATGTCATCAATGTTAGTATATTTATTCAATTGAGATCGCAATACGTGTTTGCTATTACGCATGTGTCAATCGACACCTCGGACACCACATGTTCCATCCCACGTGATTATTCTAGTGAAATATGTTTTAAAAATGTTTTTAATACACACATCGCAAAGTGATGTCACAGATGTGGATGGGTTTTTTTAGTTTACGCTTGACCTTTGGAAGATTATTTTTTGGAAGTTGAGTGACCAACGATACCGGAGCGGACATGAGAGCTTCGACACGGTGGGAACACGATTGTTTCTCGATGGCAGATCATAAAGAAACATTGCCACGAAACTTTTAACATTTAAAAATAAATTACAATATGTTTAAGCAGTCCTCATAAACCCCCAGATGCAAACGCACTGTCGCACGGCTTAAAATTAATCCTAAAAATTCAATTTTTATTGAAGTGTGAATGTGCAACTCAATGGCAAATAACATCTAATAATACTGTCCCTTCTCCAATCTGAATTTTGGACAATATCTTCTTATGTCGCCTTGAATAAGCCTTGGTGACCATGTATCCCTGCGCCTGGGCCTCTTCAGATTTGTAATTTGTTAGTATCTTCATACAACATGTCATTGTAGCTATTCCGTCTTTACAAATGGTTTAGATTACTGTACTTTTTTTGTTAAGCTCTTAGTTTGTAAGCGCCTGGATGTCTGCATCATTTTACAATGCAATGCCTTTTCATTGTTGACAAATGCGAGGAACAGCGGTGTTTGCTATTCACTTATCTTTTTCTAGAATCTGCTTGGAAGTATGTGTGTGCGGTAAAAAAAATAATGAATGATCTATACAATTCAAGGTTGTGATCCCATTGAAGAATATGTAATTTTTTTGTCCTCGTATTTCCACTTAGTGTGTATTGGGTTTTGTTTTTGTTGCTCTGTCTCGAATCAGTGCCAGATGAGCTATCACTCCAACTGTGGCGCTGCTTAACATCACTTTTGTAGTGTATTTTGCGCCTGTAACGTGGGTCAACTTTGCTTGGTGATTAACTGCTCTAGAGGCATTGTACACCCCTAGCTGCCACTGCTATTCAGTGGCCTAAAATAAAATAAAATGTTTCGCTCCGGATGACCGCTGCAAAGTATTATCTGTATTTTTGTTTAGTGTGCTGCTCTTAAAGGTGCATTGAAAAATGTGATACTCCGACTGATGCTCCTGTTGTTGTGGAGTGACTCATGCAGCCAGCTATGGCTCTAGGGTTTGGTGTTACATGTTATTTATGTAGTTTATTGTAAAAAATTCGGTCACAGTCTCTATGATCACTGTTACATTGCATTTATGGCTTTATTTTGGTGATTTCGAAAAGTTTTTTGGTTTGGCCATGTTTTTGTTTATTGTAGTACGGAGTTAGACTGATAGCCTTAATCTTAGTTGTCTTGTGGTTGTTGTTGTTGTTTGACTTGCATCCCACTGGGATTTTTGCACACAGCGTTGGTGTACGGTGCTATTTCAGGAATATTTTGATGTTTTTGCCTGGATGTTCTGTTTGCACAGTCACACATAGTCACTTTAAGATGTTTTCTTGTTCATGTTTTTGTTTTTTGTTTGTTGCGGTTGCACCCGATTCAAGAGCCGAATGGCTCACAGGGCTGTACCAAATACATGGAACAGTCTCGTTTGCTGTAACATCAACATCAAGGTTTACATTTGGGGACTCAGTGGGGGGGTCACTCATTCCCCTCTGCTGCTCCCATGGTCTGGAACTGCCCCCAGCCATCAGTGCTTCCGCCTCTCTCTCTCTCTGTATAATAATAATAATTCAACTGTATAATTGCGCATTCCATCCTAGGATCCCAATGCGCCAATGCATTAAAAACAGCACACAAAAAACATAACCAGGGCAACCGACCAAACTGAAGAGGGTAGGCCACTTTAAAGAGATGCCCACTGTTTCTGTAGAGTCGAGACGTGATACATTTTAAACGCTACGTGAATCCAAATCGTATTGTAACGCATTATAACTAATATCCCCAGGAGAAGTCAGTTGGTTTGTGCCATGGAATTATGTTCTTAATATGACCGACATTAATCAATTAACGGGTTTTGTTTTACTCATTGGTTTTTTTCGGTAAAGTCACGTATGTAGAAATACAATAAAATTATATTAAAACAAAAAACAATCACGACGTTTCGATCACAACGCAAGCGATCTTCATCAGGTGTCAAGAACAAATCACGGAGGTAAATACAACAAAAAGATGAGAGACGAGAATTCAACAAACCTGAAAAAACATTATGTGAAGCCACATCCAGTCAGGCCAACAACACAGTGTGACACTTCCTGGCGGACCACGAATTTCAGAAGAGTGTTAAATTTCGTGTTCAACCTTTGGATTGCACATACCAGCATATATAGAATGAAAAATACGAGGTACACGGTCAGTAGAAATACATATACAAGTCCACCAAGAGGTTTTGTTTTTTTTAAGTTTAATATATGTCGTGCGATTTCCTCTTCCCTGTTATTCTGCGCGGTGTAAACGCATTGCCCCGTTGTGTGCTGCAGGGTGGAGAGCACTGCTACTACCAGGGGAAGATACGTGGAGTCGTCTTCTCCGTCGTGGCAATCTCCACTTGCCAGGGATTGCAGTACGTGACGAAACGCTCCTTTGATGCGTGCGTTTATATAACGACTGTAATATAGGGGTTTTTTTTATTTTAGATCGCGTGGATATAAATGTGTCGTTAAACCCGCCACCACCCGACACAACCGATTAGTAAGGTTTGTCACGTAAACATGAACGTGGCCAATTCGTTACTCGTACAACACACCGGTGTGTTGAAGAGCAAAAATCCACAACGTTTACAATCTGAGTGCGACGTTTTGCCAGTAATTTACAAATGGCTTCATCGGGCGACAGCCAGATAACGACTGTACTATGTACGGGGCTAATTCATGAACACCCCATGTCACGTGTAATATATATATGTGTGTGTGTGTTACAACTTAAGGATGTGCCTGGCGCTCCACAAGCGGAACGCTTGAGCAGCAGATCACGTGCAGTCGGTACTTGCTCAAGTCAGCCAGCTTCCACGCTCTGGCTACCGGTTCAAGTCGGCAAGGGGGGTAGAGACATTCGGCTGTGTGGATGTGAAATCTGCTGCGTGGGTTTTGGTGCTTCCTGCTGTACAACTTTCTGACATGTCCTTACGTAGCACATTGCGCATTGTTCGGCACAATGTTCCGAGGTTTCGCTCCATGTGATGGGGGTCTCTTCGGCAACCGATCAAACCGAACCGAATCAGTTCCTGAAGAAGCTCCCAGTATGAGGATTGGCATCTGCGTTCAGGTGACAGGAATTGATTGGTACTGGGATCTATCTGGTGGTGGTGGTGCGTGGAACTTCGTTTTACAGATCATTGCACAGTCTTGGTTCTTTCGGTAAAGTCACGTGACTTTACCGAAAGAACCAAGAATATGAATCCCTGCATTTCACGAAAGCTTTAAATCAAAGTTTACTGCACAGTTTTGATAGACCCAGGTTGACTGAGAAACATGTCCAGGTTTGGTATACAGTGAAGAAGGTGGAATCTTTACTTGAGGTGGTGGAATAGTGAGATAGTCAACTCTAGATTAAAAAAAAAAAAGGTCGCGAGTCTTTAAGTGAAAGTCCGGTGGTGTCGACTTGGCACATCCTCTCTCGTTGGCCGATAACGCGAGCGGCACGAGCTTGTCAGCGGTCTTCGTAAAGAAGCGGACGTTGCGATGGGTTGAAGCACGAGAGCAGGATGCAGGTGGCAAACCAAAGGAGGACGTCAAATAGACGCCCAGAGGCTTGCAACCAAGGTGGCGATGAGAGTGAGAGCTGAGCCTGGAGGACAGGTAGAGGTTACGCAACACATGCAGGGTCTAACGGAATGAAAGGCGAGTTATAGCGGTCTCAGTGGCCTTGGCTATGCTGCGGTCTCGACCTTGTGAAGTATGCCGTATTCCAAACGTGAGTCTGTCTCTATATAAAACAAAGATCCCTCGTGTAGCCTTAGAAAAATATTGGGGCAAGTGTTGTTAGCGAGCACCTATGAAGGTCGGGACACGTGGGGGTGGGTGGCCAGCACCACGCCCCCAGTGACAATGTTTTTAGGGGTCGTCCATAAATGACGTCACGCTGGGGGGGGGTCAGACATTTGTGACGATGGGGGAGGGGGGGGGTTGAGAAATGTGACGTCACATCAAAATGCGCAGCTTTAAATAAATATAGACAACACGTTCTACTTAATTAAATAGACTTTTTAATAAATGTTTTCTCCTACAACATCAGAGTGCAGCGCCACATTAAATACGTACTACAATGACAATAGTTTAAAGCGATTTGAAGCATGTTTTATATATTTGGGGGGGGGGCAGAGCTTTGTGACGTCATATTTGAGGGTGGGTCTGACTTTTTGTGACGCCGTGTGACGAAGGGGGGGGGGGTCAAAAATCGTCCAAAATCGCGTGACGTCATTTATGGACGGCCCCTTACACACCGCACCAGATATTCATTTAAGGCTGAGTCGACCCAGGGGAGGCCCAAGACCCGATCAGATGATCGCCACTGATGTTGGCCGAGAACGGGAATCAAACTCGGTTCACCGGATTCATAGGGCAGCACGCTAACCGCTACTACCGCTCGTCATATATGTTTCTACTATATGTACACACACGTGCGCGCGTGCTAGCGGGAAGCCCTTTGAGATTGAACGGTAATAAATTATTTCGAGGGCCTTGCGGTGATTTCGTCAGCCTGCACCCCACTCCCTTCACAGCCCCTCCCCGATGGCACATGGCCTGTCCGTTGTAAGATTTTGAATGGGGCTTGCTTCACACGCTGAGCTATCTTTAAATGATTGAGTGAAAACGCGGCACTAGGACCAACTTATTTATGTTATTCACGCCTCTTAACCCAGGAAAGCCTCAATGATGTTGCTCAGGAGGGTCCTCCGATATGATCGCTGTAGGGGGCGATGTTGCTGCTGTTGCCGATTTGTATCATCATTTGCAGAGGTAATTTTTCAGCAATCGGATTTTTGGCCAATAATTGTATTGCCTGTTACATGGTGGCGAGATGTTAACCGCCTCGCCTGGCATGCAGGAGGTCGTGGGTTCGATCCCAAATCCTGACGTTTGCATGTTCTGCCCGTGGTCGCGTGGATTTTTCTCCGGGACCTCCCGTTTTTCCCTCCACATTTAGAATCAACATCACGCGTTTAGAGTATTTGACTGCGATACATTTACACGCCATAAGCCACTTCGTTGAGCTATCTTTTGAGATAGCCAGGTCGCTTCCGAAAAATAGCTACATAGCTCAATGGGCCTAACCTGGGAAAAATAAAAAAAATAGTTGAGTGATTTTCAGTTGTAGTTTGTAGCTGCTGGGCAATGTGCAGAATTGTGGCCTCTCGCACATTGCCCAAGCCTCTGCGAGTGCAGAGGGCATCGGAGAGCTGCAGCAGTGTGGACTTGCTTCCCCTAATGTGCGTGGCTGAACGTGTATGTGAGCACACGCTGCCGTGCACGTGTGTCACAAAGATCGCAGCGTGATTGGTCGACACGGGCCCTCCGTAGGTGGGGATTGGGTCCCATGGGGGGGTTGACAGTCGATTGATTTCGCTTCAGAGTAGAAATAGGAGATAGAGGGCAAGGTGTCAGTCGTAAACAAAGTTTCATTTGTAATATATCAACAATTTACTTGGGGAAGCCATTGACAATGGAAATTATAATGGCTGCACTGTGCCTTGCTGATAATAGGGTTTGCAGATGAGGAGGTGATGCTTGGAAGAGTTCTAGGGTATTCGTTTTTTTTAAACCTATAAAAATAGATTAAAATATGTAAATTTAGACAAGTAACATATACAACCACCGTAAATCTTTGCTGTAAAGAAACGTCCGTAACTGTACAATGACTTTTGGAAGGCACATTGAGCACTGCAGCCGATTGAAACCGTTTTTTTTGTTGGGTGATTGCAAGCGAGTTTAATTTTGCCACAAAATCTCTCCCACCCACGGGGAGCGCCTTAATTGGGACGGTGGCGTGCCCATCCGGATAACGGAAGAGTCGGAAAATACAGCGCCCCAACCTTCTAAACGTTTTATTTTGCAAAGCCATCACACACGGCATCCGGGCGTGCTGAGCGTATGAGTCCCTGATTGTGCCACCAGACTTGCAAATGCTGTAGGATCCACTCTTCAACACACCGGCGGGCTAAAGTAGTGAGCTATTTGTCTTTTGTCAACGTGACACATTTTTTTACTGTTTGGCCGTGTCGGGTGGTGGAGGGTTACGACACATTTATAAATAACGCGATCTAACCCAAAAACCTTTATTATGAATAATATTGGTCGCGAAAGCGTGCCACGTGTTAAACAGAATTTGCCCGTTGTCTTCGGCAGTCGTTCGTGATGTGCACTCACAAATTTGCCGGTGGCTCGATCTTCCATTTGTGGAGGACAAATATTCACACCTTCTATGTGTTGCATTGATGTCACCCTATGTGCTATTTGTTTTTTTACACCTGATGAAGATCGCTTGTGTTGCGGTCGAAACGTCGTGATTGATTTATTTTAATGTAATTTTATGGTATTTCTACATACTTTGACTTTACCGAAAAAAACCAATGAGTAATTTATGCAGTCACGAAAGCTTTAATTCTTTATTGAGATGATCTCCCCCATATAAATCCTCGTGTCCCCTAATCGTGGTCCACACTTGGCTGGGGCAGCGAGTCCAAACCCGCCCCCACCACTTTCTACAGTCCTGCCGCGTCGAATTCGAGTTGTTGCTCGGGAAGTTTCCGTTCCCTTCCAATGCCGATTGGCGTATCGTGTTGTGTAACAATTAAAAAAAAAGGACTGAGACGAGACCACGCCGCTGCGTACTGAATCATCCCGCGCATATGCCCAGATTCCCACAACCGCTCAGACGCGTAGCTGAAAAAAGTAGTTTGTCGTCGACCGCTCAGAAGCCGCGTCGCAAAAGGTGCGCTCCGCATCCTAATGGACGCGCTCCGCGTTATAACGGGGGGGGGGGGGGGGGGGGGGGGGGGGGCTTGTTGTCGCACTGTGCAAAGACGAAGTGTGCCATTGTGAAAACGAATTGTGCGAAAGTGTGTCAAGCGAGGACTTACCGTACATCATTTGTCACAAAAAACTGTGGACTTTCGTCGATAACACTGCCGCAAAAAAAGGAACAAATATATGACGGGTGACATTTCGGGTAATGGCCCTCATTGGACAGCGGTGGCTGCGCAGGTGGCGTGTAATTGAGCACTGCGGAGGCAGCAACGAGGGTTGGCGAATCGCACACGGACGTTGTGAAACTCCCTTCCCATCCTGGGCGTCACAGTGCCATACGGCCTTCTCGCCGGGAGAAGGCCGTTCAGCAAGTGGACCAGACGCCATTCTGTTTCCCCCCTGTAAGTGTTGCCCCATTGCACGTGTGGATTTTCTCCACGGCGTTCCGGTTTTTTTCTCTCACACATATGAACACTAAAGCATCTGAAAATAAAAAAAACATAATGCGGTGCCCACCTGACAAAGAGTCCGATGGCTCAGTGTGCCTCTCTTGGATAAATAATAATAAATAAGTAAATTCTTCACAGCATATAGAGGGGCTCTCTATGTCTTTGCTGTGCGAGAGTGAACCATTTCCAAAGATATCACCTATTAAATTTTGATTTAAAGCTTTCGTGACTGCAGGGATTCATATTCTTGGTTCCTTCGGTAAAGTCACGTAGAAGGGAAACAATAAAATAATTTTAAAAAATTATTGTATTGTTCTATATTTTTTTATATTTTATTGTTTCCCTTCTACGTGACTTTACCGAAAGAACCAAGAATATATATCACCTATTAATTATGTACTTTTCCTTTTAAGGCCACAGTGCTGTTGACAAATGTGTGGAGTTTATTTTGTGCTTGTGCACCACTGCCGATGCGGTGTCACCAAATATTAATTTGTTACGATCAACAATGTGTTGTTGCAGTACCTTGAAACATTCTCAGGAATATATTCCTGTAAAACAAAACAGCAAAGTATAAAGCTATAGATATGCACGACCATATTTCTAATCGATGTTGTTGTTTTCCATTTTGCAGTGGAATGTTTGGTGATGGGAACTTTACTTACCTGATACTTCCTTTGAGAAAGAGCAGTAAACAGGTAAGATGAATCCATGATAGAGGTTTTCTTGGATTAGATTACGTAAATATGTGTCGTTAAAACCCGCCACCACCCAACACAGCCAACTAGTAAGGGTTGTCAGGTAAACAGAACGTGGCCAATTCGTTACTAGTACAGCACGCCGGTGTGTTGGAGAGCCAGGTCACAACATGTACAATCTGAGTACGACGTTTCGCCAGTAATTACAGCTAGCTTCATCAGGCGACAGACATATCTGTGGAGAAGTCTTACTGTTTCGTTCCTTATATAGAGGTAAGATGAATATGATGTTATAGTTCAAAGGTCTGCTCAGCATCTATTAAACGAGGGTGGTTGATCTTTTGGGCCTGATTCAAGTAGAGTTGGTTTTAACACTTCATGCAGAATTACACAAGTTCTGCAAAAGCGATTCTGCCAAATTCACGAGACATTTGTCATCCAGATTTTGCAATGAGGGATCAATTGAGCCTCATTCCCCAAAGTACCCTGTAGCCAATTGGTAGCCGGAGGAGTGCCATGGGAAATTGGGGCCACGTGTGTGTGTGTGAGAGATGCTTGGTGTCGCGGTAGTGTAGCGGTTAGCACACTGCGCTATGAACCCGGAAACCCGAGGTCCGACTCCCGCTCATGGCCAACACCAGTGACGATTAATTGAGCCACTCCTGGGCCTCTCCTAGGTCGACTCTGTCTCAAATGAGCACCTGGTGTGGTGTGTAACCATTGCCACTAGGGAGACAAAGGCGATCGGGCGTGGTGCTGGCCCCCACCGGTACTGTTCCATCCTTCATAAGGATTTCATAACAACACTTTGGGGCCGTCCATAAATGACGTCACGCGATTATGCACAATTTTTTACCCCCCCCCCTTCGTCACACGGCGTCACAAAAAGTCAGACCCCCCCTCAAATATGACGTCACAAAGCTCTGCCCTCCCCCCCCCCAAAAAATAAAACATGCTTCAAATCGCTTTAAACTGTTGTCATTGTAGTGCGTATTTAATGTGGCGCTGCACTCTGATGTTGTGGGACAAAACATTTATTAAAACGTGTATTTAATTAAGTAGAACGTGTTGTCTATATTTATTTAAAGTTGCGCATTTTGATGTGACGTCACATTTCTCAACCCCCCCCCCCCTCGTCACACATCGTCACAAATGTCTGACCCCCCCCCCCCCCCAGGTGCGTGACGTCATTTATGGACGGCCCCTTTCCTCAACAGTCTATTAAGACTATATGGGGGTTCTTTGTATATGTGGGTGTTTGTGAGTGCAAGAATGTCATTGACACGCTCTTTGGACAATACGTGACTTTTGCTGTGCATACCACGATTGTTCAACAATGGCATACCGGTGACATATTCTTAGTTTTTTCGGTAAAGTCACGTTGAAGAGAAACAACAAAATAACAAAATATATATAAAACAATAAAAAATTCTCACGACGTTTCGACCATAACTCAAACGGTCATCATCAGATGTGTCGGTTTGCATAAATTTATTTTGAAAACGGCATATTTATTTATATATATAAAAATAACGTTTGCGTCACGCGCAACGATTGGCTGTTTGCCTGGACTAGTCCATCTATTTTTTGAAAAGAGGAGGGGGGAGACGAAATTTGTTTTTATGTATGCTGTCTGAAAGCCACTGTAAGCGTGAACAATCAATCAAGAACTGAAATGATTTATCAAATCTTTCCAATGATTGCTAAGATAGAATCCATCTTCTCGGTTGAAATTGTCTCTGTGTTTGTATATGTGGATAGCCTCATGAACGAATCTCTCATGGAAGCCAGATGGCTTACAAAGAACCTCCGTCTTGGAAAAGTCAATGGCATGTGAGCCTACTGAATTAGAACAATGATCTGCTACGGCCGAGGTGTTGGTCCTACCGTGTTTAAGGTCTGCTTTATGTTCACGAATGCGGTCCGAGATATGGCGTTTGGTTTCTCCAATGTAACTACTACCACAGAGGCAACTTAGTTTGTAGACACCAGGGTACTGTATGTCCGGAATCACATCTTTTACAGACGGAACCAGATTATGGATTTTATGTAATGTGTTGAAACGGACCTGGATCTTGTGTTTATTCAAGATTTTGGAGATCTTTTTGTGATCCCTGCAATCTAGGGTAAAGTGATGGTTTTGAAAGGCTCCTCAAGAGGGTTCTTCTTCATGGTTTGAGTGATAGCTTTGCGGATTGTATAGTCGGAGTAACCATTAGCCCTAAGAGCTTGGTGTACGTGCTTGAGTTCACTGCTTATGTGTTCCTGGTCGGATATGCATTGGGCTCTATGATACAGAGTCTTGATGAGAGAATTCTTCTGTGATGGATGGTGGTGGGAATCCGGTTTCAGATAAGCATCCGTATGGGTAGCTTTCCTGTAGACAGAGTGGCTCATTGAACCATCAGGTCTCTTTTTAATTAGGACATCCAAAAAAGGTATCTTGCCATCTATTTCTACTTCCATGGTAAATCTGATGGCTGGGTGTATGGAATTGATGTGGTCGAAGAATTGGTCTAGAGCAGGCCGGCCATGTGGCCAGATGACAAAAGTGTCATCCACGTACCTCTTCCATAAGGTTGGGCGCAGAGTGGCAGTCTGGATGGCGTCAGTCTCAAATTTCTCCATGAAAATGTTAGCTATAACTGGAGAAAGGGGGGAGCCCATTGGGGTGCCCTCAGTTTGTTTGTAGAAAGTTCCATTCCAAGTGAAGTATGTATTGGTTAAACAGTGTCTCACCAGGGGGGGTACCTCAGTGTTTAGTCCTTGATGAACCAAGTCTTCAATGATTGCAATGGTGTCAGGTACAGGAACCTTGGTGAATAAGGAAACTACATCAAAACTGACAAGCAGGTCGTCTGGGGACAGGGAAATACCCTTGATTGTTGATACCAGGTGAGTAGAATTTTGTACCGCAGAGGTGGTCTTTCCAGTGAAAGGACGCAGGATTTCAGACAAAAAACGAGCTAGTTTGTAGGTGGGGGAGCTGATAGTAGAGACTATGGGACGAAGAGGTGTATCAACTTTATGTATTTTTGGTAAGCCGTATAATCTTGGTGGCCTGGCAGCAGAAGGTTTCAACGAAAACTGTTTAGATTGATCAATTAATGCGGTTGAATCAGAAATTATTTTGTTGGTTTGTGTGACGAGGCTGTTGGTGGGATCTCTTTTTATTTTTGTATAACTACCATCGTCGAGTAATTCTTTAATTTTGTTGTTGTATTCTATTTTATCCATGATAACAGTAGCATTGCCTTTGTCAGCTGAGAGAACTACAATATCATTCCTCTTTTTTAATTTATATAATTTAAAACGCTCATCTTTGCTGAGGTTGCTAGCTGGCATCTTAGCGTTTTTGAGGGTTGCAGCGATTTCAGATCTTGCTACGTCTGCAGCGATGTGACCCAGGCCCCTGAGAGCAACGTCTACTTGGGCAATTATATCATTAACTGGTATGTGTTTAGGTGTGACTGCAAAGTTTAGACCTTTAGCTAAAACGGATTTCAGACCATTGGAAATAGAACTGTTACTGCGATTAATTACGACTTTATTAACGTCTAACTTTTTGGTGTGTGGGTCCGGTCTTTTGTTGAAGAGGAGGTTAAATTTGGAAATCAGGTTTTCCTTACATTTGGTCGACATAGTAGCAGCTGAAGAGGCAGTCATATTGTCTACATGTTCCCAATCCGATGTGGACATTATTGCCGTCAATGATAAGTGTGATTTGTAGAGTGTCTTGTCTTCTGTGCGTATAAGACTTATACGCACAGAACTAGATCAGTTAGACAAGACACTCTACAAATCACACTTATCATTGACGGCAATAATGTCCACATCGGATTGGGAACATGTAGACAATATGACTGCCTCTTCAGCTGCTACTATGTCGACCAAATGTAAGGAAAACCTGATTTCCAAATTTAACCTCCTCTTCAACAAAAGACCGGACCCACACACCAAAAAGTTAGACGTTAATAAAGTCGTAATTAATCGCAGTAACAGTTCTATTTCCAATGGTCTGAAATCCGTTTTAGCTAAAGGTCTAAACTTTGCAGTCACACCTAAACACATACCAGTTAATGATATAATTGCCCAAGTAGACGTTGCTCTCAGGGGCCTGGGTCACATCGCTGCAGACGTAGCAAGATCTGAAATCGCTGCAACCCTCAAAAACGCTAAGATGCCAGCTAGCAACCTCAGCAAAGATGAGCGTTTTGAATTATATAAATTAAAAAAGAGGAATGATATTGTAGTTCTCTCAGCTGACAAAGGCAATGCTACTGTTATCATGGATAAAATAGAATACAACAACAAAATTAAAGAATTACTCGACGATGGTAGTTATACAAAAATAAAAAGAGATCCCACCAACAGCCTCGTCACACAAACCAACAAAATAATTTTTGATTCAACCGCATTAATTGATCAATCTAAACAGTTTTCGTTGAAACCTTCTGCTGCCAGGCCACCAAGATTATACGGCTTACCAAAAATACATAAAGTTGATACACCTCTTCGTCCCATAGTCTCTACTATCAGCTCCCCCACCTACAAACTAGCTCGTTTTTTGTCTGAAATCCTGCGTCCTTTCACTGGAAAGACCACCTCTGCGGTACAAAATTCTACTCACCTGGTATCAACAATCAAGGGTATTTCCCTGTCCCCAGACGACCTGCTTGTCAGTTTTGATGTAGTTTCCTTATTCACCAAGGTTCCTGTACCTGACACCATTGCAATCATTGAAGACTTGGTTCATCAAGGACTAAACACTGAGGTACCCCCCTGGTGAGACACTGTTTAACCAATACATACTTCACTTGGAATGGAACTTTCTACAAACAAACTGAGGGCACCCCAATGGGCTCCCCCCTTTCTCCAGTTATAGCTAACATTTTCATGGAGAAATTTGAGACTGACGCCATCCAGACTGCCACTCTGCGCCCAACCTTATGGAAGAGGTACGTGGATGACACTTTTGTCATCTGGCCACATGGCCGGCCTGCTCTAGACCAATTCTTCGACCACATCAATTCCATACACCCAGCCATCAGATTTACCATGGAAGTCGAAATAGATGGCACGATACCTTTTTTGGATGTCCTAATTAAAAAGAGACCTGATGGTTCAATGAGCCACTCTGTCTACAGGAAAGCTACCCATACTGATGCTTATCTGAAACCGGATTCCCACCACCATCCATCACAGAAGAATTCTCTCATCAAGACTCTGTATCATAGAGCCCAATGCATATCCGACCAGGAACACATAAGCAGTGAACTCAAGCACGTACACCAAGCTCTTAGGGCTAATGGTTACTCCGACTATACAATCCGCAAAGCTATCACTCAAACCATGAAGAAGAACCCTCTTGAGGAGCCTTTCAAAACCATCACTTTACCCTACATTGCTGGGATCACAAAAAAGATCTCCAAAATCTTGAATAAACACAAGATCCAGGTCCGTTTCAACACATTACATAAAATCCGTGATCTGGTTCCATCTGTAAAAGATGTGATTCCGGACATACAATACCCTGGTGTCTACAAACTAAGTTGCCTCTGTGGTAGTAGTTACATTGGAGAAACCAAACGCCATATCTCGGACCGCATTCGTGAACATAAAGCAGACCTTAAACACGGTAGGACCAACACCTCGGCCGTAGCAGATCATTGTTCTAATTCAGTAGGCTCACATGCCATTGACTTTTCCAAGACGGAGGTTCTTTGTAAGCCATCTGGCTTCCATGAGAGATTCGTTCATGAGGCTATCCACATATACAAACACAGAGACAATTTCAACCGAGAAGATGGATTCTATCTTAGCAATCATTGGAAAGATTTGATAAATCATTTCAGTTCTTGATTGATTGTTCACGCTTACAGTGGCTTTCAGACAGCATACATAAAAACAAATTTCGTCTCCCCCCTCCTCTTTTCAAAAAATAGATGGACTAGTCCTGGCAAACAGCCAATCGTTGCGCGTGACGCAAACGTTATTTTTATATATATAAATAAATAAATAAATATGCCGTTTTCAAAATAAATTTATGCAAACCGACACACCTGATGATGACCGTTTGAGTTATGGTCGAAACGTCGTGAGAATTTTTTATTGTTTTATATATATTTTGTTATTTTGTTGTTTCTCTTCAACGTGACTTTACCGAAAAAACTAAGAATATGAATTACTGCAGTCACGAAAGCTTTAAATCAAAATACCGGTGACAGTTGATGTTATTTCGCCAAGAAGAGTGGAGTGATTTAAATTGCCATTTTCCTATCCATGCTCCCTCCTTTTAAACAAACCGCACTGACCAGCACGGTGAAGTATGGTTAAAGAACCCCAGTTATGGAAGAGGCCTTCATCCAGCAGCGACTTAACGAACGGCTGTAAATTTTATTTTTTATATATATTTTTATAGCTTTACAAGGACGGACTGCAACGTGTCAGACACGATTATGAATAATTAAGTAACCCCTCGATGATTCACTTTTGATGTGTGCAGGACAAGGAACACCCACATGCCGTCTACAGAAACACGGGACTGGGCCCCGCGATCAGGCCATTTGCTTACGGTCAGAAACGACCAAAAACATCTCCCCCGCTCGTTTTGGCATCTCACGCCGCATGTAGACGCGCATCTCGTGAGTGCGTGCGCGTTGTACCTCCCTTGGCAATTCAGCGGTGGCGCGGCGATTATCACGCTGCGCGATTAACCCGGGCGACCTGGGTTTGATTCTCCGGTGACGACAAACGTCTGTAGCAAGTGACGTCTGACACCGGTCCTGCATGTCCCTCCTTTACCAGCCCACGCTGTACAGCGGTGGTGAAGTATAGTCAGAGCAACCCCCACGCTCCACAGAGCGCGGGGGAGTCCTTCATCCAGCAGTGGATTGACAAATGGCTGCAAATTGTGATCATGTTATTCGTCCCCTTTGTAAATCGATAAGAAGAGTGGTGTGATCGACACTGCTTGTTATTCACAATTGAACCCAGATGGGAATACCGTGGCGAGGGTTATGGTTAGAGGTGGGCTTCACAAAGGAAATACCGTTCGTTGTCTTATTTTGCTGTTTTGTGTTTGACCAGGTAAGGCCCACTACGCTATATAGCCCTTTTTCACAAGTGATCTGATCACAATTGATAGCTCAACGAAGCGGCTCATCGCGTGGAAATGTATAATAACCAAATGTTAATAAACGCATGTTTCTAAATGTGGAGGGAAAAACTGGAGGAACCAGACAAAAATCCATGCGACCATGAAACTCCAAATATATATCGAACCCACGACCTCCTGTATGCCGGGCCATTACCCTAAATGTCACCTATCATATATTTGATCTCGCCAGCGTGGCGCTCAGCGCGTGTCGTGGGATTCGTGGCGTGGCTCTCAGCAAGTTTACTGCCCAGTGCATCCAAGGGACGAGGTCACTAGGCTGTAGCTGTTCATTGCAATGGCTACTGGGTGAGATGAACTGGCCATCTGGCACAACAATGACACTTTTGGCCATGATTACATTCATCAAGGGATGCAACGTTGTTATGGCTCTGCCTACTTGGTTGAACTGAATTAAATACATATAAATAGCCATGAGCCAGAATAAGAATAGGTTTTAACTTTGCTTGCAATAAAACAGGTGTTAAGATGTTCAAACACCAAATATATACCTTTTTGCAAAGCATCAAGTCTACATTAACCACACGTACTTGTGGCAAAACATACAAAGAAACATGCTCTGATATATGCATTGTCTCGTGGCCATGAGCCACTAAGAGGAATTAAGAAACTGCTGTTCATAGTGTCGGTAAGTGTATGTGTCCATTTTGTGATTTTTAATGGCGTCTCACGAGTCACCCGCAGTAGCTGTGGTTCAGTGTTTTATTGATACAAATATCTTTTTATACAGAACGCACATCGCTCAAACAAGATCCTGACGTGAAGAGTGATGTACTCCGTACAATTTCTATCAAAAGGATAAAGAGGATGGTATGTATGCATTTCTATATGGAAGTTAGACAATTATATCATCACTTAATATTACATAACATATTAACTTGCACAATTTGCTGAGTTTGTGTCTCCTTGTGTGTGCATAAGGACACTAAATAACTTATTAACCCCGTTTGGGGCACATGAATACGATTGATTCACTCCACTGTAGATTCCATTGGTTCAAACCACCGTCGCTTCTATTTCATTCACTCGACCGTAGATGCAATAGATTCACACCACTGTAGGTCAAATCTATTATTGGCAATGTTAGTTGTTTAGATTCACACCAGGCCATTGTTTAAATATTAATTTACCGTTAGACATTACAATAATATATATTGAAACCGCCGATTAGGATGTAGTCCACGTTGATCAATTTAAATTATGATTAATGATAGAAAGAACCAAAGAAGATGAATAGGTTTTTAGGCTTTTCCCATTTTTTCTGGCAACAAAACAGGTATTAAGATGTTAAAACACCAAACTGAAACCTTTTACAAGGAATCATGTCTGCATTAACCCCAATACTTGTGGTCAGAATGCAAACAAAAAACATACTCTGATAATATATGCATTGTCCTTTAAACTGTTTGGTCCACACCAGAGACAGCTTTCTTTTGAGCCTCGTGTTAGACCAGAGGACGCCAAAGCCGACTGCTGGTCTAACATGCCTTTGGGGTCCTCTGGTCTAACACCGTTTGAGACGAGGCTCAAAAGAAAGCTGTCTCTGGTGTGGACCAATCAGCTTCAAGGACAATGCATATATTATCAGTGTCTTTTGTTTGCATTCTGACCACAAGCATTGTGGTTAATGCAGACATTATTCCTTGTAAAAGGTTTCAGTTTGGTGTTTTAACATCTTAACACCTGTTTTGTTGCCAGAAAAAAGGGGAAAAACCTATGATCATATTTTGGTACTGGCAAAGGAGGTCCATTGATTATAATTCATGTTTGGCGGTTCAACTGATTATCCAGTTTGATAAAAAAAATTCCATAAAATCTGATTTAATTAAATTTGGAAACAAATAGTTGGTCCTCCCCTAAGAGATGTAGGCCTTCTTAGCCATGGCTCAGCTCAAGCTTGGCTCTGGCTCAAGTGAGCTGGCTCAAAGCCACGCTTAACTTGAGCCGGCTCTAGGCACGGTCCCAGCCACGCTCAGGATTTCAATGAGCCGAACCCTGAGCTGTGACACGGCAGTGCAGCTCACTCACTCACCATTAGAAAGCCAATGAGGCTCAGGGCCTGCGCTGAGCCACTCTCAAGGTCGAGTCGAGCCACGACGACGAATAACGGCCATGAAACATCGCAAAAGGTGTTCTTTTTAAAACATAGTAGTAGGCTTTCGCGACCAATATTATTCATATTAAAGGTTGTTCTGCGTTAGATCGCATGAATGTGTCGTTAAACCCATTACCACCCTACACAGCCAATAAGTAAGGGTTGTCACGTAAATAAAACGTGCCAATTTGTTACTACTTCAGCGGACCGGTGTGTTAGAGAGTAGAGCCACAACATTTAAAATTTGAGCACGAAGTTTCGCTGGAAATTACAACCAACCTCACCAGGCGATTTTTCTCAGAATTGTGGCAAAGAAGTTCAACATACATGAATGTCCTCATGTGCGGCCTCTGTGTCCTGCGCTCTAAATGTGATTTATCCGGATAAGAGTACTGCATATACAAATATACCATGAGCCATATCAAAATACTCACAAAGTCACAACTTCAAACCAGAAATGTACTGACGTTTGAAAGCTTTCCTTCTTAGATTGACACGAAGAGTGCTTATGATGAAACAAAATATGTGGAGCTGGCCATAGTGAATGACTACTTCATGGTGAGTCGATCACTTCGTGAATGTGAACACGTTTTTTTTTGTTGGCGCATAACGGTGGCACATTTTCCTCTGTTAACCTTACACAACGTAATTAAAGTGTCTGTTGGACGTGCAGTGCTCTCGGGAGAACAAACTGTCCTTGCAGATTTCACACGCTAAGACGTCCATTATTATTATTAATATCATCCTCAAATACCTTTGTTTACTTTCATCTTTCGAGCCCTATATCCTGAGGACAATGACTATTACAGAGGGACACGCAGACAAAATCCTGTGAAATCCATCGAATGGATTTTTGGAACGTGATCGAGTGCTCATGTTTATTCCATTGTCAAGTCCATTTAGTGAAAACATTGAGTGTGATCTGTAGAATATCTCCACACTCTGGAGAGGGGGTACTAGGATATGCAACTGCCTACTCATATACCAAGAACTCGGTAACTCGGCTGTGACGTGGCAGACTGCGCTGTCAAGCAGGCGAGGCAAGGATGCTAAGTTGAGTGAACTTAAACACTTTAGGGTCATGGCTTATGAGAAGAAGAAGAACAACAACAACAGTATATTTCGATTTAAAGCTTTCGTGACTGCAAGGATTAATCTTCTTTGGTTCTTTCGGTAAAGTCACGTAGAATGAGAATAAAATAATAAATTGATAAAATAAAATAACACAATCTAAATTCTCACGACGTTTCGGCCACAACACAAGCGGCCTTCATCACCTGATGAAGGCCTTCATCACCTCGCCTACGTGACTTGAGGAGGGTACATATTGTATTATTTAATTATTTCTCTTCTACGTGACTTTACCGAAAGAACCAAAGAAGAAGAACAACAACAGTGTACAATACAAGTTTGATTTTTGTAAGTATCCAAATGCAGAAGAGTGTCGAGACGTTGCACCAGAGTGCGGGCAGCACTGGAAGAAGGTGAGAATCGTGGGTGGAGCTGACTCGGCGGCAAGCCAGGGTTGTCACCTGTCCGGGTTGGACGTGGACAGCCCAAGAGTTGGCATGTGTTCGGGTGGCAGCAGTTGCTTTGTAGGCTTTCATGAGCAATATCGCCCGATGAAGCTGATTGTAATCACCAGCGAAACGTCGTACTTAAATTACACATGTTGTGGGTAACCAATTGCCCTTACTATTTGGCTGTGTCGGGTGGTGGTGGGTTAACGACACATTTATATGCACGCGGTATTTTGTTGAAGTTTATTTTGATAGCCCGAGGCTGAGTCTGAGCTGATTGAGATGCACGTCTGGTTTTAGTTTCGTGGAAAAGTTGGCGACGTTACGGCGGGTGAGGTCATGGACGTGGGAGACAGCGGGCCGTGCTAAGGGGTGACCTGAGACCACCTGGGGCTGGGGTAGGCCGTAGGGGCCGACGCGGCGCAGATCAGGGGGTTGGTGACAAGGCCCCAGGATGTGCCCGGAGGAGCCCGTGGATGATTGATCTGCGGGCGGGCGGGCGGGCGAGCGAGCGCGCGCGCGCGCATCCTCACCGGTAACAGCAGCAGCAGCAGAGGAGGAGGGGTTTCCCGTCAGTGCCGACGTCACAGTGGTAACACGCATTACCCAATAAGGATTACAGACGGCAGCAGTCATTGCACACGCGTGCAAGCCAGGTGCTGAGCTGCCCGTGCGTCGCACAGGGGCCGCTGTCAATGGGGACTGCCCTTCGAAGGTTTGAGATGAGGTGTGGTGGGTGTGAGTGGCTCGTCGCGTGTGATGCGTTCAAAGATTGTTATTCACTCGAATGCCGAATGCAGGCTCTGTGTATTGTTCAGCCAAAGTTTTCTGAACCGTTGATTGAAGTTTGTGAATTATAAAAACAAAATTACACGGTTAGAAAGTTGTTGAAATGGTGTTGTGCATGTGGATATGTTTTTTTTGCAGTTTAAGAAACATCATTTGTCGCTGACGCACACGAACAGCTTTGCTAAGTCCGTGGTGAATCTGGTGGATGCCGTGAGTATCGCTCTGTCACTGTTCGTGCGCGTTGTGGTGGTAAAGGGAGCTCGGTGGCCAGTCTCACGAGTTCCAGAATCTGCTGAAATGAGAAGCGAAATATTCAAATGTGAAGAGCGAACAAAACTCACACGTTTCATTTTCGTCACCAGCTGTGTTCTGATTTTGACACTGAAGTCATTGGCACATAAGATTAAGAAATGTGTTTTCAATATTCTCGGTAGTGTATCTGATTTTGTCAGTGAAGGGCCACTGAAATATCACATTAATTTCTATATTTTACGTGTGCAGCATAATCTATAAATAACATGGCTATCACACGTAGCGTGCGGATACGTAACTAATTAAATAACAAAACTGTTAACCCCAGTAGCTTGCTGGTCAGTGACAAATAGCTGGAAAACTAAAATAATTGTGAACAATTATTATTTTTAATGAAATACGTACGCTGTTTATCATAAATGATCGTAACAACTTCATATCAATCATCATCTTGTGTGTAGGCATGATGGCGCTCTGAGGGTGGGCATTAGTATGCGCCAGTATGCATGAGTCATTGCTGGAGCAACACAATAAAATTACGGTCTTTTTACATTCACTCCAGATCTATAAAGAGCAGCTTAACACTCGGATAGTTCTGGTGTCCATGGAAACGTGGACGGACCGCAACCGGCTGGTGGAGAGCGACGATCCTCTCCATATGCTGCACCTCTTCATGCAGTACCGGCAGCAGAACATGTCGGGCAGGAGTGACACAGTACATCTGTTCACGTGAGTCCATTCCCTCTCCCTGTTTGCTACGGGATCCTACGACTGTGCCCGATTGGCTTCTCTGGGTGAGCAACTTGTTTTTTTTAGGCTAACCATCGAACAAAGACGGTGGTGGTCACCGCACCGTGTGCTTTCGGATGCGCTTCTGTGGCCGTCTGGAACACTCTTCCTCCCGATATTAGGAAGCCACTGGAGCTATGCACTTCCAAATCATCATCTAGATTGAAAACTCATTCCTTTAGAACTGCTTTTTATGTTTAGTTTGCTGTCCTTTCCCCGCACCTCCGATTGGCACGGCTGGCTACCTACGGTGCGAAAGAAGTTCAACATACATACGATACAGCATACATAAACAGCCGTTGTCTTCAGAATCAGAATATGTATTTATACTTGAGGAATCCGGAGAGCTCTATAGCACTATTTCACTGATTTCCAATACGGGTGGGTCCAGAATGTTTCAACAACAAATAGTAAAAACAAAACACGATAGGGGTGCAAAGTACAGGAAAGGTAAACAAATCACTTTAAAATTAATAATAAAGGCTTTTGGCTGAGATCGCGATATTTATAAATGTGTCGTAACCCTCCACCACCCGACACGGCCAAACAGTAAAAAAATGTGTCACGTTTACAAAGGACAAATAGTTCACTACTTTAGCCCACCGGTGTGTTGAAGAGTGAATCAATATCATTTATAGTTTGAGTACGACGTTTCGCTGGTAATTACATCCAGCATCATCGGGCAATTCGCCAGAATGGTAAAGCCCTCACTTGCTCCCGGTCTTAAATAGAGCAGCAGGGTGACGTCATCATTTAACTCATTCATGTGCAGTGATTTTCTCAAAGCCTACGTGTTAAACAAATCACTTTAAAATTGACAATTAAAACTAAACTACTTTTTGTATCTTACCACTTCAAGCCCACTGAGCTATTAAACTATTTTTCAGAAGCGACCTGGCCACAAATGATAATTCAACGAGGTGGCTTATCGCGTGGAATTTTTCAAAAGCCAATACTCTTAACACATGATTCTAAATGTGGAGGGAAAACCCGGAGGACCCAGAGAAAAAATCACGTGACCACAGGGAGAACATGCAAACTTCAAACATACAGGTGTTAGGGTTGGGATCGAACCCACGACCTCCTGTATACCTGGCGAGGTAATTCACATCTCTCCACCGTGGTGCCCCATCATCTCCAAGGATAATGTGCAGCTGCGTCTCAAAGTTTCCACGCACAAACAACAATATCACAGCTTTGTGCTTTCCCAGGGAAACGAATTGTTTTCTCAACATCTCAGTGCTCCAGGGGCAACATTGCTTTGTCATTTGTGCAATATTCCAACACTACTGAGATGAATTTCTATAGGTGTTCACAGCCAAGGTCAGGAGGTCATCGCAGCCAATGCTGTCGATGCCACCACAGCTCGCTGCTGCCTTCCCGTTGTACGACACCGTCTGCAGCCGTTGCACAGTCGACACCCAACCTGCACCGTCTCATCACCACCGCCAGCACCATCGCCCTCTGGGTGCCACTCCAGTGGCTGCGTCCATAGCCTGCCCCCTTCTAATCTGCACGCTGCCCCTGACCCATTGCGATCTCGCCTACCTGACTACGTCCGCGATCAATACTTGCCACGTTTCTGGTCGGCATTCGCGAGTCGCTTCCACGAGGGTGCCGTGGTTTCGTAGCGCCTTCTGCCTGCACCCCCCCTCCTACCCATTGTCAGACTTGAGGGTCAGCGGCGGTGCTGCGTGCAGGCCCACGGTGGCGAGACGTCACCCGTAGCGAGACTCTGAATGATTTTAGTCAGGTTGACTTTTTTCGTTGTTGCTAGAATCACAGCCACGATAGTTTGTGTTCGATAGAGCCTCGCTGCTTTATGTCTGGGCCGTCTCAGAGTGCTGTGGACGCCACGAAAGCGACTTACATCACATCTCAGCACAGTACTTTTAAAAGGGCACCCCCAGTGCCAGCTGTTCCTGCGTGGCACAAGGGTTACTCAGCACCTGGCCTGCAAGTGGGTATTAGTCTGCCAGTAGGGAGCGATGATTTCTTTGTGTAATCCAAATTGAGTAATTTGGAGGGGGGGGGGGGGTAATTTTTATAACTTCAATTTTGTTGTTGTTAGCATGACACCGACACACAGTGGCCGACTCGGTTCGGAAGGCGTCAGGAATCTTTAACGTCCACCGTGGAGCGTGGAGCAGACGACAAGCAGCGTATTGTGAATGCACCCACAGCAACTACCGGTTCTAACAAAGTAGTATGAACAGTTCATTTTTACCGTGTGAACTCCGAACTCCGGGCCAGGTGGCCCCGTGGTAGAGCAAGGCAGCTCGCAATCTGAAGGTTGCCAGTTCATATCGTGGTTGGGGGTTGGCTCAGCCTCATGATCCCACCGGGGTCGATAAAATTAGTACTACTATGTGTGGAAGTCAACAGTGGTTGTCTTATGGAATAGACATGCCCCCCCTCCCCGCCATGACAATGTGGAATTTAGAGCATCGGCTCAGGGCTGTAAACAAGAGATGAGTGCCAATGCCTCAATGCTCATTTGAGCAGGAAGTCACTTTGACTTGGGCCTCTGGGTGAATTTCTTCTGTGATCCTCTGAAGACCTGATCGGGATGCAAAACCATGTGTAGTGGGTTAAATGACTAGAGGAGAGTCTCTCTGAGGCAACACGTAATTTCTTTAACAATAATCCCTTAACACAAAGGGGGAACGGCCCCCTACACCCGATACACTGAGGAGGTAGCCCCTCCAGGCTAATACGCCTCTCAATGGCTAATCTACACCCTTCTTGGGTGAAGCTTGGGTCTTCACTGGTATATAAGCTGGAGCCGACCCTAGCCAGGGGTACGACTCTGCCCATTGGGCCCTTCACTTCAGGAGGCCCTTCGATCTTCGGGTGGACCGTTCAGCGGTCCGGCTTTTATGCAGGGCCGTGGCTCGCTCCGCCCCGGCCACACCTTTCTTCTTGAACCTTCGAGCAGGACCTGGGGGGTGATGTCATCTCCCAGCCCCTCTCCTGGGGTCTGGGGTTTGCATCTCGGTTACCGTTGGGCCCCGTGGCCCATAGCCCATTAACACTGGGGCTCAGCCCCTCTTCCGCCCCCTATTGGCACGTGTGAGATACTACAGGCAAACGGCACGGGAAGTGAACAATAATACCGCTACACATGTGTTTGTGCTTTTTAGTGGGAGAACATTTCTGAACAGCAGAAGTGGCGCTGCGTTTGTTGGAAGCATTTGTTCCAATGCAAAAGGAGGAGGCATCAATGAGGTAAGAGCTTGGATAATGCTCCGCTATCTGGGGCCTTCATCGCAGGCATCCCAAAGCTCCCATTGTATATATGCTAAAGCGGTAAAGGTGGCAAGTGAACCGTGATGAAACTTGACTGATGTATCTAATGAAAGTGAAACCGTTACACATCGCTCCTTTTGTTCCACTGCCGTGAAATGTTAAAAGGCCAGGCTTTCAGGCTCGTCTCACTCTGGTCCATGTCCACAATGGCCACACAGTCAGAATATTAACCCTTTTCATGCAATTATTTTTTTCAAAAGCGACCTATCCACAAATGATAGCTCAAAGAAGTGGCTTATCGTTTGGAAATTTACAGCAGCCAAATACTTTTAAACGCATGTTTCTAAATGTGGAGGGAAAAAAGGTTAGAAAAATCCCACCCGACCACGGGGAGAGAAAATGCAAACTCCAAATATACAGGCAACAGGCTTGGGATCGAACCCATGGCCTCCTGTATACAAGCGAGGGAGTGAACATCTCCTAGCCACTGTGGTGTTGTGGAGAGTATTTTGGCTGTATTTCATGTTATGCGGCAGGAGCTGTCTTTTAGCACAAGAGATACAATTATTTATATATATGACGGGGAGGGCGGACGCGGATATATTTCAAAATCGTGGCTAAAATATATATTTCCTGTGGATCTCTATGCCAAAAGCCACTAATATAGATATAAATTATGTTTAAGTTAAGAAAATGTAGTTTGTTAATGAACAAAACTAAAATTTCGAGTAAGGAATGTTTTATTACAAAAGTCCATTTCGATTTAGAACAAATACTAACGATCGATGCGCGTACTCAGTGATAAGACTTCCTGCTACCACGCAGAAGAATCCGCTCACAAAGTGGACAGCAAAGCCACGCAAATCGGATAAACCTCACGAGGATAATCGAGAGACTACTGTATTTGTTTTCAGTTCATAGTGTGGTGTTTGATACACGTTTCGTATGCGTGGGTTTTTTTCTGGGTAGATGCAACACACTCGTGAAGTTGGAATTGACTGAACACTCCAATAAACATAGTCCTGAGACCCAGGGAGCTGTCTGTGATTCGGCCAGGTGTAGTGAGGTGGTGACTTCATCACCAATGTGGCTTTGATTTAATTTGGATGAATTCCATCCCTTGGGATTGCTTGCCTCAGTTGACTGCCATTCCACAAACAATTCTCTCCATAGCAGGCCAGGTGGAAGAGTGCTGACCTCTCATGCAGATAAGAGGTCGCTTGAACAGATTTCACAAGTAGTTCTGTGATATTCATTTCCAAAGATCATTCTCGAGTACAGGGTAATGCACTACCCTGACAGTGCTCTGAATGGATTATTCCTCTCTAGACATTACGTCAGCAACACATGACATGGGGGGGGGGGGGGACAAAAAAACATGACATTGGGGGTCTATCTGGCTATGGGCCTTCTGGAGGATTGTTCTGAAAGGAAAACACTGGACCAGTTTCGATCTTGTAAGTCGCATCAGCACTGTTTAGTTATTAAACAAACGCCGGTTTGGACACACATTGCCAAGAAGGCCCATTGGCCGATGGACCCTAATGCCATTTAGTTTTGTTTGTGGTGCTGAGAGAAGGCCCTTTATTCGTAGTTTGTGTGTGTGTGTGTTCTGTGTTATCACGAGTCTGCCACAGCAGCGCACACAGGATTGTGTTTTAGGCAGCGCCGATGCGACTGGTGCTGATGTAAATGGCTGTTCTAACTGTTGCTGTCTGGAACGCTCTCCCTTCCGTTATTAGGAAGCCACTGGAACTATGCATTTTTGAATGTTTATTGAAAACTTATTTCTTTATAACTGCTTTTTTTGTTTGTTTTTTTGTTACTCCCCCGCACCTCTGATCAGCACGGTTGGCTACGTACGGTGGAAAAGCAGTTCAACATACACACGTGGCTCTATGTTGGTGGTGGTGATGTTGATGATTTATTGTGTTTTTGTTTCTCTCAGTATAGCAATCCTGAAGGTATGGCTGTTACACTGTCTCAAAATATTGCGCAAAACCTTGGGATGATGTGGGAGCCGAGACATTCAGCAGATGATTCAGGTGTTTGCAGAATGTTGTAAACATATCTACCCCTTCCACACATCGATCCTCTTGCACAGTACATACACCTTCTATTATTGCTTTTCTACCCTCTTCCAAATACATCTCCCTCCCCTCTATCGTTCGTGTATTATCCATTCTAAATATATTCCTCTGCTATCTAGCTCTCACGAGAGATGGTGATGGCTTGGGAAAGCCTTTTATTTAGCAGTGGATTAACCGTGGATGATGATGATGATGACTGATGATATTTATAAAACAAAGATGTATCCTTCATGCACGGTTTAATGTACCCTCCTCAAGAGTATTTTGACCATATTAACCTTTTAAGGCTTGATTTAACTGTGTATTCCCCGAATTTATTTTTTTAAATCAAATAAATATCTTGTTTTCCCGGATCAAACCGTGACAACATGTAACAGCGGCTACCGGAATCTGTCATAAAAAAACGTCATTGTTGCGATCACAATGGCTCATTCGGGCAGATTCCCGGTGGCTTTATTTTTCAACGACAATCGAACTCTATATTCTTGGTTCTTTCGGTAAATAAAAAATATCGTATTATTGTATTATTTCCCTTCTACGTGACTTGAGGAGGGTACATGTTGTATTATTTTATTATTTCCCTTCTACGTGACTTTACCGAACGAACCAAGAATATGAATCCCTGCAGTCACGAAAGCTTTACATCGAAATTTTAAATTGAACTCCAGTTTACCACCACACCCTGTGGCGGCGGCCGCCAGGTGAACTGAGCGTGCGCCCAAGCGGTGCCCGGCAGCTCCTCTTGTGCTTAAACGCGGCGTTTGGTTGTTTCGCAGCGAGCTGCAAGTGTCCGGACAAATGGAACGGATGCATCATGATGGAGGATTCTGGGTAAGAAAATGAAAGATTTCAAGCAAACATTGATAGGAGAAAAAACTAATTGGGCTCAAGATAAATATGAGAAAAATTAAATTCCCCCAAAAAATTGGATGGGCACAGTGAAACGCATAATGTGTTCCCAGGGCGATTATTGGAGGCGGATCGGGATCGAAATGATTACATAATAAGACGAACGAGAGCACTTAGGTTTCCCGTGGAGAAATCTGTCCGGTGGTTCCATAGCCGAGATTTAGACTTAAAAACTCAACACGCTCATAAATAACATTGTGGCCTTAAAATATTACAAATATAACAGGTGACGTTTTGGTACCAATAGTCTACTAGATTTTTTTTTATTGCTCTGAAGAAGGGCCATTGCCTGAACAGTTTAGTAGCGAGTTTAACATGTGGGAGGCTTTCATGACCAATATCACCCGTAATAGTGGTTTTTGGGTTAGATCGCGTAAATATATAAATGTGTCGTTAAAACCCGCCACCACCCGACACAGCCAACTAGTAAGGGTTGTCACGTAAACAGAGCATACCAATTCGTCACTAGTACAGCACACCGGTGTGTTCGAGAGCCAAGCCACAACATTTACAATCTGATTACGACGTTTCGCCAGTAATTACAACTAGCTTCATCAGGCGACAGACAGATTTGGGGAGAAGTCTGTTTCGTTCTATATATAGAGGCGTAGATGTGGTGACCACCCTTCTGCGCTCTTGCACAATGTGGGGTGAGGGGGGGGGATTACTGAGGCTACGTACATTATGCATGTGCATTATGCGAGCCCTCTGAACTTGTCCTTCCTGTCTATTGTGTTTATTAAAATAGCCCTACCAACGGCAATCCTTATTGAAGTACGCTGCCCTTTGTAGGCATGCATTTAAATAATGTATTATTTGATGATTCGCTTCCACGCAGCACTAAGACGGTAGCTATCCAAACGGTTAAAGTTATTTTGATTTCTTTCAATTTCGATAGATTCTCTAATTAGTTTTGGCCAGTAGTTGCTAGTTTTGTCACAAAACTTCAACATTCTAAAAATCAAACTTGATTTGAAGCTTCCGTGACTGCAGGAATTACTCTTTGGTTCTTGCGATAAAGTCACGTAGAAAGAAAATAATTTAAATTTTAGAATACGACGTTTCGATTGCAACACAAGCAATCGTCATTAGGAAGAAAACAAACCAAGCGAACTTAGAAATACAATGCAATACAACACAGAGAGTCGGCTAACACAACAGTCAACACCCTACATGGTTTATTACGTTCTTCCAAAGATTGCTAAATTTGAGAGAGAGACAAAACACAGACACGGAGACACACAGACAGACACACAAGCAGAGAGAGACAACACAGACACAGAGAGAGAGAGAGACACACACAGACACAACGCCTCTGTGTCGAGGCCTTAAATAGAGAGAGAGGAGTGTCCTTGTTGGCACGCGTGTTCTGCTACTGCTAACAGTTGCATTTGGGAGGATTTAATATTTCTCTGATCTTCTTTTAGTCTCGTGCTGATCATTCGTCCTGTTTGCCCAACATACAGTAACATTTACCACACGTGCAGTTAATCCTGTACACACCTTCTGTTGATAGCTTCGGTAATACATCTTTTGTACCAGATATTAAATTCTGTATTTTATGTACCGTGCCAAATCTGACTCGGATGTTTTCTTTTTCCAAACATCTGGCTAGTTTATCAGTTACTCCCGCAATGTACGGTATTTTGATCGTTTTAATTACTTGGGCAGTTTCAATGCTCTTGTTATTTGCCATAACAACATTAACAACAAAACCCATCCATCCAGTTCACCATGGAAGTGGAAGCTGACAGAACTCTACTTTTTCTGGGTATTCTGCTCGGACGGGGTAGAAATGGTAAAATAACACACAATGTTTTTCTGAAAGAAAACGCATACTGACGCCTATCTGAATGCAGAGTCACACCATCACCCCGCACAGAAATCTGCTCTTACCAAGACGCTCATTCATCGAGCTAAGAAAGTGTCAGATGGTGACAGTCTGAGAAGTGAAATTCAAGAAGCGCTGCAAATGAACGGTTACAGTGATGCACAAATCAACAAGGCATCGAATACCAAAACCAAATCAAATAACAAGAGCATTGAATAGAACCAAAGAGTATGGATACTTGCAGTCACGAAAGCTTCAAATCTAGAAGAGCATTGAAACTGATGCGAGGTGTAAACGAACGCCTCGGTTTGTGTCTCCCCAGGTTCCACCTCCCACGGACGTTTTCCCAGTGCAGCCTCGTGGAATACCAGGAGCTGCTACAGCAGGGTGGTGGCGCCTGCCTCTTCAACAAGCCCACACAGGTGCCACCAGTGCCGGATTATCCTCGGAGCAAAAGTGGCTACAAATGTAGTAGCTGCGGGCCCCGCACTTTCAAGGGCCCCGCGCGAAATGCTTTCAAGCTATCAATTCCGGTTCAGTGATTCTGCACTTGCTCTCTTGCTATAGTACTACTAGCCTTTTTGCCCATCCAAGGACGGGTGTATTGCAGTAAATCTGAACCTTGCAAGCGAACAGCAGACCGCGACGTGATATATTCATTGCATCCATTCGTGTGCACTTTGTAAGGGCGCGGTGACACAGACCTATTTCATTTTAAGGTTATAATCCCTTGTTCATCACGACGTCCTTTTTACTTTGATGTCTCAACAACAGCGTGACGGAGATCACGTGATGACGTGAGGGTTGTCAGTTGACGCCGAGGAGGGGGGAGGAGGCGCCTCGCCCCCCCCCCACCATGTGGAGTGACGTCAGCCGCTAATTATGACGAATGTGGAGGGGGGGGGGTGTCCATTTGGAGGACGTCACCTGTTCATGATGATTAATGAGGGGGGGGGGGGTGCTGTTCGATGTGGAGTGACGTCACCTACTCATGATTATTAATGAGGGCGAGGGTGCTCCATGTGGAGTGACGTCACCTACCCATTATAATTAATGAGGGGGTGGGGGGTTGTCGATGTGAAGGACGCACCCACGCACCCACGCGCCCACGCGCCCACGTGCTCGCCGTGCCAGCGCTCGTCCCCCTTCGGGCGCGCGCCGCGTTCCCTTCGCTGCGTCGAGCGCGGCTGGGCCAGTATTGGGGCAGAGACGTCGCCGACTCTTTTCTTCACCCAGGCGACCACAGGGCACGGACTTCGGTGTTTCTTACACGTATCACGATAAACGACAAGCAGTTACATGGATTTAAGGGTGTACAAGTCAAAACAATTATGCAATGAAGAATAATTAGTATTATTTTTTTTTACTTAAAATCTTGTCAATGATTCACACGTTGTCTGGGGCACTGTTCCAGTATCCAACCGAGCTATTTAAAACAACTTTTCGAACCAATGGATCTCCCAGAGGAAAATGATTGCAATTTAAATGGAGCGCTTGAGCGTCATCTATCTGGTGTGCTAAGGAGATTTAATTGAAAGAGCTCAATCAGGTGCTTCATGGAGTGAGGTACCTGGCGTCTGAGAGAAAACAAAGATAAGAATAAAAAGCAACATCAAGACTTTTCAAGGCTATTTACAAAAGCATTGCTTCGCGTGTAAATCACTGTACGTAGTATTTACAGCGTGAATCCGTAGAATGTTGAGATGTCGATTTCTGCTCCGAAGGAGCTCGTAACTCTGTGCCCATTATAAAACACCTCGTGTGAAAGACCCGTTCCTGGCTTCGATCTTCCGCCAAGCTGATGGCCACAACTCTAATCCGCATGCACACAAACCTCTCCGGTGTGCGGAGGCTATGGTCACCCAGAACAGCACCACGGAATGTAAAGCGACTCGCAGTGATGCACCACTCCGCTACTCCTTGACGCAATAATCTGGCTCATCAACCACCTCAATGTAAAATTGCAGCCATTTCTCTATTGCTCTACATCAGGGGTCACCAAACTTTTTTTCACAGCGGGCCAGATAACTGATAGAATGACGAGCGCGGGCCACATAATCATTTTGTTCAATACTTGGGGGGGTGGGAAAGATGCGTATTTGTGTGTGTTACCATGGAAACCATGGTAACGTGTTGCCATGACGTTGCCATTGAAACCATGGTGACGTCAGAGCGTAGGCGGAGCTACCACGAGCCGGGGAAGGACTTGGGATGGCGCGAAATAAGCAAACATTGCAATAAACAAGAACATCTAGATACAGTAATTTAACATTTAAAATAGTAAATTTAAGGCACATAGCAGTAAGGAGGTCTCCGCACGCGTGAAGATCTCCTGGTATTCTAAACATAATATTTAAATTTAAATTTTATCACGTCTCGTGTTCCATACGTTTTATCAACCAAATTCAAGTACCGTCGGCGGGCCTGATGGACTGACGTCGCGGGCCGCATCCGGCCCGCGGGCCGTAGTTTGGTGACCCCTGCTCTACATCGACGTCAGCCGTATGACAACGAAGAAGAAGAGAGAGATTGAGAATCCTCTTGTGAGCTCATGAAGCAAGCGAGGGCCTGGTGAGCATGTTGGCTACGTACGGTGCGAATGAAGTTCAACATTTCTACTTATATTGACAGAACATCGTCTACTCTCTCGTTGGCTTCCCAATACAACGCTCGACAATACTTGGACGAATTACAAACGAATGGACAAAGCAAAAGCTGAGTTTTCAGTCGGTATACCAAAAGTGAATTGGCAACCGTAGGTGCGTGTCCTCACAATATTCTTACGTGTTGCGGATCCCCAACACCCATCTGAGGATTGAGACGTTCTCCTTGGCTTTGATGCGAGAGCGTCAGTGTGCTGGTTCGAGTTGTGTCCATATAGTTTACCAGTAAATAAACCGCATCAAATCAATCGATCAATCTTTATTTTGTACGGCGCCTTCTGCGAAAAGATCGTCTCTTAGAGCGCTTTACGTAAAAATGTAATAATAGAAAAGATTGTCAATTATTGCATCAACAGCAATAATTACAACCGGAAAGCATCGAAACACCGTCAGAAACGTAAATACACAAGACGTAAAATGTATGTAAAAGCGAGTAATGATGTGTCAGTGTGAACGCTCGATCGTAACAACCTGCACGTGCACACTGAGCAGCTTATACAAGAAAATACGACACCAACGATGCACTGACAGGTACCAGGGAAACAGAAGACAGCATTCGTCTTCAAAGTTGTCAGTAAAGAAGAATGCAAACCTTTAAGTAATATTCATCTTGATTACTATTACACAGTTTAACACGTAGGCTTTCGCGACAAATATTTTTCAAAAACCTCTATTATGGATATTATTACACAGGGCGGTGTTGGTAATATGTAGATTAAAGAGAGTAACTCGTTAAACGGCATCCCATGACAACGTCGGTTTACTGCCTGCAGCGTTGCTGTCACAGTGAAAGTATTTGTATAGAGGCATCGGGACGAGAACATTACCTCTCTCAAGAAAGCCACGAATATTCTCAAGAGTCGGTGTCTATCCTACGTACGACACAGCAGTAGCAAGCGACAAAAGAAGAGCTGATTGACACACAACAGCTAAGTTTGTCAGCCGTCATCCGTCTTAAAGCTACATTCCATTTTACGTGCTTTGAAGAATGGCCCATTGCTCAAGATGTCACCTGTTATATTGTTTTTCCTTGTAAGGCTCTCAACGTTAAACCACGACACAGTCCGATTGCCCACACACACTGTATCGTGTGCTTTGTTTAGTGTTAAATTCTGTAAGGCCACGGCTTGCCGCTATCTTACCCATTTAATGTGAACGCATCGGTTAAGTATGGACAAACTGTTCCCCTTTTACTACAGCCTAAATCCACGGGCCACAGTCCCAAGCAAATCTGGATCCGGAGATAGATCGTGGCATTGCAGGCTTGTGAGTGATGGCGATGATGTGGTTCAGGCCTTCATCCAGCAGTGGAGAGGCAATAGCTGATGGTGGTGATTATGGTGACGATGAATTGGCAAAACAATGACACGTTATGTTAGAAATGGTGCAACATCCAAACAGTTAATCGTGTTTGTAAAGCAATACATAATTGAGCATCATATTCTTATTATTTTTGTTACTCAGTTGCTGAGCAGAGGTCCAAAGTTCCAACAACGTCAAATGGGTCAGCGACAAACGGCACGTGTCAAAGTTGTAAAAGATAAGGGTGTTGTAGTATGTGTCTTGAATTGAGCAGGATTATTATTAAGAGCTTGGGGGAAGGGGGGGGGAAGAGATGATGGGGGAAAGAGACGATGGGAGGAAGTTCCAAAGTTGAGCAGTGCTAGGGAAGAAGCAGGAAGAAGAGTAGAGGAGTGGTGTGGTCTACAGTGTGGTGAGTGGGTGGCTAAGTGGGTGAGTTAACAACCCCCTACCTCCTCGTGGTGCCGGATGTGCAATGCTGTCGTGGGCAGTGCCATGGGGGGAGGGCCAATTCAGATTGGCCTTTCCCCTCATGGCATTTGTAGCCACCACAGCGGCCAAATGGGGGCTCTGGACGGGTGCAAGGGGCTGGTAACCCCTCCACCTTAAATTAACTGCCACTAAACTACGATGCAAAAAACTTATTAAGCTTGTGCCGGAGGCCCCAGGAGTCAGGCGTCTATGACGTCTCCTGGCCAAACCCCATTTGGTGGAGCCAGGAGACTAAATCCTTACCCTCGGGGCTCCTCCAGAAACAACAAAAAATCACTGCGTATGGGCACGTGGAATGTTCGAACACTCACTGCGGAGGAGAGGCTGCCACCCCTCTATCAGAAGCTGGACCGGTACCGCCTGGATCTCTGTGGTGTTCAGGAGGTCCGGTGGACCGGCTCTGGCTCCTGCCACCATGAGGGGTGGACATTCCTCTACTCGGGGCAGGAGACTGCCAAACAACAGGGTGTGGCTCTTATGAACAAAAGAATGAAGGGGGCGTGAGAACGTGGCGGTGAGGTGTGGGAAGCTGTAAGCCCCAGGCTACTTTGGGCTCGCCTTCCCATCAACTAGAGGCGAGGAGTGGCGGTCGTGGTTACTTATGCCCCCACTGAAGACGAACATCCGTGGAGGGATGCAGGCAAGGCCGATGAATCAGATTCCTTCTATGACCACCTGTCACAGGTGCTAGCTAAAGTAGCCCCTCGGGATCGAGTCAACTTGTTGGGTGACTTCAATGCCCGAGTTGGTCATGATGCTGGCACCTGGTCTGGAGTGATTGGAAGGCATGGGCCAGATCAGCTCAATAACAACGGTAGGAGGCTGCTAGATTTTTGTGCAGCCCATGGGCTTGTAATTACCAACACGCTGTTTCGGCATCGGTGCATCCACACCACATCATGGATGCATGCCGGGTCCAAGCAAGAATATCTGCTGGACTACGTAGTGATGGAACAGCGGATACGGGCCCATTTCCTTGACACCAGGCCCTACCGTGGAGCTGATATACCCACTGACCATCGACTTGTCATCTGTAACATGCGCCTGCCACTCTTCCACTCCGATGGTGGGTGTACACCCAGGATCCCATTAAAACCCTTAGTGGCATGGTCTCAGCTAGCTGATGAAAGTTGCAAGCAAGAATTTAATCATCGCTTGCGGCTGGGGTTGGCATCGTCCCCCACTCCTCCTGATGTCGAGGGGAAATGGGCGAGGTTTAGGACTGTGGCTCATGCAGCTGCTATGGCTGCTTTGGGTACACGGTCCAGACCTCCCCAGAGAACCTGGCTGACAGAGGAGGTGTTTAAGCTGGCTGAAAAAAAGCGACAGGCCCACTCTCATTGGCTACAGCATCCCATGTCGGAGAATGAGGAGGCTTACCGCAGCCTTCGCCTTGGAGGTTCGGAGAGTCATGAGGCGCTGCAAGGATGGGTGGTGGTCGCGGGTTGCTGAGGAGATGGAGTCTCCCTCAGTGGCCCGCGATCACAAATCACTTCTTAACTCCTTCTAAAAAGTAACCTGCAGCGCCACACCTATTACCATCATTAGGGAAAAGAATGGTGATCCAATCTCCGACCCTCAGGAACAGGTTGGCAGATTTGCTGAGAATTTCTGTGAGGTCCTGGGGGAGGGGAAATCCCTCACCCAGGAAACAACGTGGAACAAAGTGAGGATGACCCTCCTGAGGCTGCGGTGCCTCAAATATTTGAAGAAGTCACCGCCTGTGGGTGGCTGGTTGAGGTGCCATCTGTGGAGGGAGTACTGAGGGCAATCCAGAGTCTGAGACCAGGAAAGGCACCGGGCAGAGATGATCTCCCAAGCGAAATGCTGAGGGAAGGTGGCGTTTGTGCACAGACTGCCGTACATGACATCATAACAACAGTCTGGACCACTGGACGGGTTCTGCAGGATTAGAAGGATGCCCTGGTGGTCCCCCTCTTTAAGAAGGGGGACCACACAGACTGTAACAACTATAGGGGCATCTCACTCCTCAGTGTGCCGGGAAAGGTCCTGGCAAGGATTATTCAACATCGCCTTGCTAGGCACGCCTGGGAGAGGCTTGCGGAACCCCAATGCGGTTTCAGAAAAGGGTGGTCCTGCACAGATACCATATTTTCTCTCCGTCTGCTACAGCAGAGATGTAGGGAATTCCAACAAGACCTACATCTCTGCTTTGTTGACCTGGTCAAGGCCTATGCAACCATCAGTAGGCCTGGGCTCTGGGTTGTTCTTCGTGTTTTCTGAGTCCCTGATCCTCTGCTCACGATCATTAAGGACCTTCATGATGGTGAGCGGGCCAGGGTAAAACTACGTGGCCGGGAGTCAGAGCCATTCCCTGTACACCTTGGGGTGCGATAGGGATGTCCTCTGGCTCCCACATTATTTAACATATATTTTAACCATGTAGTTTGTGAAGCCTTCAATAGCTGTACCGGAGGACTTTCCATCTGGTACAGATACAATAGGAGGCTGATCGATGCCCGGGTGCGGTCAAGGGATGGCTCCCTATTGCTCAACCACGTTATGTATGCCGATGATCTGGTGTTTGCTGCTCACTCAGAGGAGCAGTTGGAGGTGCTGCTGCTGAACCTGGAGCTTGCCACCAAGAGGCGGGGCCTTACAATCAGCCCCACCAAAACTAAGCACCTGTCTGGATATTTTGTACCATCGGACACTCCACCTCCACAACTCCCAATTGGTGATAGGGCAGTTGTGGAGAGAGTGGAGAGTTTCACATACCTTGGCAGTGTGCTTATGACCGGCTCCAGTTTAACAGCAGAGATCTCACTCCGAATCAGTTGAGCAGCATTATCTTTTCATCGGTTGCGTAACGCGGTGTGGAAGCTCCACACGAAGCTTCAGGTTTTCTCGGCCACAGTCATTCCCTCCCTTCTCTTGGCTTGCAAAACGTGGACCCCCAAAATGGAACATTTTCGCCATTTACAAATATTTAGGCTGGCCTGCCTACGATCCATCCTGGGTTTAATCAGGCTGGATTGTGTGACGAGCTCACAGATCCTTGAAAGATCTGGACAAAGTCCAATTGGTGAGCTCCTCCGGCAGGCAAGGCTGCGTTGGCTGGGTCATGTAGCCCGCATGCCCAGCCACCGCATGCCTAAAAAGCTTTTGTTTGGCCGGATCGAGGAGGGAAAACGGGCGCGGCACGGGCTAGAGAAGAGATGGAATGATGTGGTATAGGAGGACGTGGAGCTGAGTGGACTTTCCGATGACTGGTACCAGCGGTGTCAAGAGCGTCCTCTGTGGAGGAGGCTCGTGAAGGACGCTACTGGGCAGTTGGAGGCAGTGATCCTCCAACAATAACGGAGGGCGGAGGAGCAACGCTTACAACAACGAGCGGAGCGCCGGGTGGCTAAAGCACAGCAGGTTGGCCCAGTAGGGGGCACAGGTGGTGCATCAGCCAGTCGTCTCAGTCAGTCGACCCGTGGCATCTGGGTCTGCCCCGTGACCTCCTGCCAGCGGGCGTTCGACACTTCTCGTGGCCTCAAGGGGCACATAGCCTGGCACAAGTGTCGTGGTGACGTCACCGCCACTTAGTGGCGAATGGCAGTGGTTGTTGAGTTAAGGAGTGGAGTGTGTGGGTGTGTGAGTGCATGAGTTGGTGAGTGAGTTGGTTAGCGGGTGGGCGAGTGCACGAGAGGGTGAGTGAGTTGTTGTGGCCTGCGCTGTGATGGATGAACACGATGTAAATAATTTGAAACAGTGGTGGTAGGTCGTCTGGTTGATGGCTCGTGGAGGAATCTGAGTGATTTTCATGGGAATGGTGGCAACGTGAATATTCTAAGTTTAAACGTAGGCTTTCGCGACCAATATTCCATATAAAGGTGTTAGATTGCGTAAGTATAAATGTGTCTTAAGAGTGTTCTAATGCCGTTTTGTAGCTCTTGCAGCCTCCAGAATGTGGGAACGGATTTGTGGAGCATGGAGAAGAATGCGACTGTGGCTCCTCCGCTGTGAGTGTTTCACGCTTTTCAGAAGACGGCTCTGTGTGTTGATTCCCTGTTAGAGGGACTCCTCTACTTGCGAACGACATAGGTTCCAGAGGTCTGTTCCTAAGTCGATTTTTTTCGTAAGTCCAACTTTACTTCTGTCGATTCCAAACACGTTGTACCGCATGTACACTAAACACGGACAATGGCTTTCAAAGTTGTACAATCTCCTGTAGATGCCACTGGTTCTTCACGTTCTGTAGATGTAGATGCCACCATCGCCATCTATTGTGCGGTGGTTGACCTTACGGCTCTCGGTCCGAACAGGCAACTGGACATACGGACTGGTTTGTTCGTATCTCTGAAAGTTCGTGTCGAATGTTCGTGAGTAGAGGAGTCCATGTACAGCCCAAGGCTGTACATTTAGTACATACGCAAAAATCTGTCAAAACTTGACCCCTGCCCCGCTCCCTGTACGCACGCGTACTTTTTACACCCCCCCCCCCCCCCCCACCTGTGTACGCACGCTTGACGCACCCCCCCCCCCCCGAATCTTATTGAACGGCCGATATTTCATCTACGCAGAAACGATCAAGGATTAATAATATGAACGTGTTTAAGCGAACAGATAGTCCACCGCCGGACTATCTAACTCATTTGAAGGCCAATGTAGACAAATTATTATCGAGGCTTCACCCCCCCCCCCCCCCGTTTCCTATGCTTTCTTACATTGTCAGTAGACCCTTCATACGCAAGCGTACGCATTTGGGTTAACCCCCCCTCCCCCCTCCATGCATACATACTAAATGAATGGCCCCTTAGCATGGTTGCAGATGTACGGTGCGAAATAAGTTCTACATACATACTTGGATCTGCTACTGACGCTACTGACACATTACCATTACAAACATTTCCACAATGGGGAAGATTTTCAAATGTATGTGAAGACAGAACGGAAAATAGAATGGGATAATGAAAGCTAATCTACTGTTTATATACAGTGAGGGAAAAAAATATTTCATCCCCCGCTGATTTTGTACGTTTGCCCACTGACAAAGAAATGGCCAGTCTATAATTTTAATGGTAGGTTTATTTGAACAGTGAGAGACAGAATAACAACAACAAAATCCAGAAAAGCGCATGTCAAAAATGTAAAAAATTGATTTGCATTTTAATGAGGGAAATAAGTATTTGACCCCTCTGCAAAACATGACTTATACTTGGTGGCAAAACCCTTGTTGGCAATCACAGAGGTCAGACGTTTCTTGTAGTTGGCCACCAGGTTTGCACACATCTCAGGAGGGATTTTGTCCCACTCCTCTTTGCAGATCTTCTCCAAGTCATTAAGGTTTCGAGGCTGACGTTTGGCAACTCGAACCTTCAGCTCCCTCTACAGATTTTCTATGGGGTTAAGGTCTGAAGACTGGCTAGGCCACTCCAGGACCTTAATGTGCTTCTTCTTGAGCCACTCATTTGTTGCCTTGGCCGTGTGTTTTGGGTCATTGTCATGCTGGAATACCCATCCACGACCCATTTTCAATTCCCTGGCTGAGGGAAGGAGGTTCTCACCCAAGATTTGACGGTACATGGCCCCGTCCATCGTCCCTTTGATGCAGTGAAGTTGTCCCGTCCCCTTAGCAGAAAAACACCCCCAAAGCATAATGTTTCCACCTCCATGTTTGACGGTGGGGATGGTGTTCTTGGGGTCATAGGCAGCATTCCTCCTCCTCCTCCAAACACGGAGAGTTGAGTTGATGCCAAAGAGCTCCATTTTGGTCTCATCTGACCACAACACTTTCACCCAGTTGTCCTCTGAATCATTCAGATGTTCATTGGCAAACTTCAGACGGGCATGTATATGTGCTTTCTTGAGCAGGGGGACCTTGCGGGTGCTGCAGGATTTCAGTCCTTCACGGCGTAGTGTGTTACTAATTGTTTTCTTGGTGACTATGGTCCCAGCTGCCTTGAGATCATTGACAAGATCCTCCCGTGTAGTTCTGGGCTGATTCTTCACCGTTCTCATGATCATTGCAACTCCACGAGGTGAGATCTTGCATGGAGCCACAGGCCGAGGGAGATTGACAGTTCTTTTGTGTTTCTTCCATTTGCGAATTTAAATCACCAACTGTTGTCACCTTCTCACCAAGCTGCTTGGCAATGGTCTTGTAGCCCATTCCAGCCTTGTGTAGGTCTACAATCTTGTCCCTGACATCCTTGGAGAGCTCTTTGGTCTTGGCCATGGTGGAGAGTTTGGAATCTGATTGATTTATTGCTTCTGTGGACAGGTGTCTTTTATACAGGTAACAAGCTGCGATTAGGAGCACTCCCTTTAAGAGTGTGCTCCTAATCTCAGCTCGTTACCTGTATAAAAGACACCTGGGAGCCAGAAATCTTTCTGATTGAGAGGGGGTCAAATACTTATTTCCCTCATTAAAATGCAAATCAATTTATAACATTTTTGACATGCGTTTTTCTGGATTTTCTTGTTGTTATTCTGTCTCTCACTGTTCAAATAACCCTACCATTAAAATTATAGACTGATCATTTCTTTGTCAGTGGACAAACGTACAAAATCAGCAGGGGATCAAATACTTTTTTCCCTCACTGTAAGGAAAAAACATTGTTCCATTGAGAGTCCATTTCAATGTCTCATCCATAGATCAGGGGTGTGGAATCTAAGAACTAAAGGCCAGAAACGGCCCACGACTTCATTTCTTACGACCACTGACTACATGAGGCCTAACGCTTAGATTCGGCCCACAAACAATATTGGTTCCCTGCAAGCATCCTGGCTGCACTGATAGGGTAGTAGAGGGGGGATACTCTCAGCCTGGCAACGACGCCGTGTTCGTAATGTTAACACGCTGAGTCACATTTCTCACCCAGGGGTCTCGTCGGGGACCCCCATGCACCAATAACACGCTTAAAATCGCACCTCCGATTAGCTATGTACGGTTACGAAAGAAGTTCAATTATACATAAATACATAAAATAATTAAAACTACGCCTAAAATTATAGTATTTCTTCTTACCACGGCCTTGCAGATCACGAGTGGTCCACAGACACAGTTTGGACACCTCTGACCTAACACGTTGTCCTTGTATTCTTTTCAGGAATGCGAGAAGATGGGTGGTAACTGCTGCAAGAAATGCACCCTGACACACGAAGCCCTCTGTGGAAATGGTCTCTGCTGCGACTCAGAATGTCAGGTTCGTAAACCGCATTGCAATTGTCCACGAAGTAGCTGTTAATGGCAGTGATGCCAAAAGTTACTTTCTCATGTGATGCGAGTGGCGGTCATACGGTGACCGGCTACATTTGACAACCAGGGACTTGTTACGGTAAACATGTGTACAGTGGGCACGTGATGTTGTTTACGTAAATAAGTTCAATTATAACAACAACAACAACAACAAAATGACGTGACAATTAGGGAGATGACTTGAGAGGGATAGAGATGGGGGGAGAGGGGGAGAGCTGGTCAGTGATGAGAGATTCAATTAAAGGAGGAAAGGTCGATTAGATCCTGAAAACATTGAGAGAGCTGTGGGGAGATGAGACGTGTCGTCGACGTGGATTCGGAGTCAGGGTGCAGCTGGAATAAGACGAGGTGATGATGGTGGTGATGCGCGTGATGTTTTGGGGCAATTGGAAAGGCAGAGAGCCGTCTAGTCACGTGCATCATGTGCGGAGCTCGCGTTCACGCGCGTTGTTCACTCGCGTTTCCTCGCACGCACAGCAGCACCCGGCTAGCCTGAAGCAGCCAGGGGTCACCAACTCCTCCCCCAGACCTCGACCAGAGATGTATAGGACAAGGAAGGAGAAGAGGTGCTGGGAAAGTCACGTGATGGAGGGAGAGAGATGTGGCAAACGTACGACGAGTTGGGCGAGGGGGAGAGATGCAAGGAATGCAAAGGGAAGAATAGAGATAAATGAGGGGGGGAAACGAGAGAGAGAGATTTGGGAAGATATGGAATTGATGGAGATATGCTAGCAATATACAATGATTGAGATGGATAGAGAGGTATAGGAAACAGAGAGATAGAGAGAGAGAGGGGCAGGGGGAATTGTATGGTACACAGGGATGAAACATAGCTGTGTGTGTCTGTGTAGAAAATTAACGTGCATGGGAAAGTAACAGAGAATACCATAAAAACAGAAACTACACACACAAAATGGAGGCAGTCCTAAGGGAGATGGGTAAAGGATTTGAAGGAGAGAGTTGACAGACGTGGAGAGATCACTTGTTCTTACTTTCATCTCTCATAACTCAGTGCTGACACAGCCTGGTACCAGATTTGAAGCTTTCGTGACTGCAAGGATCCATACTCTTTGGTTCTATTCGGTAAAGTCACGTAGCCTTCTACTTCTACTGAAGAAGGCTACTTGTGTTGTGGCCGAAACGTCGTGATTTTTGTTGTTTTATTTTTTACCTACGTGACTTTACCGAATAGAACCAAAGAGTACAGCCTGGTACCGTTTCCATGGGATCTTGGGCCTAGTTCAGTTTCCCAGTTTGTAAACCGGGCAGGAATAAAAAACGATTGGTCGTCAGGGAAAACTAAATGGAAATGAAGGGTCGGTCGGGGAAGCGTTGGGAGAAATGAATGGGATTGGTGGAGAATCATGGAAAGTTCCGGAGAGGATAGTGAAGAGAATAAAGGGAGGGATAGAAGGGGGTTCGAGGAGCCTGAACGGAGTAGTTCCCTGAAGTGTGAAGCGCTGTGCGGAAGACGTAATAAAGACGAGGTTCAAGACTTAACCGGGGCTGGAACTCCTTTACAGTTGTATCAAAAGTTGTGATAACATCAACAAGAATTGCTAGGGAAACCTTCGTCTGCACATGTTAGAAAATCATTGGCGACCCTCCCCAGAGCTGTTTTCAGTGGTGCCATACAAAGGATACATTCTGATGAAATCCTGCGGCCACGACATGCTCAGGTATTCTGGACAAATGTGGGAGATTTTTAACTTGGACGGAAATTGCTGGGGGAGTTCCAGGTCTCAGCCAGCTTTCTTCACAAAGTGGTGAAACTTGCTACCGTCTTGAAAATGGAGGGAACCATACCGAGTGGTAGATCACTGTTATAATTCAGTAGGCTCACATGACATTGACTTCTCCAAGACAGAGGTTCTTTGCAAGCCATCTGGCTACCATGAGAGATTCGTTCATGAGGCTATCCACATACAAACACAGAGACAATTTCAATCGAGAAGATGGATTCTGGCTTCGCAATCATTGAAAGGATTTGATAAACCATTTCGGGTCTTAATTGATTGTTCACGCTTACGGTGGCTTTCAGACAGCATACATAAATTTTTCGTCTCCCCTCTCCTCTTTCCGAACATAGATGGACTCGTCCATCTAAACAAACTGTCAAATCGCTATCCGTGGTGCTAACATTTAAAAATAAATAAATAAAAACCGCCACTTCTTTCAAATGTACTTGCCGTTGGTTTTCACACCTGATGATGACTGCTTGTGTTGCAGTCGAAACGTCGTGATAATTTTATTGTTTTATATTTTATTATTTTATTGTTTCCCTTCAACGTGACTTTACCGAAAGAACCAAGAATATAGATCTAAAGTGGTGAAACTTGTTGCCGTCTTGAAAATGGAGGGAACCGTACCGAGTGTTGAGGGGTCTGCTGGATAGATCTCAAACAAAGGGGGCCAAAGAAGCAAAGATTCTGCCTATGTTGTCCGGTGGGGAAAGGATCCAGAAGGGCGGCAAGTAGGACACGAGACCTGGCAATGAGTGTGGTAAGTTTAGAAAGAGTGATAATTAGAGAACGCGGCTAATACCGTGCCCTTAAAGCTATAAACTAGTTTTATTTTACCAGTGAACAATATAGCTCTTTTTCAGAAGTGACCTGGCTATCGCAAAAGATAGCTCAACGCAGGGGCTTGTTGCGTGGAAATGTATGGCAGGCAAATACTGTAAATGCACGTTCATTCTTAATGTGGAGGGAAAATCCGGAGGACCCGGAGGAAAATTCACTCGACAATGGGGAGAACACGCAAACTTCAAATTTTAGAGCAAGCGTCAGGGTTGGCATTGAACCCACGACCTCCTGTATACCAGGCGAGGTAAAAAGAGGTTTGTAGAAATTAGGAGGGAGAGAGGACCATTGGTGTCGACAGTAATCAAGAGCCGATGGTGGTGATTTTGTCAGGAAAAAAACAAACTGTTGCAGCAAATTGCAATGATCGTTTGAGATTAACCTGCTGGCCTGGATTCAGAAGGTGATTAACAGTGGCAAATATAACTCTAGGAGTATTAGTTCCAGTGGCAATCATGGCGGCAAGACGGACATATTTTCCTTGAGAGATCCTTGCAGTTGCGGAGTGATGTTTTAAAGAGCATTTGACGGATGGTTAAGACCTCACTTCCTCCAGACCCTCTCTGATTTATGAGCCATTTATTTCATCGTCCGTAGCTCGACTGAATACCATGGGGAGAGCTTCGTGGTGAAAATGAGTTGAGAGGAGCTCGGTGATCTAAAATGTGCAAAAGAGTGGAATTAACAAAGCAATCTCCTCGACAAAGGGGGAGGCTGGGCTCACAGAGAGGAAGGAAAGGGCAAAGGCATCAGTAATTGATACGGAAGTAATGGATTTTTGCAGGCGATAAGAAATATGGCGTCGACGGGAAGAGAGTGAGCAAGGTGAGGGCATCTCGAAGATTAGTGCAGGGTGATCAGATAGTCCTGCATCGGCAATGGGAAGCCAGTGGAGCAGACGACATCCAGAGATTGTCCACGGGTGCGAGTAGGGAGCCCTGTGATGGTTTCTTTGTTTTCGGCACAGTGAAAAGCAACTTTTTTCTGACAGCGTACAATTTGCTTCCACCATCCAATCGTCTCGGTGTGAATTGTATTTGACTTGCGTTTGCACGTGTGTGTGTGCGTGTGTATGTCCGGGAGAGCGGTAGTGCAACGGTTAGCGCGCTGCGCTGTGAACCCGCTCATGGCCAACACCAGTTACGATTATTTGAACCGGTCCTGGGCCTCCCTTAGATCGACTCAGCCACAAATGAGTACCTGGTGCAATGTGTAAACATCGCCACCGGGGAGACAAAGGCGGCTAGGCTTGGTGCTGGCCACCCACCCCCTTTGTGTGGCGTTCCGGCCTTCATAAGTGCTCGCTTACATGGGGGAATCTCTGTCTTTGTTGCACGAGTGTAACTGCATGAGCAATTTGCGAATGCATGTGTCGATGTGGTTTTGTGCAAGCACACGCTCGTGACAGATGAGGTCTGGATCTTGTGAAACCTGTGCACGCATCATGTGCCAGAAATTGTGCAACTGCTTGCACGCTCGTCAAAGCCCAAGCTGTACATATTTACTGTGAGCTTTGTGGACCGAAGTGTGATTTTTGTTGTTGTTGTTGTTCTATGTAGTTCACACTGGGGTTGCTCAACGAACAACCTGTAAATGGGTAAGCGCTTTTCAGAATTGGTTACCGGTTTCAAAAGTCAGAAACCGGTGACCGATCTCCGTGGGATTTTAATGGTGAATGAAAGTAACGTTGCCTCATTGTTTCAACTGTTGCACTGCGAGATTTAATCAAACTGGCGACCTCTGGATCGCAATTCCCCATGTTGCTAGCAGTTCCATCGCTGTGGCAGCTCTCTAACCTTTCTCATCCGAACTGCTGGACGTGTTTGTGTTCCGTACGCATAACCTGGTGTTTTAGTGGGAAATGAATTTTGTTTCCACAGCTCTGGCTTCTATCACTTCAACGTAAAGTGCATTCCCACGTTCCGCAAGAATGGCCAAAATGTACTTTACCTGCATTGGTGGTAACCAAAAATCCCTCTTCTGCAGTTGCTTTCTCGGGGAGAAGTGTGTCGGGAGGCGGTGAACGATTGTGACGTCAACGAAACGTGCACGGGAGATTCCAGCCAGGTGAGCCCCAGACGGTGTCCTCCTCTCTTCCTTTGCCAGAGTGCGTGCGTGGTGCCAGTGGTGGGAGCCACCTCCACCCTGGTTACAAATTACAAACGAAACTAAAACTATGTTTTCTTGTTACCAGGTAAGGCCCCGCCCACTGAACTATATACATTTTTTTCAGAAGCCACTTGGCTATCACAAATGATGAAATGTATAGCAACCAAATACTCTAAACGCGCGATGTTGATTCTAAATGTGGAGGGAAAAACCGGAGGACCCGGAGAAAAATCCACGCGACCAGGGGGTGCAAACTCCAAATATACAGCAAGCGTCGGGGTCGGAATAGAAGCCATGACCTCCTGTATACCAGGCGAGGTAGTAAACATCTCCTAGCCACCATGGCATACAAATTTAAAGTCAAAATGAAAATTCTTGCGTGAGGGACACAAATGGAAAAACACACGCAGCAGAACGTGTACCCAGGGTAGTCGATTACAGCAATATATCTTGAAATTCTGGGGTTTATCTTTAACAATATAGGACATTTCATTTCTAGTTTCGCTATTTTCTGTGTTCCTCCGTGTCTATTTTCAAGCCACCTTTTTAAAAAAGATGATGTTGGCAGTGGTGCACAAGCACAGACAACAACAAAAACACTCAACACACTCACCAATAACAACAACAAAAACACTCAACACACTCACCAATAACAATAATAACAAAAACACTCAACACACTCACCAATAACAACAACAGAAACACTCAACACACTCACCAATAACAACAACAAAAACACTACTACTTGGGCCTTGTAAAGAGAAAAAAGTATATGATAAGCCACGCTTCAGGCAATAGCCCTTCTTTACGGCGCAGAGACAGGCCAAAGAAGCAGAGTGACTCTCACGAACTCCACCTCCACGCCTGATCCCAATGGAACCTCCTCCTCCTCACTCCTCAAGCCCCTCAGCCACCTCCTTCAATCACCAAACAGCTCAGGCTGATACATGAAGCACTTTTTGGCCAAAGTGTTAACGTTTTTATTCTTTGAGGTGTTCTTGACAAATCTGTTGAGATTTTTTGTCTCTTTTCAAAAAGTTGTTCATTATTTCCATGCCCCTGGTGGCTGCAGACTCTAATGTTGATGCCAAATGTATCGGTAATCCTCTCTGCTCTGCTGATTTTACCTCCCTTCGAATTGAAGCCCTGTACCCGGGGATATTTTGCCAACAGGAATTCAACGGGAGAATGTTTAACCCAAGTGCAGTTTACTTTACGGGGTATAAAGCTGGCGATGGAAACTCCACAGCAGTGCGCTGGGATGCAGTAGGCTGGGTCTGCCACACTGCTTGTGGCAAGTGCCTCGGCTAATGTACCTGCAGTGAACACATTTATCTGCTGTGATTTTTTTAAATACAGGACATTGATAACTAACGCCTTACTGGTCTCTGTTGAATGACTGCATGAACCTCTTTCACGGTGAACGTTTATTTTGTTTAACCAGGTGGGACCTCAAGAGGCAAGGATAGTCTCATTTGCAAAAGTAGTCCGACTCAGTGCATGAATGTACAAATTAACTTCATAAATATATCAGCGCATGCTCCATCCCCTTTGCATTTCATCGTGCGAGTGTGACAATGCTCGTCGCGGCTTTGGGGATTTTTTTTTGCGCGTGACCTCTGTGTAGATGAGGTTGTGTCCGTGTCGTTTCACTGCGTCTCATTTTAGTGTCCAGAAAATGTGCACAAGCAAGATGGATACTGGTGCAACGACCAGCAGGTACGATCCTTGCTTGCTACCATCATCTTTAAAATAATTGTACTGCAAGCTTCATCTTATTTTATTCCAGTATTACACTTATTTTCTCAGGAAGGCCTGATTTTTTTTTTAAATATATATCAAGTGAGTCATTTGCAGGTATTTCTTTCCAGCATTGGGATGTTTGGCCAATGCCAGTTACAGTTGTGTGGCGGTTTTTGTTGGCTTTGGGAGGAAACTGGAGATCCCGGAGGAAACCCACGCAGAACAGGGGTGAAACAAACAAATCCCTCAAAGAAAGGCACCCGGTTCGGGAATGTGACCCAGGCACTTCATGCTGTGAGCCAACGAGTGCTTCCGATGGAGTGACCTTGCTGCGCTACCGAGCCGCCGCCGTCACCTTGACTGACCGCAGCCCAACTCTCGCTGTGCCTACTCCAGGGACGCTGCTTTCAAGGAGAGTGCAAGTCACGAGATGGACACTGCAAGTACATATGGGGACCTCGTGAGTAGCGATTTTCATTGGTTCGTGCTTGGCAAATCCCAACTTTGCTGTGGTGGTACTCTTCGCAGTTCTTTGCCACGTGTATCCGTGATTTTGTTCAATGAGTGGTGTCCAGGGTGAGTTTCTGTACAGGACTGTGCAAAGACAAAGATTCCCCACCCACCCCCCCCCCCCCTCGCCGTATAACCCTTAACAGACTGTTGGGGCAAGTGCTGTTTGCGAGTAGCACCTATGAAGGCCGGCACTGTAGCACATGAGAAGGGTGGGTGGCCAGCACCATGCCCGAGTGGTGATGTTTACGAACCGCACCAAGTACTCATTTTGGGATGAGTCGACCTGGGGGAGGTCCAGGACCGGTTTAGAAAATCATCACTGGTGTTGATCGTGAGCGGGAATCCAAATCGTGTCCCCGCTACCCACAGGACTGTACAAGCACCACGACACAAACGTCCATAGTTCATGCAATACTTACCATGCACTGGTAAACATGGTGGAATTTTAAAATGTGCAAATCTTTGTTCTAAACAGCCTTGTTTTCACAGTTTACCGTAATGCTTACCGAGTACAAAAATATTCTCTGCAAGCTGATGTATTCCAATTAGACACGTGCAGCACACTCGTCATCGGTTTCTTAAGTTCAAAAGTTTTGGCCGTATATAAACTGCTGACATTTTTACACAGTTAAAACTTGTTGTGTTAATACATAAATTGGCCTCCGCCATAGAAATGCGGAATTCCCATTACTGGGCCAAGATTACCTGCTGACATGAGCTCCTTTGATTATATGGGTACACACACTGACACATCTAACTACTTTGGAATCTCCATAAATATAAATGTGTCGTTAAACCCGCCACCACCCGACACGGCCAATTAGTAAGATTTGTCATGTAAACAAAACGTGCCAATTAGTTACTACTTCAGCACACCGGTGTTTTGGAGAGTAAACCCACAACATTTACAATTTGAGTAGGACATTTCGCCGGTAATTACAACCAGCATAATCAGGCAACAACCAGAGTCTAACCAAAAAACAACCTCTATTATGGATATTGGTCGTGAAAATTACCTTGGAATCTGTTGAGACTCCCACACACATTTCAATGCTTAGTACAAAACACGATAATTAGATGGATGCACTATATGTATTCATAGTTTATAATTTAAACAGGAAGAGCTCAATAAATTGTTAAGATATAATTCATGGGCGTCATGCGAAGGTACAGCTGTTACTACACAGTACAGACCTTAGTTAAAATCATGGTTACCTAATTACAACGCTCAATGTGCCAACGTTTGCAATTATGCTTCGTGTACAGAAACAAAAGGCCGTAATAATTATTCTTATGCTACGTATAAAGGTCTCCTCCTTATCACATGTGGGGAGTGCAGTGTGGGCGGGTTCAAGGCGGTCGCCCTCTCGGATGCTGTAACGTTGCTACAGAAACAGTGCATGTGTAGCGGGTCCCCAAGGAAACCGGAGACATAGCTTAGAGGCAACACGTTTTATTCAAATACCGTAACACAAGGTCCTTTACCCCCGCTACCTGTGGAGGTATGGCCTCCGGGCTGACGTGACCTATCACTGGGACTACGGGCTCTGAGTCCTCCGGCTAAGGGTGACCTCGGGGAGGCTACGCTGACCCGACCCAGCCAAGGTGCGGGTCTCGACCACTGGCCCGCGCTCGGCCCCGGTCCTTACAAGGACGTCGGGTGCCGGGGGTCCCCAGGGTCCTAGCCTAGCTGGTCTTCAGTCTTCGTCTTCAGAGCACTGTCCCCAAGCCGTCCTGAGGTCCGTCTTTTATATCCACCTCGGAGACTCTCCGCCCCCTTTCTGGAACCTTCCAGGGGGCTCTGGAATAACCCCCCAACCCCTCACCTGGGGTCGGAGGGGGAACTCGGCCTCTCAACGGTCCGGCTCCCTCTCTCTATCTCATGGTGGTACCCCTACAGACCTGTGCCCGCAACTACAGTTAAGTATACATAGGGCGGCGTGTGCAATGTATTTCCGACGCTACACATGTATCTATGGCAGTCTTTTTTTGCCAGTATCAAGATGATGGAAAACATTTTTTTTACCCTTTTCGGCAAGAATAGACGCGATGATAAGAAGTCCAAACACCAAATAGGCATCCATCACAAGGCATCAAGTCTGCATTAACCATACTCGCTTATGGTAAAACATGCAAAAATGCTTCGATAACAGATTCATTGTCCTTGAAACGGATTGGCCTACACCAGTGACAACCTCCTTTATGGCCCTGTCTCACCAGTGCCAGACCAAAGAATGGCAAAAGGCGAACAGCACGAATACAATGCAAACATAAAAGTCTTAATAGCTTGGGTTGAGCAGTTATATTCAGGACCCTTTTTTCCCAGTACAGTCTGTTCACCTAAAACACCGCATTTTTTCATAATGCGAATTGGATATAACGCAATTAATGCATTCGGGAACACATTTTTTATTACATGGATGCTAATTGGATATAGCGCGCTTCAGCGAACAGAACTACGTCGCGCGAGTAGGGATAAGCAGTCGTACGGCTGCCTCGGCATAGCATCACACAAGGCGGGATGCTGCTGGATGCTTCTAGATGCTACCCAACACGCCACAGTCTTTGTTCGGCCTGCGTGCGCATCTCACGTGTTATCGCGGACTGCGCTTTACCCGATATTGTTCATGATAACGCGATTTTTCCATAACACGGTGTTCTTCAGGAATCCACCTACCGCCGCGTTACAGGAGAACACGACTATATTCTTGCCGGCAAGCGTAAAGCAGTGCTTGCGTTCATCACGAAGCATGGCGGTAACGTCGAGCGTTGTGCCGCTACATGCTTTTGCGTCCCACGTGCCGATCCCTCTCTTGTTTCAGGCGTGGTGTCGGCCGATAAGCATTGCTATGAAAAACTCAACGTCGAAGCCAATGAGAAGGGCAACTGTGGCAAACGTGATAGCAGCTGGATACGGTGTCAAAAAGAGTGAGTATGCAACTTTGTTACCCATCGCTCACTCTCGTCTGCCGCTGCGAAAGAAAGGAGGCCCTCGATATTTCAGCTCCCTTGTCCCTTTATTGACCGGATACAATTCCCATGCAGCCGAGTGTGCCATCTGGCTCAGTATTTAGACAAACTCAAGCCAATATTTACTGGCGAATGGCAGTCAGATTAATTGTTGTGATATTTCTGTTTTCTATCACTGACGGTGAAAAATACCCTGTTTTTATTTTTTATTTATCCCGCTAATTTGTTGTTATGCAATCACTGAGGCAGCATTTCGCATTCAGCCTTCTCGGCAAAAAACGTTTCCTCGGTGTCCCCCCGTGCAAAGCCAAAAATCGCCGCGTCGGCGAAAGAGCGACGGCAGGCTCCGTATCCTGCGGAGAAAGCGCTCCACTGCTTGGCATCCGCTGGACGAGCGCGGTAATTTGCGCACGGTCCCACGGGCAGACAACGGCGGTGAGCGACGACCGGTGCTGCCGGGACGAGAGGGGTCCGGCGCGGTGCGGCGGTTCTGCCCTGGCACAAAATCCTCGCCGCGTAAACCCCACGTAGCACGGGGTGATCCCTATTTGTTTTTGAGTTAAGGCACGTGCTAGTTTTATGAAAACAACTCTCGTTATTGATCCTCTTCCACCCGACAAGATTGTTACATTCACGAAGATGTTATTTACCCACAATAGAGGGTTTTCGTGGGGGGGGGGGGGGTAAATATAAATGTGTCGTTAAACCCGCCACCACCACCCGACACGACCAATTAGTGAGGTTTGTCATGTAAAAAAAAACCGTGCCAATTAGTTGCGAGTTCAGCACACCGGTGTGTTGGAGAGCAAACCCACAACATTTACAATTTAAGTAGGACGTATCGCAGGTAATTAAAACCAGCCTCAATAGGCAGTTTTGCCACAATTCTGGGAAAAATCGCCTGATGAAGCTGGTTGTAATCACCAGCGAAACGTCGTACTCAAAAGATGAGTGAGTGAGCAGCTCAGCCGTGGCTTGGCTCAGGGTTCGGCTCATTGAAATCCTGAGCATGGCTGGGACCGTGCCTAGAGCCGGCTCAAGTTGAGCGTGGCTTCGAGCTGCCTCACTTGGGTCAGAGCCAAGCTTGAGCTGAGCCATGGCTAGGAATACAGGTCTACATCTCTTAGGGGAGGACCAACTATTTGTTTCCGAATTTTTATTAAATCAGATTTTCAATTAGTTACGAGTTCAGCACACCGGTGCGCTGGAGAGTATTTATTTACGCGTGCCGATGTAACCGATCAAATTGTGACCGACGAAGCTCCTCCTCGCCGGCGGCTGAAGACTTTTCACGGCTGAATTTCATGCAACACGTGGTGTTGCTCAAACTGCTGTGAGCTTCGGCAGGCAGTGAACTCGGAAATGGAGCTGAGGCGGCTTCAGCTCACCCAGTGCTCTCAGGACCCGCCGTGGCATCGCCAACTGCCTCCGAATGCATCATTCCATATTTTTTTCTTGGTAATTTAGGACTGGCTACTTTCAAATACGTTCATTATTTCAAAGATGTTTTCCATTTATTCAAAGGACTTCACTGAGATGGATACCTGTTGCGCTTCATGGCACTGATTTGTGCGTTTGTCAGCTTACGTGTATGTTGTTAGTTGTGTTGGTTCTGTTGATTTCTTATGGAGTTTAAATATTTACTGGCCACTGATGTTGGGGCACCATGCGACATTTTGTTTATAACTCTCTGGTCTGTTGAAGTTGTTTTTATTTCTCTCTCTCTCTCAATCGCTTGTGTGATCACACTTTACCAGTCATAACTGGATTTGCACAGGACATCCACTTGATAGAAATCCACCGTGCGTCCATCTCCTTGACACGCACGTCCTGCCGCAGCAGAATGTATGATGTTGAACTTCTTTCGCACCGCACGTAGCGAACCGTGCCAGTCGGAGGTGCGAATGTGCATTCGGCTGTTCGTATCTGATGCGTTTGTTTTTTTGGTGTTCCTTCATACGCACACCGACCTTGCTGCCGGTGTCCCCGACATAGTGAAGTCCACAGCTTCAAGTACCCGCCATGACCTTCACGGCGGGTACTTGAAGCTGTGGACTTCACGGCGGGTAATTACAATACAGTCAGCTGAAGCATCCCCCTCGATGCCCTAGCTCATTGCCCGATGAAGCTCAAAAGCGATTTGAGCGAAACGTCATCATACGTTGCGTTAAATTCACGTTAAGGTCATGAAAATTCTCAAGTCGCTGGCGAGAAAAGGGTTTCATTGGTCATAATTTGATCAGTTTGATAAATATATTAATAATATCTGTATAATCGTGACAATCGTGTCAGGCGGTGTAGGGTTAATGACAAGAAAGGTGGCGTAACGCTATCATGTTACCTGACCCAAAAACAAATATGGATCATTGCATTGGATACAAAAACCTACGTTTTAAGCTAAGCTTAGGATTGGTCATGCACACACACCAAGGCCTTTCTAACCTACATACATGTTTATTTTCTTAACACGTATGGTTTCACAGTCAATGCTATGATTATTAATAGATTATTGGGTTTGGCCAGGGAATGACCTGGCCATATAAGTGTCATACAACACTCCACCACCGCACACAGCCACACAAAATAAATTGTCACACGTGCGGGTGTTTAACAACGCACTAATTATTATATTTCAAAATTATCCTTCAACTCACCAGCAAGTGAGAGGAAACAAAAAATAATTGATGCGTTGATAAATGCTTATGCACTAAGTGACAATTTAATTGATTGGTTCTGTCCGGTGGTGGATTGTCTCAAGACACACATTTGGCCAGATTATTACATTGCCTAACCCAAGAATCGGTGATGGATCATGTTTATTCATCTCGTGTTCATATACGAGGTTGGCTGTAGTCTTGCGACCCACATGGTTACCCACAATGCCCAGCGTGTGTTCCACAGTTCACTTCTTTCACAGCTTCTACCATGTACGTTGAACTTCTTTCGCACTATACGTAGCTAACCGTGCTAATCGGTGCGAGGCTGCAAATCTTCTTGGCCAATGTATGTCGGTTGGAAGACTGAATGAAAATTCAGGCCAGCTAATCTGCTTACTTTGGGCTTAGAAATACTTCGTAATGTGTGCGAGGCCATGCGAACTTAGCGGAGGGTAAATTTAGCGGAGGACTGAAATGGCTGTACGGTCTGGGCCCCATGTGACGATGAGCGAATGTCTAGCTGAGAAGAAGCGATGCACGCTCCCACCATGGGCTTTCTGTCGCAATTGTAGGGGGTATTGCATGCTGTGCGCCATACAGCAGAAACCACGCCTTGTAAGTCATACGGAAGGGTGACCCCTCACACTGGCTTGGCCCAGCTGCAGTCGCTGTTCTCTTTGGTAATGAACAACATTGCCAGCTCTTGATGAATGTTAAGTTGCTACTTAAACGAGCATTGAGGTGGAGTTCTCTCCCATTTATAGCCTTAAACCAGTAATGAAAATTACACATTTCTATGATGGGGGTGATGATGGGCTGAGTCAACCCCCAACCAGGATTTTAAATCACAACCTCAGATTATATTATTGGTTCTTTTGGTAAAGTCACGTAGAAGGGAAACAATAAAATAATTAAAAAGTAAATAAAATTCTCACGACGTTTCGACTGTGACACAAGCAATCATCATCAGGTGTGAAAACCACAGCAAGATTGTGAACCGCTCGGTCTGCCACAGAGCCACCTGGCCGAGTGTTTTACTCTTTGCCTGCAGGGCGGATTTGCAGGCTGCAATACGGACCTTTGCGTGGTTCATGTCGATGAACTGAATGCCTCTGGATTCACTTCAGCTGCCGTTGGTGTCTTGTCATTACAGTGACATCCTGTGCGGATACTTGCATTGTTCCAGCATCGCATGGCCTCCCCGAGTAGGGGAGATGGATGGAGACATTACCAAGGTGGAGATGTACAAGGAAGGAAGATACATCGATTGCAGGTAAAATGTTCTACGCGTTGCTTTGGATGGATATTGATGGATCGCCATTTAGACCATCGCAAGATAAACAATGTGGAAGGTTTTACTCGATGACAAAATATGACTCAACCCATTGGCCGAGAGGTCGGAGGTCTTCAGAAAGGTGTGAGGCTGCTCAATCATTAGCGTCGTTGTGGAGAATGTAAGTAACAAAATGAATGAACAGATACACCTTCCTCCCATATTTATATTCACCTAACCAAATTAAAATATTAAATAGTAAAAAAAAGTCAAAGTACATGGCCTTCTGGGAGTTGAATTTTCAAGCAAACTCGGACCGATTTAGACATTCAGTGTCTCATCAACAGAGTTAGGCTCGATTAAACCCACGCTAATGAACTGCGAGATGTTTGTGTAATAAACGACTTCCACGACAGGTTGAGACTTGCGCCCTTTCTTTATTTAGTTATGACTGCTCGGCTCCGCACTCTCTTCCCGATGGTCACCCTCTCTCTCTCTCTCTCTTTCGCCGCATGCACGCGCTCACTGCTCCTCCATTCCCACGCGGCTTCCCTCGCTCTCGCTTCCGCCGGGAGTCGGGAGAGCTTCGGCCCTCGAGGCTGCCACGTGGTCGGTGAAGAGATGGCGGAGACACAGCCCTGACCCAGGCTTCCACACCGAACCCCGAGTCCGCCTCTTGCCTCTCCTTATATCCTCCTTGCCGGAGCGAAGCCCCGCCTCTAACCACGCCCCCCTCAGAACCTTCTCAATGGTATCACGCATATACCCCCCTGAGCTCCACCCATGAACTTTGGCCCAGATCGAACCCGTAGCCCTGATTGGCTATCACCGATGCGGCAATGCCTATGCAGCCCTCCGTCACCCGTCGGTGTGCTCTCTCATTACATTTGTATAGACAAGGACGTTCTGTTAGATATGGGTCCTAGTTCGTTGCAAAACCAAGTAATACATAAAACACAGAGTGATCATTAGCGTCATTGATGAGACACTGAAGTATGACATTTGGACCTTTTTCATTTGAAAAAGAGTTCGATTCCTGAGGTATATGAACTCTTTTGTTTTAGAGATCTGCAAGAAATTCATCCACTAACTGCAGTTTCTTGTAATTAAATGCAGTAACTCAAACGGGAGTAGTAATTTGTGCGTGTTTTTCAGTGTGCGTGCTCTCAGAATGACCGTTTATTTTTTTCTGAGTATAAAAATTTACACGGTGACGTTAATGCGTCAGTAAGTGTTCTGATATAATGCATGCGTTGCATTTTTTACACAAATCATGCGTCTCCTAAAGCAGTCCACATTTATCAATAGGCATTACAAGATCAGTGTGTGCCAGCTTACGTAACCAACACGCTTGCTCTGTAAAATGCTCATTGTGTGCTACGTTTTTGTTGTTGTTGCAGTGGTGGCCATGTGATGCTAGCTGATGGAATGGACCTGGGATATGTTCCAGATGGAGCTCCCTGTGGACACAATATGATCTGCTTGAGACAAAAGTGCAATGCAATCCGTAGCCTAAACCTCACGGCGTGCCCATCGAATACAGAGGACAGCTGCTCAGGACGTGGGGTAAAAACTTATTTAATCTGCTCTTCACCTTTTACGGGCGACGTGCCACCAATGCACCAATCAATACTGAATTAAAAATTAGTCTCTTGATTTGTTTTTTTTATTATTACGCTTAATATGCATGCGTGATGTTCATACAGTCATGTTGAATAACTATGAATAACACAACCAATAATAGATATTAATTGTAATTTATATTATTACATTAACCCCCCCTAGTCTTCGCACCTGATTGGCTCACAAGTGACGACATCACATTTATGCTTCCAAAATTTAAGACCGAAACAGGAGGATGATTTCTGCACAGCTCTGGCTGTCACCTGATGAAGCTGGTTGTAATTACCGGCGAAACGTCTTACTCAAATGTATAAATGTTACATAGATAAAATAAAATAAAACAAAATAAAAAGAAAATCACGACGTTTCGGAGGCAACACAAGCTTCCATCTTCAGGTGGAATAGTCACAGCAAAAGATCACTCTACACAGATCTTTTGCTGTGACTATTCCACCTGAAGACGGAAGCTTGTGTTGCCTCCGAAACGTCGTGATTTTCTTTTTATTTTGTTTTATTTTATTTTATCTACGTGACTTGACCGAATAAAAGCAAAGAGTATGAATCCTTGCAGTCTCGAAAGCTTTAAATCTAGAATTATAAATGTTGTTGTGTGTTTACTCTCCAACACACCGGTGTGATGACCTAGTCACGAATTGGCATGTTTTGTTTACGTGACAAACCTTAATAATTGGCTGTGTTGGGTGGTGGCGGGTTTAATGACACTTTTATATTTACACGATCTAACCTCCCAAAATTAGGCTAATACCTGTTAAACTGATTTCGCTGGTTTACCCAAGACATCCTCAAGACTATGTTTCAGGAGTGTTCTGCCAAGTTTTTCGCAGTAGGGGGGGGGGGTCACGTTGCTGTGTGTTAGTCCCAATTGACAACATTTTTTGCTGGTAAGGTTCCAGCATCGAGATGCGTTGGCCAATGGCACTTACATTGTATATTATTTTTAGCGATTGGAGGAAAGCGGAAAACTTGGACAAAATCCATATATCTTCTTTGGTTCTTTCGGTAAAGTCATGTAGAATGAGAATAAAATAATAAAATTAAGAACATGAATCCTTGCAGTCACGAAAGCTTTAAATCGAAAAATAAAATCCATGTAGAACTAGGGAGAACTCACAAACTGCATACAGAAAGGCACCCTAGTCGGAAATCGAACCCAAGCATCATTGCTGTTCGGCACCAGTGTTACATGTACCACTGCACCGCACTTGACAACCAAATCAGTGATTGCTTTGATTTGTGTCGTCAGATCTGTCAATGTGTCCTCCGCATGGTCGTGCGCAACACGACACGAACGTGACGACTTCAAAGCCCCTTTATTATTGTTACTGGCCTCTTTGCCCGTTCTGACGGAAGCTGTAATACAGTATTTATGGGGGGAAAAAAGAATAGTCGTGTATAATTGTATCTTGTGTAAATTGAACGGCAGTGAATTTTTTTTGCACGAAAGTATGCCATCAAACACTTCACTGCATTTCACTGTAGCACTTTATATGACTGACATTCAATTTGTTATAATTCACTACTCTGATACGTTATTCGCTTCTGCTTTCGGTCGCTGGGGTTCAAATAAATTGGATTGCAATACAACATCTGGAAAATCACCGAGAAATGTCTATTTAACCAAAATATAGAAGCATAAATGAGACTTGTCTTTTGTCTCAAGTGCTGAAGAAAGAATCCAGTTTGGTGCTGCGTAGAATTATTTATTAGATTCACTTTCATTTATTAGATTCACTTTCAATAAAGAAACGTGAAACTTAAAGCGAATTTGCGAAAAAATATTATTTCCGCACGACCTTCTTACTGACGGGGGGTGCGGCATGTGGAGTGACGTCACGCGCAGGACACAAACTCCCTCATTAATAATCATGAGCGGATGACGTCACTCCACATGGAGCTCCCCCCTCATCAATACTCATGACCTGATGACGTCACTCATGTGGACCCCGCCCCCACCCCCTCATTAATAATCAAGGGCGGATGTTGTCACTCCACATGGAGCTCCCCCCCCCTCTCATCAATAATCATGGCTGATGACGTCACTCATGTGGACCCCGGCCCCAATCCCTCATTAATAATCAAGAGCGGATGATGTCACTCCACATGGAGCTCCCCCCCTCTCATCAATAATCATGAGCTAATGACGTCACTCATGTGAATCCCGCCCCCACGCCCTCAATAATAATCAAGAGCGGATGACGTCACTCAACATGGAGCTCCCCCCTCATCAATAATCATGGCATGATGACATCACGCATGTGGACCCCGGCCCCACCCCCTCATTAATAATTATGAGCGGATGACGTCACTGCACATGGAGCTCCCCCCTCATCAATAATCATGGCTGATGACGTCACTCATATGGACCTCCGCCCCACCCCCTCATTAATAATCATGAGCGGATGACGTCACTCCACATGGAGCTCCCCCCCTCTCATCAATAATCATGAGCGGATGACGTCACTCCACATGGAGCTCCCCCCCTTATCAATAATCATGGCATGATGACGTCACTCATGTGGACCCCGGCCCCACCCCCTCATTAATAATCATGAGTGGGTCATTATTTTCGCTTGAATATTTCAGATTAACTGCAATACACACGTCATTGGACGGGCTATTAGGCTACTTTTATCATAATTTAGAAGCAAAAATTAGACTTACCTTTAGTTTCAAGTGCTGAAGAAATAAATTAAGACACCAAATACACTTTGTTGCTGCGTAGAAATATTGATTTTATTACATTTCAATAAAGAAACGTCAAATTTCAAGCGAATTTGCCTAAAAAAATGTTTTAGTTCGGATCGACCTGCGGGGAGTGTAAAAATCCCCCCGCTCATGATTATTAATGAGGGGAGGGGGGGGTCTCTGTTGCAGTGACGTCACGTACGGATTAAGCACTGTGCTGCGTATATTAATGTTTAACTTTCTGTCAAGAAACGTCATATTTTAACAAAAATATCTTTCCGCTCGACCTTCCGCTAAGTGTAAAAATCCACCCGCTCATGATTATTTTATTTTTATTATTGACGGGGGGGGGGGGCATGTGGAGTGACGTCACGCGCGTTACACACATTTCTAGGATGTTGTAGTATTATCATGAGAGCTTGGGGGGTGGGAGAAGAGACGATGGGAAGGAATTCCACAGTGGAGCAGTGTGGAGAAAGATGCAGCCAGAATCCTGCAGCACGCTGGTTGAACGCGGTCTGTGTTGAATGCCAAAAAATATGAAGTTACTTGAGTTTTAAACATTTAATCAAATGTGCTTCTTTAACACTGCCCCTGAATTCTCAGATTTGCAGCAACATGGCCAAGTGTGTTTGTGATCACGAGTGGGCTGGGAGCGACTGCAGCATCTATGATCCACTCATCATGGCACCGCTTCCAACTGAAAAACCAATTCCAGGTCTGCTGTTTTAATGGTACATTTATAAGTTATGTTTGTATGTACGTTTAACTTATTCTTGGTTATTTCGGTAAAGTCATGTAGAAGGGAAGTAATACAAATAAAACAAAATTAAATTCTCACGACGTTTGGGCCATAAAATCTAATTTTATTTAATTGGTAAATTTTCATTATTTTATTATTTCCCTTCTACGTGACTTTACCGAAAGAACCAAGAATATGAATCCCTGCAGTCACGAAAGCTTAAGTTTATGTTTACCTTCTTTTGCACCGTACATACCCAACCGTGCTAATTTATAACCTTTGGGGAAATTTCCTTAAAGGCCCCCCCCAGCCTTTTTCACCCAGCAGTATAAATGGGTACACCGTAGTTTGTCGATGAGTGGGTCACGTGTGGTGGGGTCAACTGTGGGTATGCCCACAGGTCTGGCCACCGTGGAAGAATAGACCAAATACCATCTTCATTTTGCTCTCGTGGAGGCCCCTTCCACCAGCAGTGGCGTAAGCCAGCAATTGCAGAGTTCTACTTTAACCGTTCATCTCTTAGCCTTACAGGTGTGCGTACATTGATATAAACTTGCCTTTACATATAGTCGTAATTAATATAGTTATGAAGGTGGTGTGTTTCAACTGGCTCATTGAGATGTCAAGCTCATCATCATCACAGCCTTTGACACCAGGCAAGAGCCCAGCTGACGGACGAGGCCCAGGGCAGCGCTCTTCGCGGTGGCTGGAAACACCGAGGGCCAGGCAGGGCAGGGGATAGGTTAGGAAAGAAATCGGAGGTAGTGAGAGACAGCCCAGAGATGAACAGAATTTATCACAAAATAAGGCAGGGAAAAGAAAAGAAAAACAGAGCGAGCGGGAGATAGGGTCAGGAAACAGTTTTTGGGCTGGGCAGCAGCAGCAGCTCGACCTGCAAATAGCCTCAGCTGTGGCAGCAGGGCCGTATTATGCAATAGGCACTGTGCCTAGGGTCTACGATATCTTCTTGAATATATATTGCAATAGCAAGGATAGGCACAGTGTATATACAAAGAGTCAGGAGTCATGTCAATGTGATTTTTTTTCTCACCAGAGATTAACTTTTTAAAATATTTTTTTCATTGCAAAAGTACCAATAACATTTCGATTTGAAGCTTTCGTGACTGCAAGGATTCATCTTCTTTGGTTCTTTCGGTAAAGTCACGTAGAATGAGAATAAAATAATAAAATAACACAATAAAATTCTCACGACGTTTCGGCCACAACGCAAGCGGCCGTCTTCAGGTGAAAGGTACAGAACTGTGGCCGAAACGTCGTGAGAATTTTATTGTGTTATTTTATTATTTTATTCTCATACCAATAACATCTTCAAATGTTTGTTGCACAATCAAGCGAGTGACAGCAGCAGTACCAACTGTAGAAAGTTATCACTGAAGACCGATGAAACAGAAGTGCCTAGGGCCTACAAGAACCTGAATCCGGTCCTACGTGACAAGAGCACCAGGAGATGGAACCAAACGGGTGTCCTCTGGTTACGTCCAGTGTGCTATTACACAAATGTGGCGGCTCCCGATTTTGACTTTTTTTTCATGCTGTTACCAGTTCGTATGTATGTATGTTGAACTTCTTTTGCACCGTACGTAGCCAACCGTGCCTAGTCGGATGTGCGGGTAAGGACAACAAACTAAACACAATAAAACAAGCAGTTCTAAAGAAATTCGTTTTCAATGGAAACCTAAAAAGCAGTTCCGGAATAAAATATTTTAACCATCCTACTAATAATAATTATTATTATATCTGGATGCTGCTGTGGTGTAACGGTTAGCACCACTGGACTTGCAATACGGATGTCGCCAGTTCAGTCTTACGGTTTGCGGCAGTTGAAACATTGGTGCAAGTGTCTTATATCGGCCTCTGTCCACCCAGCAGTGTCAGTGGGTACCACGTCAAGTGGATGGATCTGCAGGGTGCATGTGGTGGGGTAAAGCATGGGATACTCACACCCCTTCCAAGATATCTCACAAGCATATAGCAGAGCAGACCAAAATACCTTCCAGACAGGATCTCTGGAGTTCCCTAGTGGGGGCTCTTCTGCCAGCAGTGGTGAAAGCAATTGCTGGGCTGTGCCTTTACCATGTTGTTAATATGTTCAAGGATCCAGATATTAAATGGATGATGAATATCATTTAGTATTTTTTATTTATAAAATGTTTCTTGGCCTTGATTAAACTGTTGGTCGGCGCATGTCGAAGGACCCTTTTACTCAGCCATTGATGCCATTTGACTGTCATTTTATTTTCAGGGCCCAGTGCTGCAAATATTATCATTGGATCCATTGCAGGCGCCATCCTGGTGGCTTCTATTGTCATTGGAGGAACTGGATGGGGTTTTAAGTAAGATGCACGACAGCAAAATATATTAAATCGCACACACAAAAGCAATGAGCTAATACCAGTTGGAATCGTTTTTTTTTTTCTTTTTGCTATCAAAAGGTTCGGTCGCAATGTAAGCTCCGGCACGTATCATGGAGTGGGCGACTTTTGTCTTGCAAGTCTAAAACCACGCTTGTAATGTTTGCCATGTGTTGCGTCTGGAAAGGCCTGCGCCAAGAAGAAGGGATGCTGCTCAAGGACCCATATAAACCGTTTCAACGCCGTTGGATTGATTTGCTGATGCCATATTTTTAAAACTTTGCATCGATACGTAACTTTTGTACAGCCCTTGCACTATGAAATACGAAACTGTATATTATCTATGCATGATTCAATGTGAATAATTGCTGGTTGAAAAAAATATATCATGAAATATTACAAATAGAATGCTTAAAGTGTTAATGCCTTTAAATGCATGGTTGAGGTATAAAGCAACATACATTTTTGAATTATTCCAAAAAAGTACCATATTTAGCATTGACAAAGAGCATGGAATTATGTATACACTATGGTGTACTTGGCAATAATTTTTTTTTTAAGTTTGCAAATATACTGTAAACTTTCTTAAAAGTTTAATTATAAACAAACTTGAAAAATTGTATTATCTTTGATGTCTGTGCATTGTTTAGGATTTTCAGTCATGTAAAAGTACAAATTCGTAAAGCACAAGTGGGATATACTTCTCTGGGAACCCTGACCGTGATACAGGAAAATGGACGAGGGGTGGGAGAGCTGAGCCAGGGGGGAGGGGGGGATAGCAAAGGGGGGGAAAGAGATCGGTGCCCTGGTAAAGTGTGCGTAATGGAGAGAAGAGTCAGAACACAAGTCGACAGAGGAGAACCACATTGTTGTAAACACTGCCAATGGTTCCTGAGACAGACTCCCCAGGTGCTCCATCGTGGGGAGATTGCACGATTTCCATTGCCCATCGCCTCAACTAAAACGGTCCGAGGGTGCTGTAATTATTCTCCAAAGAGGGATTCGTGAGTCCAATATTAAACGGGAGGTGGATGCCCAAAAAGCAAGCGTGGATGGGGGTGGGGGGGATATGGAAGTGCCCAAAAGGTCATTGATGGGTTGGATAATATTATTGTATAATGTTTGAACCTTTGGACAGGTCCGGAAGGGAAGTCTTGAGCAATTTGATTGAAAAGTGGAGGCAATAAGGGCTTTGCTATAGGATATGTGACCATCGTAGCATCGTTCAGCTCTGCACCTGTTGAATTCTGCCAAAGTTGAACCATTTCAACCTTTTTTCAAGCACTGTTTGCCAGTAAACCAGAGTACATGTGACATATCGTGGAAGGGAGCAGGGGGTTAGATATCAATGAAGCAAAAGCCTTGATTAAAACTCATTGAAACTTTATTCGGGTGTGATTACGTGTGTGACCTCAACACCAGTTGTTACTCAAGTCGCCTTCTTCCCAGTCTCCGTAGTCCAGAGGCAAAACACGCGTCAGTAGTGGGAATGTGCCAGGATGGTCAATGTTACCAGTGAGTATTTATGAAATACTCACACATTAAACTGAGAGGCTTGTGTAGCAGCAGAAAAAAGGCCGCAGTGGCACGCATAACCGGACTCGGTGAAGTTTTCCTGAGAACACCTCTTCTCCATCATCACTGACATAATCAACAGCAAAAGCTCTATCAGAAGAAGCAGCAGCAACTTCATTATTAACGTCAGCATCGTTGTCATGCTCAACACATGATGTCCAACATCATAAAACATTCTTGGTTCTTTCGGTAAAGTCACGTAGAAGAGAAATAATAAAAAATAAAACAATAAATCATGATTGCTTGTGTTGCAGTCGAAACGTCGCGAGAATTTTATTGTTTTATATTTTCATTATTTTATTGTTTCCCTTCTACGTGACTTTACCGAAAAGAACCAAGAATATGAATTCCTGCAGTCACGAAAGCTTTAAATCAAAATCATAAAACATCATAACTCTCATCCTTGTCTTCATCTGCGTCATCTTCTTGTTGTGAGTGCTCATCTACATCGTTGCCATCCACCCACCCACCCACATCATGTAGGGAAACAAAAGCCCGCTCTATATATCGTCACAATCTTCCGCAAACAATTTTGTGAGATAGTGGCGATGAGCGCGCGCACACGGATTGGATTGGGACGGAAGCGGGCTTCCGCGTGGGGCAGCGCTGCCCTCGCCATGGCCCACACGAGTCACGCGCCCAAGCGCAATCAACACGATTCCACGCGACGGCGTACATAGTTTGCAATTGGCAGGAATCTTATCATCCACCATTGGCTGTGCCCTAACCCTGCCCACTACGGACAATTATTCCCGTGTGCAATTGGGTGCGTTTCTGTGCGGAATTCGGCCCAACATGAATTTAACGCCGAATGTGCCAATTTCTATGCGAAATGGCCATAATTTTTACTGGAAAGTGGTGGAATGACGGCCAAAATAACTGCACATGTGACAGTTTAGACGCACAACAAAGGCACCAGGCATCTTTAGAAGGGGTTTGCAATTAACTTTTATTTCACAATAAAAAAACACAAACTTATTCCTTCAACAGCAATATCTTGAATATCCCCCAACATGATACACCATATTAGCTATGCAAATACAGTAGACTCTCGATTATCCGCGTACGGTTTAGATTTGCAGATTTACCATGCACCCGAGATTTATTCATAACTTGTGGATTTTCCCTTAAGCCCAAATTAATAATCTAAAAAGAGTTATCCATTGTTATTCTTTGAAATGTTTATTACAAGTTACGTGCTTAAACCGAGCAAATGTGTGCTCCGGTTTAATCCGAAATCCACGCGATCAACTCTACAGTACAGTAGTTGCATATCTTTACAACAGTGGGCAGAGTTTGATTGATGTTGATTCGCGTGGCTCTGCTGATCTCCACTTAGTGGGCAGAGTCTTCTGCGTGGGAGCAGGAATGTTATCTCTGAGCATGCGGAAAATTGATATTATTGGATTATCCGCGATTTTGAATTATCAGTGGCCATCCTCGCCGTCAGCGTGGATAATCGAGAGTAATGTACTATGAAATTTCATGATAAGCACTTTACTATCAATATAAGTAGAGAATAAGGGTTTCACATGAACAGTGCAACATGTCCACAAAGTACTAGATAAATATTCACCAAACCTCCTGAATGACAACAAGAATATCAGGCTGTAATTAAGTGTGTAATAAGTAATGTTATCATTAAACCCATATACAGTACATGAAAAAAATTGACGATCTTGGTGACTCCAAAAATATCCTATTACTCACGATGTGTCTTCAAATGTGTTATTCCTGACAAAGCAACATCACGAGCAACTGATATTGGATGAGTCTTCATGTACATCAAAATGTGGGGCTATGTCAGGGCTACGTCAGCCGTACCGCACCTTTTCATTGGCCAGAGCCAGCTGGCGGATGTTGCTTATGCAGCCTGCTGCCGCCACCTGCAAAAATGTGTCGGTGGAGCCCACCATGGCCACCAGTGGCTTTGCAGCAAATCAGAAACAGAAAAATAGCAGTCAAGGACACAACAACAAGACACAGATCCCCCGTATAGACTTTAATATATCTATGAGATCTAACCCAAAAAACCTGTATTATGCATATTAGTCGCAAAACCTACATAGTAAACTTTACCAGACTGTTAGTGCAAGTGCTGTTTAGCGAGCGGCTATGAAGGCCGGGATGCTTGATGCAAACTGAGAGGCCAGCACCACTCCCCACCACCTTTTTCTCCCCAGTGGCAAAGTTTACACATTGCATCAAGTACTTATTTGAGGCTGAGTCGACCTAGGCGAGGCCTAGCACCGGTTCAGATAATCATCACTGGTGTTGGCTGTGAGCGGGAATCGAAATCGGGTCGCTAGATTCGTAGGGCAGCGCGCTAACCCCTACACTACCAGGACACTTCACACACATAAATGTAGCATTAACATTTTTCTTTCAACCAAAAAATGCCATTGGCTAAATTCAAATCGGAAGAAGCATTTGTGGAAGTTAGCAGGGTAACATTCCCCCCCCCCCTTCCACCAAAGGAATTTCCACCACTGGCTCAGGGTTGTAAACAGAAGATGAGCACCAATGCCTCAATGAGCAGGAAGTAACTTTGACTTTGCAACATTTCAACACTCATCACCCAAATACATTCTCGGAATCTTTATTCAGAATCGGAATATTGACACTGCAGGAGGAATCCGATGAGCTATGAAGCTCATTTTCACATGTCCAGTCGGGGCACTGGGTCATAAAGTTACAACAACAACAAATGCAAAACTGATCGGAGTGCAGAGTATAGAAAAGGTAAGTCACAAAAAAAGTATAGAAGTCCATTACCAAAAACAATTACACCCAATGTATAGGAATACAACTGGAATCGATTCTTCTGCACACTTTTCGATGCACGTATCGTGAGTATAGGAATCTGTTTTAATGGATTGATGCAGCTTTAGTGGTCACGTGTGAATGCAAAGCACGTTGTGTTAGCGTAGCTGTTACAGCCATTTGTCAAGATGTCCCTATGTTGAAGCTTCATTCCTCGATACAATTCACTTACCTTTTCATCCTCAAAGGAAAATAAAACCCCCATGAATGGATCACGACCCTTAATTTATGCTTCCTTGTTTTTGCACCGATTTCTATTTGCTTTATTGTTGTACTTGTGTTTATGTCATTGCTCTTGTCATTTTGATGACCCAGGTCACTTGCAAATTAGATTAATCCTGGTCTCTTGAATTCTCACCTGGTTCAACAAAATCATCTTGTACTTTTCTCTTCTAAAGTGCAATTGCACAGGGACGTCACCTATTTTTAACAGCACGGTTGGCTACGTACGGTGCGAAAGAAGTTCAACATACATACAACACCAATTTCTCCTGTCAAAAAGAACCCTCACATCCAATACAGCCTGCGTGAATGGAATGAAATGTAAATAGCTGGCTGGCCTACCTTGACCACTCCATTGCTGTGCATGGTGATGCAGTTCTCAGGAGCCAGGGACAGCTGGTAGAGAGCCTGCGCTGTGGCACGGTGAACTAACGCATCCTTGGATTTGAGGTAGCGCACCAGCGGAGCCACCGCCTGGGCATCCCCAAATGCCGCTCGGTTGCTCCCCCACGTGCAGCAGCAAGCGATCGCTTCCGCCAGGTTCTTACGCAGTTTGTCGTCCGTCTGCGGCATGAGAGGTCAGAAGTTTGAAATGGAATATACAGTTTAATTTCCTTGTTTAACGCGGTAGGCGCGTTCCTGAAGAGTGCCTCGTGAAGCAAAAACGCGAGGAGTGAGGAATTGTTACTGAATCACATTTGCACCACAAAATCAGCCTGGAGTCATCCCATGGACGGACAAAGAACTGAGATGAGGGTACGCTACGTTACTGTATCATTTCACATCCTGAATCATACCATCAAGCCCTCACCTGGTTTCAAATAGAATTGACTTATGCCAGAACACTTTAAAAAAAAATATATAAATATCCTTATTAAGGATATGCATTTTGTTCTATTTTTATATCTATATGAAGGACTTCTTTCAACTGCAGGGTGAGATGACAATATGCATTACATGACAGTGTTTTGCACCTGACAGAAATAATAATGATGCTTTGTTTGAGATAGAACGCCCTGCTTTACACCACACGTCTCTCAGAGTGCATTGCATGTGATAAGCTACGTACATCACATCTCGTCCCAAACATTTTAAAGGTCGTTCCAAGAAGCAGCATGTTATTCAGCATTCAGTCTGCGAGTAGGCATTATTATGCCAGTAGGAGATGATGTTTGCTATGTGCAATCCCAACTGAGTAATTGGCGGATAATTTTAGAATGTGGCTTATATGGGCCATGACCCCGGCACACAATGGACTTCTCGTTATGAATGATGGCGAAGGATCTTTAACATCCATTAAGCAGAAGACGGCGCGTATAATTACGATTCACACATCCTCAGGAATAACCAGGGTGGCCACTGGATGTGAACTTCATGCATCTGATTTTCTCGCAATTACATGTATTTCAAAAATGTGTTTTCCTTTGTGTTTGCTTGCTCTTCGTATCACGAACCTCTGTGCCAAGCGGAAAATTTGCTACCGCTGGGCCACATCACCGCCCCGCACATCACACTTTATCATGAACAATCAAGTTACCTACTGCTTGTCTCTATAATTATTCTTGTAACAAAAAAAGATGAACGTTAAAATAAAAACAAAGTGTTATCATTGTGGGAAATCCCTACCGTGCTCGTCAAATTGGCGAGAAGGGGCACCACCCCATGGTCCGTTATCACTGCCAAGTTTTCTTCATCCTTGGCAATTTTGGAAATAGCTGCACACACACTGGCCAGAACCTCGTTGTCATCAGACTTGAGCAGGTTCACGATTAGCTCCAGCCCACCCACAAACGATCGCACCATTTCTCCAGCATCCTAGACAACATGCAATGAAAACAATATCAGTGTTATTTTAAAATAATACCAGCAGTATTCTAACAATAAGCTACCTGCAGTGATAGGATTTATACGTAGATACTGTATATCAAATATATTGTTACATATTCCAAATAATTAGTTTCATGCCACTTTATAGAGAAAATGTATGCTTCCATGCACGTTTTATGACCAAAGTACAAGTGTTAAGAACAACTACTCAGCCAAAAGCGATAGTGGAACAAATCAGCATCAAATTCAAGTTATTAAAGTATGGAAATAATCAAATATTCACCACCACTATCATTCAAACTAGTAGGTAACTGGAAACATATAACTGGGTAACGTTTTAGGCTTTGGTCCCTGTTAAAGCAAACAGTGTGATTCTGGCCTCTGGTGGGAGTTACCTGTGTAGTGACATAGAATGGATCACTACGGCACGTCGCGCTGGGTATAATAGAATAAGGAAATATGGGTGTAGCAGCCAGCACAGCATGTAATACCACGTAGTGGGTCACTAGGAGGTGTGGCACTGGCTGCTGGCAGAGAGGGGCATGTGGGGACACGTCACCCCGGCCGGCTGGCAAAGCACGTGATGGGCCGGGGTGCAGGATGTAGGGCAAAGATGACCGAGGGGACACAGGGAGCATGGCCCAGGACCTTCTGGAGGGTTCCAGGAGGGGGCGTGGTTAAGGGCGGAGCCAGGCAGGTGGCACGTGGAGGTTGGCCCAGGACCACTTGCAAGGTTCTAGGGCGGAGCCAGGCCACACTGAGGGGCATAAAAGGGAAGCCCCGAGGCTGAATCAGGGCAGTCTACAGGTGGAATGGAACCCGAGGTGCTACGTCTCCGGCGTCGTGGGTCAGACAGCATGTTGGCTGCTCTGACCCGTAATTAGTTATCCCGTGTGTGAACAGTGTGTAAGATATATATTGTAGAATAAACGCTGTTGCCTCCTAAAATAGTGTCTCAGAAGTGACTCACTATACCTGTAACAGACCAGAATGTAGCCTTGTGTAGACACTCAGTACTGTCCATACAGCAGGGCTTGTATGAGTGAGTTACCTGCTCCTTACGCATCATCAGCTACTTAGTAGAATTTATATTACCAGACAAGCCTATCGAGATAGGGGGCCATATTTATGAATTGGGCTAAATGTAGCATGCTGGAGTGGTTTGAACTTTGTCCAAAATATATTGCGCTCAATTCCAGAACAAATCGTTGCACCACTGCATGAGACAAAAATGAGCAGAGCCAATATTTACAACTTGGACAGCAAACAAACTCATGTCAATCCTAGAGCACTGTGATGCAAAGGCATAATAACCCTAGCCCAGGCAGGACCAAATATTCACTGGTCTATCTAGCAGACAAAGATCCCCCGTATAGCCTTAACAGACTGTTGGGGCAAGTGCTGTTAGCGAGTACCTATGGAGGCCGGCACGGACATAAGAGAGAGTGGATCGCCAGCCCCATGCTTATACACTGCACCAGGTATTCATTTGAGGCTGAGTCGACCTAGTCTATGGGCCAATGTTAAGAGATAGGTAACCAGTTCCCTGTGTTAAGAGATATATATATTTATGGTTTGAAAATTATACTTTGTAATGTATGCAGATTATGTATAACTGTACACTAATCATTTACATATGAGTCTCGCCACCGTATTTGGAGTTTGCATGTTCTCCTCATGGTCATGTGGATTTTTGTCTGGGTCCTCTGGTTTTTCCCTCCACATTTAGAAACATGCGTTTGGAGTATTTGGCTGCTATAAATATCCACATGATGAAAAGTCACGTCGTTGAGCTATCATTTGTGGCCAGGTCACTCCTGAAAAAGAGCTATATAGCTCGGTGTGCCTTACCTTGTAAAAATTAGTTTAGTTTTACCTTGACATTTTCAATGCAAGGGCAAATAGCCCAAGCTGCGCTGGCTTGCACTTGTGAGTTGGAGTTCTTAAGGAGGGACCAGAGTAGGCGAACTCCATCCAGATGATCGATAATACTAGACAGAGCACGAGCAATACAGAACATTATAAAACATGTAAAGCCAACTTTACAACGGCAGAGATTACATTATTACATGTACAGAGGTACTGTACCTTGCTTCTCTTGAATCATACTAAGTCTCCTCCAGCCCGCTCCACTCTCAATCCCTCCTACGCCTCACAGTTCCCACCTTTCCTTGTGCACAATGCTGGTTCCGCTCCTTTTCCCTACTTGCCCCCTTGCACTGGAACAAACTTCTCCTCACCATGAAGCTAAGCACCCTCCCTGTCTCGTTTCCACTCATCCCTCAAGGCCCACCTCTTCTCCCTGGCCCATTCTTCACTCCATCCCTAGGTACCCCTGTAATTCCCGTTCCCACTAACCTCTCTCCCCTTAACTATCCCTATCCCCCTCCCCTCTTTCCCCTCCTCCTCTTATATGCCACCATATCACCTTCTGTTAACCTCATTGTACCATTTATAACTCTAATAAAGCGCCTTGGATATAAGGCGCTAAATAAATATAAGATAAGATGTCTACATGCAGAAATATGTCTTTGATAAATGCCAGAGTAGGTAAGGCTTTAAAAGTAAAATAATGTAGACTCTATATGAGCATGCATAGGTGACACTCTGTACAATCGTGGCAATACCGATATGTGTTTGCGTATTGTATGTAAAGTAATATGAACATTTTTTTTCATGTTATTTAGGCATTTTTACATGCGTAATGAGCTCTTAAGAAGATTAAATTAGTCCTCATTACAGGCAGTCCTCAACTTACAAACAACCAACTTACGAATATGCACACTTACACACCAGCTTCCATGAATTATGTTTTTTTAACAATTACTTAAAAGGTGAACACGCACTTGCAAACTAAACCGCGGAACTATTTTGTTCAGCGGAGCGATCCTCCACGAGATCAAATGAGTCGGCCTCGCGCGGGGAGTGAGCGTGGTTAGCGCGCTGCACTCAGAACCTGGCGACCCAAGTTCAATTCCTGCTCACGGCCAACACCAGTGACGATTATCTGAACTGGTCCTGGGCCTCTCCTTGCTAGACTCAACCTCAAATGCAGAAACAAAAGTTGCTGGGCATAGGGCTACTCACTCATCCCCTCGTATGCCGTGCTGGCCTTCATATGCACTGCTCACAAACAACACTTGCCCCAACAGTCTGTTAAGGCTATAGGGAGGATAGTTGTTGTTGGTGTGTGTCCGCGTGTGTGTCTGCGTGTGTGCCTGCACGCGTGCCCCATGTGTATGTGTGCGTGCAATTGCGGTGACTTATCACGCCCCTTCTGACAAGAAAGCCAGCATCAGGAAGAAAGTCAAGTGCATTTTTTTAAATGTATGTACCTTTATTTTATGTTTTATTTACTATTTATGTGACTTTATTTTGTTTATTTACGATACAGTATGCATTACAGCATTAAATGAAAATGTACAATATTTCTTATTTATGAGTTTAACAATGCTTTCATTTTTATTGAACCATATCACATTTCATGACACGAACCCATGAGCATTTCAAATAAAGTACATTATTGTATTCTGACTTATGACACGTTCAACTCGCGAACGGATCTCAGGAACGAATTGCGTTCATAGGTCGAGCACTGCCCTAATAGAGGTTGCCTAATGGGCTCTCTGGGAGGCCTGTGAAGCAGAAAACCCTGAGCTCCCTTAGAATATACATTGTATGAGTCACTCAATAAAAAAAACATAGTCTGAGCTATTTTTGTTAATGTGTGATTCATACCACTGTCATTATTCAAATATATTTTTTGGGTTTAAAAAATGATATTTTATAATGTTATTGCCAATTGAAAATAATGGCACGAAACAAATTCGTATTAGAATTTTCAGATTTTTATAAATAAAAACTCAACACCTTTGTCAATAACACTGTCACCATAAAACGAGAAAATATATAATAGGTATCATTTCAGGCAATGGCCCTTGTTCACAGCACAATTTACTACTGTATAAAGGCCAACCAACCACAGTACAATTAAGGCATAACATTTTTTGTGCGTTTGTTTTGGTCTCACATCGTTGTTTGTGCGTGGGTGGGTGTGACTGCGCGTGCAGTAATCCATCATACACACCCCATGTTTTCAGGATCCATGGCGCACGCACCCACTGCTCGGGTGACGTTGATGAGGAGCGGTTGGTTGGTGCCCGTGAGCAGCTGTACCAAGGGATGGATGCCGCCTGTCTTGCGGATTATGGCACGATTAGCTGGCTCCTGGCAGCATTCACCCAGCGCTCCCACCACGTTTATGAGCACCTCCTCTGGTTGATTGCTTAACAGGGACACCAGAGTTTCTATGGTCCTCAACTCCTGCAGACTGCAAGCACACAAAGACACCAGCCGTGAAGCCCTCGTAACATTAGTATTATTTAGTGACCTGTAACATTAGTATTATTTAGTGACTTGTAGCATTAGTATTATTTAGTGACCTGTAACATTAGTATTATTTAGTGACTTGTAACATTTGTATTATTTAGTGACCTGTAACATTAGTATTATTTAGTGGCTTGTAACAACGATCGTAGTAAAACCATGAGTGTAACTCTATGGATCCGATTCAGGTGTTTGTGAAATATTTTTTTCCCACCGACATATTACAGGACAATAACCAAACGTAGAAAGTGGTATTTGTCTCAGACGAGCAGTACAATTTATACTGATCAAAGAGAAAGCAATCATACAGGTGTTAAGATGTTCAAACACCAAATAGACACCTATTCCAAGGCATTAAGTCTGCATTACCCACACATATTTATGGTATAGTGTGCAAAGAAATTTTTTATTTGATAACGTATGCATTGTCCTTGAAACTGATTAACCTGCACCAGAGACAGCCTCCTTCATGGCTTTGTCTCACCAGTCCTATAGAGCAAAGAATTTCAAAAGGTGAACAACACAAGGACGATGCAAATACCAAAGCATGAATAGCTCCTCTGGTTAAGTAATGTTTGAACATCTTAACAAATGTATTATTGGTAGGAAGGATAAAGACTGTTCTTATCTTTTATCACCTTAATAACGGAAAAAGGTTCTCATAGATACAATTTATACTGTACAGTAATACCTCGGTTAACAAAGTAGATGAATTCCATGACATCACCTCATTGTTAGAAACTTCATTATCAGAGGTAAATATAAGAGAGGAAGGATGGCGATACGTTCCAGGACTTCAGAGAAACATCAAATAGGCTCAGTGCCTTCTGTATTATCAGCGCCTAACCGAGTGGCATGTGGTGCTGTGTGATATCGCCCACCCAATCACTTAGCAGTTTCTCTATTTCCCCAATAACAACGTTTCACGTGCGTGTAAGTTTAGTAGCAGTAAGGTCACTAGATTGTTGCATAGTAACCTGTACTTTATCTGCTGGCCTTCAAAATGTATTTAAGGTGGACTGCGCTAACCCGAACGAAAGTGCCACTTCTCTTTCATCTCTCCTGCTTCTGCTCTCCTTATGATCTGCATTTTTCGTTTCAAAGAGATAGATTTACACTGCACTTTATCACTGCAAAAAACAATATCAAACATTACCAACAACGAGGAGCTCGAGTAAAATGGCGGGCAGGAGGGGAAAGAATGGGGAAGCGCGCTGCTGTTTGGGCCGAGTGAGGGAGACTCACGAAGCCCTTCGCTCATTGGCTGCTGATAATATTCAGTAAACAAACTCCACGATCGGTCACGTTGACAGGACACCTGTTTAAAATGTTACTCTTTTTGTTAATCGCTTTGCATGATATCTGAGGATATTTTTGTTACATTTTGTCGATTTTTTTTGCAAAAAATGGGAGGTGAAATAGCCCCCCACGAGCGACTTTGTTATAAAGGGGCTTAATTCCAAGACTTCGCTGAGGTATAACCGTATATTGATAACTGCGTTGCAATGCAAACTACGCTCCATGTGATTATCGATACATGATCTTTAACTATAAAATCTATGGTCTTCCAGCTCTCTAACCAGAGGTACTTCATCCATTCCACATATGCACATGTTTATTCTGCTGATCTAAACTAGAGAGTGATGCATGTCACATTAGCCACATTTATATCAAAACATTGGTTACATATCAATCCTATATTTTAGTACTTCATTAAACTGAAAAAGCCTTCCAAACGAACCTACATTTTAAACTTAGAAAAGTTATTCAAAATGTATGCTAAACAAAAACATTACGTGGAAACTCAAAATACTAAATCATAATTTTTGTGGAGACTATAAATAACAAAGTAAATAAGCAATGTCTCCTTAATCGGCAGTTCACCAGCATTGATTCAAGCAATCCTGACTCTGCTAAGACACTCGAAACCATTCCAGAGTATGCTTATCTTGAAATCAATGCTGTTTAAATTACGCACTCCCAGAAGGCTGTATGGCTGATGGGTTGTTTAATTATTACTTTTTTATGTGGAGATAAGTATATTTGAAGGACACATGTTGTCTCCTTACATGGCAACGTTCTCTTGGCTGATGGAGCACTTCCAGATAGCCCCGGTCACTGCAGCCAACAGCTCCTTGTTCTCCGATTTTCCGAGCAGGATGTCCAACGGGTGCAAGCCTCCGTATTGCCGCACAAGGTCACGGGTCTCTTTATCTTCTGCACACTGTCAAGAAAAGAGTCTGCTTATTAATACTCACCATCTCACATCATCCAGTGACCAGACAGCCTACAGTAGTCATATACAGGGTGTTTTAAAAATATGTACCCGATTTGAAATCGCTATATCTCTGCAACCACGAACCACCCATGAATGAATCTCTTACCACTTGAGAGGGCAGGGCATAGAGAGGGCGGGGCATAGAGTTTCAAATGATTACCACGAGATGCCTCTCCCAGCGCACAAACAGCCCCTAGTCTCAGTCATTTGCAAGACGGTGACCCCCGCAACACAAGGAGCGTTTTGCGTTCTGCAGTTCAGCAAGACTGAATCCGTAATTGCGGTGCAGCGTGCGTTTCAACGGCGTTTTGGCATTGATCCGCCGATGTCAAAGAGCATTTGTCGTTGGTACCGACAATTTGAGGAAACGGGCTGCTGTTTATGTAAGGGGAAGAGCACGGGGCGACCACCCCACCTCAGAGGAAAACGTGAGAAGAATTCAAGAGAGTTTTCTGTGTAGCCCGCACAAGTCCACTCGTCGTGCCAGCCGAGAACTTGCGATCCCTCATACAACTGTCTGGCGTATGTAAAGGCGACGCTTAATCATGAGGCCATACCAGTTGCAAATGGTACAGGCTCTTCGTGCAGGTGACAAAGGAAAGCGTGAATAATTTTGTGATACGATGTTACAGAACATGGAGGATGACAACTTCTTACCGCGTTTGATTTTTAGTGATGAAGCAACGTTTCATCTAAGCGGTAAAGTTAACCGTCACAATGTGCCCATATGGGGATTAGAGAATCCACACGAAACTGTAGAGCATGAGCGTAATTCCCCGAAAGTGAACGTGTTTTGTGCCATTTCTCAAAGAAAGGTCTATGGCCCTTTCTTTTTCGAGGGAAACACAATTCCGGGCAAGCGTATCTCGAAATGCTGCAGAAATGGCTCTTTCTACAACTTGATGAAGATTCCGATGACTTAATTTTTCAGCAAGACGAAGCACCCCGCCACATTGGCACCTGCAAGTTTGACGTTTTCTAAATGACACACAGGCTTGGCGCTACACTCTTGGCCCCCAAGATCCCCAGACATCACACCCTGCGACTTTTTCTTGTGGGGATACGTCAAAGAGTGCATCGTTCACCTGTGCTCAATAAAATTAGTACCACTTTGTTGGACATTAACAGTGGTCATCATATGAGCAGACTAATCCCCTCTATTGTAATAACAAAACAATCTAGGTATAAAATAGTAACAAATACCAGTTTTAATTCTTCAATTAAACATATGTATTTTTTATTCAATTATAGGAATAGCAATAGGAGTAAAGTCTTTTCTGAAGTCATTTAATGATAAAGAACTTAAAACATTGACTATAAAAACGTATATATGTTCCTCCCAGTGTTTGACATGCATTGAATGAAATGTGTTTAGTCTGGGAATGCAGATTACCTTGAATATGGCACTTGCACAGTGCATTTGTAACTCTTGGTTGTCACTGTTCAAGTTTTTGACCAAGTCCTCAATCATCTTCTCCGTCTGGATGGCGAGTCGATAGCTTGCCTATAGCAACAAATATTATTCTATATTTAGTTTTTAATGATCGCATATACTGTGAAAACGCAGCACTAAGTTAATGTGTAGCCATGATAAACATTACATAGAGGTAACAAAAAACATAAATCCAAGATCCTCTCCCATCTCCATATTCTCTCTCAATAAGAGGATGTACAATGACGATGGCCATCTATTTAACCACTGCAATTAACTCAGTTTGGGAAAGCTACCTCCAAGGCACTGGATCCAGGCCTCAGAATTTGAGACGACAAATAGCAGCAGTGTTTGACTAATACAGTATTTGGCTTACAAATATATAATTCCCTGGCTGGTATTATATAATATACCTTCCATAGTTGAGTGGCAAAACAGAAGCCTTACAACAGATCATATTGATCAATTAACCAATGGGCTTTCCTGTTAAATCAATATTTGGACTCTAAAGGAGGCAATGTTTGCTGGAACATTGGATTTTCAGTAGGTTATTCTTTGGGTCTTTCGGTAAAGTCACTTAGATAGGTTCAAAGAAAATAACAGAAAATAACAAAAAACTACGACATTTCGATCGCAACACAAGTGTTCGTCATCAAGAAGAAAACAAGCGTTCGTCATCAGTAGGTTATCAGGTTATTCTCGTTACATTTCCTCATTAGTCATCCTCGAAGGCATGTTTCCTTCTTTATCTGTTGTTCCATCACCAGTCTCATCAATTGACCATCATCCCTTCTCGTGATGTATCTTCACCAAGCTCGTTTACTTTTCTCAGAAGTAAATGTGTCTTTCATTTCTATTCTCTGATTCATGATCCTGTGGAATGTTTAACTTAGATTTTAAATTCATCACTAGCAGTCGCCAATGTTAAGCATACAGCATGCAATTGTACCACGTGTACCCTCACGAAAAGCATTCATTCCTACATATAGGATACGTATGGCAAAATAATTGACGACTTTAGAATACTCCAGAGAAAATATCTGATAACCTCATAACTGATCGTTCCCTCTGTGCACGCACCTCTGAAGCACACTCTTGCAAGGTGCCCACAACTGGGATGAGCATGTTCTCATGGGGCGACTTGAGCAGCCGCGCCAGCAGCGGGATGCCTCCCGCCTTGCGGATGGCTTGCTTGTTTTTTCTGCTTTTACTGCAGCTCCACAGCGCTAGGGCCCCACAGCGAGCGACCTCGATGTCCTTCTCTTGCGCGGGACTTAAATTGGCGGAGCGCATGGGAACGCAGTCCATTAATCCCACCTGGAAAATAAAAAAAAACCTCGTAACTCAACTACCACGCGATCGTGGTAAGATGTGATTGTGGATAAGAGGCATTGTGGGTAAGAAGGGCACCCACAAGTGATCGCTGTGGCTACTGATCACAGAAATGGTATAATCATTACCGACGATGATGATGGATTGATAATGAGGATTATTATACCCCCACTGTGCATGCTCTCTAACTGTGGATTCACAGTTTGCCACGAAGCCAGGTCACCCACTGCTTGATCATGCAGCTGACTTTGCTGTTTTGGGATAAGAAGAGGATTAGAGAAGATAATGTATGCATGAGGACATCTATTGTGCAGATGGTGTGACGTGATTGGTTCATCCGACATTCCCTCTTCACTGTGGATCATGTGATTACACACTTACCAGTTTTTTTATACCATTGTGCTTCCGGACTGTCCTTCGTGCCCGCCGAAATTTAGCAACATTGGCGATTGTCTCAGCCGCCAAACACTTGAGTTCCTTTTCAGAGGAATCCAGGATGTTTACCATAGTTTGGAGGCCGCCAATGTCTACAATGGATTGGCGGATTTGTGAATTGTGGCTAATCTCCTTCAGTATTTTAAGTGATCCAATCTGTAAGCAGGAAATTGACAATACAAAAGCAAGTTAATTCAGAAATAAAAATAATGAACCCTTTAATCTGTTGTCTTATGATGAACATCATTTATAGACCAATGAAAACTCCTCATCCACAAATTTGCCTATTCACAATAGCATTCTCCAATATTATTCCAAATAAGATGAGTTGTACTGTATTCATTGCAATTTACTTTCAATTTAAGAGTTGATAGTAACAATAAAAACAATCATGCAAATTATAACGCGCAACATTTCAGAGACATAAATGACTGTGACTCTGAGGCATGGAGGCAACCTCAGTGTCGCTCGAGGGGCAGGCGAAGGAAGTGGTAGGGCCTTTAAGTGTCTCGATACATTTTATGTAAATTGAATGTTGCCGCGAATGTCCATTATATTTGATCAATGCATGAGGAACGTTAACATGCACCACAACAGAAGCTGCATTTGTACAGGGTCCACATACTAGCTGCATGAATGGCAGTGTCACAACCACTATTGTGAACTTAGACTGAGACAACTACCGCTCACAAAAATGCTGTGCTTACAATTCCAGAAAATTATTCAAAGAAATTAATAGTTTACTCATTGTAGTTACTACCTTCAGCAGTCAAGTAACGATACACTGATTAATCAATGGACATGAACTCTCACAATGAACTAATTTAATCGTGCACCTGAGATAGATCATGAAAGCGGTAAGCGAATGCTCTGTTGATAGACGACGGAGGCTAATGACGTTGATACAAGCGTACAAAAAAGGCAGAGAAATGAGAAATGCGAACAGCAGTGTCAAAACGAGACGAGAAACTTATTCTTCAAGCAGATCGGTTCCCCAAAGCAATTTGTCAAATTGCTGGAGGGTGAATCGCTACATGCTTAATACACAGCTCCTGTGGAAATTAAAAAACACTCAACAACAATCATCAACACTGCCCGTTTCAGGTAATGGCTATTTCTGCGCTATGAAGGCCACTGCGAGAAATGTCACCCATTACATAGTTTATGCATTTTTCTGGTATTCAAAGGGAGCGTTGTTGGCCATTGTATTGAGTGGTTTTGTTAACTTTGCTTGTGCAAATACTGCCCTACATTTTATATACGTAAATGAAGAGCGACCAATATCGCAATACAAATAACTGCTTTTAAAATATATTTTTTAATGAGCTGCCCTATAACAGAGAATACGCTTTTAGAAATTAATCTTAATCCAAGTGTTTACCTTGCATTTAATGTCATCAGTGTCGAGCAAGTTGATTAGGACTTCCAACCCTCCGACGTCCTTCATCGCGAGCTGGCACGTCTCCTGAGCCAAGTTGAAGTCCCTCATACAGCACAGCGCAATCACCGTCGCTGTTGGATTCCCACTCTGTAAAGATAATGCAAGCGAATTCAACTGGATGGTGGGAGTGGCTGGAAGTAAATTCATCTAAGGAGGTGCTATCAACCCGCTTGACGTATCGGGCCTTTGGGCCTGTGCTCGGTAACTGTGTTTAAAAAGTTACGATTGAAAAACACATCACGAATATGAATGGTTCATGCATCTGAGCAAGAACATCTACAAGTCTGTAACAGGATCAGAATCTTTATTTTTCTTGGAGGAATCCGATGAGCTAAGAGGCTCTTTTCACAGATGTCCAGGAGGGGAGGCTCTGAAAGTTGCAACAACAAATAGAATGCACACTGTAGGTCACCTTGATGTACTTGATGAGCTTCTGGATTTGCCAGTACTCTGACGGTAGATCCATGCTGGCTTCCTGGCGCCGATCAAGCTGCTCCTCCTCCTCCTCGCTCTCACTAGAGCTGTCACTCTCATCCTCGTCCTCCAATCTCAGCGAAATTCCCCTGTGAGAAGAGATCAAATGCACTCCGCACCAAGCAGAGGCGGACCTGGGAAACTTCCCAGATGGCGTGGGGGGGGGGGGGATGTGGTCCAAAACTGTCCAGCTTTTGAAATACTGCCCTACATTTTTTTTATTTCAATAAGGGAAGGGGCTACTTATCGCCATTGTCCACCGACAGATCCAACACTGGTATCAAGAATCCCAAAGCACTCACTTCGAATGTCCTGGTTATGTTCATGTTGCTGTGCTTATGTAGCAAGGATCTCCTTTGTAAAAGTGTCGTGCAACTGGCTAAATGGGACCAACATCTGTGTAATAAATCAAATAAACTCGAAACTCAAGAATTCGACAGAGGCGTGAGAGATAAAACAAGGCCTGAGTTGGCTGTAGCGAACATACAGAAGATATACAACCGCATACATTAGCAATTCTGTATCCTGAAGTGTAACATGGATATAATAAGTTGTAATTTTTGGCAAATGCTGCTTATTCAGAGCAGCAGTTTCAATATTTTGACTGAAGAATGTTAGCAGAGAGATGCTGTATTTTGATAATGGCTTAACTTGTGTAATTGAAGAGAGCAATAAACAAAGCACAGCTCTCAACAACTAGGGCGGTTATTGCAGCTGGTATCAACAGTTAACAAAGAGAACAAAAACCTCTCGAAGGCGACATTCCAGTAGTGAGCGAAATTGAAGGTAAGCTGTAAAGGTTACTGGAATTAAACAAATAGAGACACGAATAAAATGTAAACCAAAACACTGCGACTGCATTGCTGACCACAGTAACTAAGCTCCATATGGGGCACAGCTCCACATTAGTCATGAGCATAACATTTCCAGGTGCGCTTGTCAATACTTAGGATGTGTAAGACCCTCTGGCCGCTAGTTATTATAATGAATCAAAAAGTAAACTTGACTCATTTATAAATAACACTGTGGCCTTCAAAGGGAAAATATATAAGTGACGTTTTGGGCAATGGCCCTTCTTCATAGCACATACATTGAGGAATTCGCCTGAAATGTTTCTTACTGTATATTTTTCTTTTAAGGCCACAGCAATATTAGCGAATGTCTTCAGTTTTTTGTAACAATGGTCGGGGATAGGGTCTTACATTTCGTAGTGTTGGCAAGCGCGTCTGCGATTTTCTGCGCAGATGAAGATTGAGATGTACCGCACATACAAATTAGTTCATGTAATTTTTGTTTAATTACTGCCAATGCAGTAATGTGTCACAAATCACGTAATCGTAATACAATGAATGTATGTTTGTACACTAGCAATTATAGGCTTCGCGACCAATATATCCATAATAGAGGTTTTTGGGTTAGATCGCGTAAATATATAAACGTGTCAATCTTGATTTGAAGCTTTCGTGGCTGCAGGAATCCATACACTTTGGTTATTTCGGTAAAGTCACGTAGGTAAAAAAATAATAGATCACGACGTTTCGATCGCCACACAAGTGTAGTGGGTCCAACTGAGTTGCAGACGTTGTTCCTTTTAGAGGCAACACTTTTATTTGTAACACCGTAACACCGTAATAACTACAGTGAGTTATTGCTTGGAAGGGTGGATTCCTCACTCGGGTCTCTGACCACGTGGTTGCCTCGTAAGGTGGAAGGCTTCAGCTTGAGATGTAGAGTTTCCCGCTTGTAGATGTTGAGCTTCCAGCTTGTAGAATGCAGCGACCCTGGTCTCAGGGATCCGCCTTATATCCCTCTCTGGTCGGGGCCGCTCTGCCCCTCGGCCCCGTCCTCGGCCCCGCCCGCCTTCTCGTTCCCTCTCGATCCTTCTCAAGTGCTCTCTCCGGACACGTGATCATCCACTAGTCCCCCCACCTGGGACCCCCTGTGTGGACATTCCGGATCACGTGTCTACGGGGTCAACCAGAGTGCCATGGCCCGGGGCAACCCTGCCCCTGGGCTGACACTCACCCCCTCCTCCTCGGGGGAGCCCCCACCACACGCTGTGCGTGGTGCCCACACTATCCCAGTGCTCGCCAAGCCCCTCTAAGGCTGGTATTACACACAGCCACCCACACGGTGCTGTCCACGATTTAGGAACATCGAACGGCACGACCCTTCCGGGCCGGCACCGATGTCACTACATCACCCCCCCGCCCTCCCCCCCTCTTCGTAGCATCCAGCCGGCCCGGCTGTCAACTCCCCCCGCAACGAACAATAAGTGAAATGCAACGAGCAAAAAAACACAGTGTGCCTCAACAGAAATAAATACCCCAACCCACCTGTACAAAAATTACACTATGTACAAATGTACAAACCAACAGGGAGAAGGGTGGAAACCAACAAAACCATAATAACCACACCATCTTAACAATAATATAAAAGAAGAGCGTGAACCACGGGATCCCCCATTAGCATCAGACCTCCCAACTTCATCGTGTAACGACAGACGCAAGCGCAATGGCGGCAAGGTTAAACCAATGACCGCCGCGACTCAGCGAGCATGACAAGCAACCGAGGGAGTGTGTGTGCAAGAGGATCGCGTACGAGTCTTTGAGCGGGTCCGTGATGCCGGGCCCCCCCCCCCCTCCCCATAGGGGAGGTGGCTCGCACCACTGGAGGACCCGCAGGGAATGTTAATGTTCCGCTGGACCCGGCTCCTCACGAAGAGCAGCAGGCCAGGCCGGCGGGTCCACCCCCCTCGAAGCCCGCAAAACCAGCATGCGCGACCGTTCAGGGGACGCCAAGTGTACCGCAGCCGGGGACGAGACAGAATCACCCCTCCCAAGAGCAACCGCAGCGGCCACTCGCCCCGGATTGCCGGACGCACTCAACACTCGGCCCTAGCGATATGGAGATCAGATGAATTCGCACGGCGCGATGACCGGTTCAAGGCGAGAGGGGCAGACAGCACAGAAATTAATCACATCCCGGGATCGTCGCGTGCAAGGCTCCGCACTCGCATTCCCGACAACGCCCCCTACCAGACATGCCAGAGCCGCATGAGCCAACCACGTACTTTCCTGAATGACCGTGGTGTCCAACCCAGCATTTCGAACCTGAACACAAGGTTCCTGGTCGTCGGACACCAACGTCTGAGCTATAGCTCGGTACCCCGCAGTACCCAAATCGAGCGGCTCCCTCAAACGGAGGGGAACAGACGTTCGCCTGCCGGGCTTGATTTCTCCCGTTTGGCGCACGGACATCTGCACCGTCGCGTTAGCCGCACCTAACCGGGTAGGGGAAGGCAAAAATGCCACACGGCAATTCCAAACAGCCGCGGTCAATGCAGATTTCCAATGGCATTCTGCCAAGGAAATCGGTCCCAAGTAAATAAGGAACAGTCAAGGACGTTGAAACAAAAACGTGTCCCGACAAGCTAACATTGGCGATGCGTACCTCGGCCGTGATCCGACTGATGATACCCAACGAGCCTCCGTCAGCAGCGACACATGGCGCATCGACAAGGTCGAGAACCCGACACTTAGGGGGCAGAATGTAAAAATCTGGACTGTAATGATAGTTGCCGATGCACCCGTGTCGTTCAGCATCCTTAGCTCCACACCCTCGATAGACCCAAGCACCGTAGACGAACCCTCGGTCGCAGCCACAACTCGATGGGCCAGCTCCGACCACTGACCCGGTCGGAGCTGATGCACCTCGCGACTACACGTAGGACTTTCCCCTACCGACACGCGATCGGGACGCGAACCAAATTGGCTAGATGAGTGAAGTGAGGCCAGGGGTCGAGTGTGGAGTGCGTCGTGACTCGCCTCAGGTCATAGAGGAGAGCAGGATGGAGATCACGCCGGGAGGCGTCGACGTGGGACGCGGCAGCCCGAAGCCACATGGCCCGATAGGCCGCACTGGTAGCAGGTAACACGGCAGCCTCTGGAACGAGAAGACGACCTCGACCGCCCCCGCTTGCCCGTCCGCTGCGTGCCACCATCACCCCGATCGCCACCCGTCCGAGCCGACTCGTCTTCCGTAAGGGGCCCCGCTGTATGCGGTGGTCCCCGGCTCCGTGCGGGACACAGCGCAAATCGCCAGCGCCTCGTCCCAATGCAAAAGTTGCTGGACTCGGACGCACTTGGCGACTCTGTGGCACGCGTCCGCCGGAGGCCCGTAGATGGACGCCAGTTGATCGAAGGCCTGCGTAAGGGTGGATCTTTCCAGCGGCGGGATGGCGAGAAACGCTGCATGGGTGCCTTCGTCAAGGACGGCAGGTACTGCTCGCAGCGCCTCCTTATCCGACCATCTCGCTAAGCTGGCGTTCATGAGGAACCGCCGCTTGAAGGCCATCCAGTCGTCGTTGGGAACCATGAAGTCTTCGACAAAGGGAAGCCGACATTGGAGAGCCGGGCTGTCCCTCGGCGCCGTCTGCGCATCTTCAAGTTTGGCGGGCTGCACGCTCTGCGCAGGCGGTAAAATGGCAGCCGATCGCACGGGCTGCGACACCGCCTTTCCCGCCCATCGTGAAATGGCGGCAGAGTCGCCATTCACGAGTGGTCTTGCCGCTCCTTCCGTCGCTGGCGAGACCGCAAGGCTAAACTCCGCCAATAGCGAAGTCGCCGTGTGGAGGAGCTCCGCGAGACGCTCGTGCGCCTCCCGACAGCGAAGCATCGAGCGCCCAGCCGGCACCCGGCTACGCTAATAGCGTCTCCCCCGCATCCTCCGGAGCTGCAAGCTGCACGAAGTCCTCGTCCTCGTCGTCCAACAGCCAGGTACTCAGTCCGCGACGTGTAGACATAGTCTACAGCTTAGTTGAATAACTAGCATGATGGGATCAGGTCACGGATTTTGTGTACTGTGTTGAATCGAACCTGAATCTTGTGTTTGTTAAAGATGGTCAAAACCATCACCTTGCCATACATAGCAGGGGTTACCAAAAAGATTCCCAAAATATTGAACAAACACAAGATTCAGGTTCGATTCAACACAGTACACAAAATCCGTGACCTGATCCTATCTGTGAAAGATGTGATTCCTGAAATGCAATACCCTGGTGTCTACAAACTAAGTTGTGTCTGCGGTAGCAGTTACATTGGGGAAACGAAACGACATGTCTCGGACCGTGTTCGTGAACACAGGGTAGATTTGAAACACGGCAGAACCAATACCTCTGCCGTAGCTGACCACTGCTTGAACGCGGTGGGCTCACACGACATTGTTTTTTCCGAGACCAAGGGACTCTGCAAACCTTCGGGCTACCAGCAAAGATTTGTTCATGAAGCCATCCAGATATATAAACACTGACATAACTTCAACCGAAAAGAAGGGTACAAATTGAGCAACCATTGGAAGGAAGTTATTAACCAGGTAAAGCCTTAACTGATGATGGCTGCTTGTGTTGCAACTGAAACGTCGTATTCTATTATTTGATTTGATTTTCTATGTGACTTTACCGAAAGAACCAGAGAGTAATTCCTGCAGTCACGAAAGCTTTGAATCTAGTTTGAACTACCTCTACGGAGAGGGTTTACTCACAACTCACACTTTACTTCTAATTTTAGCAATTTTTGGGAGAACGTTAATCAACCAGGCTATGCGTTAACTGTGTGTTAGCCGACTCTCTGTGTTGCATTACATTAATTCTCTAATTTTACTAAATGTGTTGCCAAACGTCCTAAATTTCTCCTTGCTTGTCTGTTCCACACTTAACTTCTAATTCAGCAATCTTTGGAAGAACGTTAATCAACCAGGCTATACGTTAACTGTGTGTTAACCGACCCTCTGTGTTGTATTGCATTACACTTCTTAATTTTACTAAATTTGCTTTCTCAAACTTTAGATTTTCTTGCTCTAAACCATTTTCTCTCCTCCGGCCATTGTGGTTCGGAATTCCACACTGCTCCCTCCTTGTCCCCCCGTTTGTCTGCTGGACCCCCTCGTTTGTCCGCCTCCCCAGTCCTCTCTCTGCTCCGGCCTCCCCTCTCTCTCATTTAAGGCCTCGGCACAGATTCGTTGTCCTTCTGTTTGTCTTGGTGTGTCTCACTTGGTGTGTCTCTGCATGTGTGTCTGCCTATGTTGTTTCCGTATCTGTGTTTTATCATTAATTCTTACCTGCTGATGGCTGCTTGTGTGGCAACCGAAACGTCGTATTCTATTATTATTTGATTTTATTTTCTACGTGACTTTACCGAAAGAACCAAAGAGTAATTCCTGCAGTCACGAAAGCTTCTAAACTAGCCTTAACTGGTTGTTGATGTTTCCATCATACCTGCCATTGTCAACAGTTATTTCCGATTCTCTGAGTTACATCTTTTGTACCAGATATTAAATTCTGTATTTTATGTACCATGCCAAATCTGACTCGGATGTTTGTTTTTCCAAACATCTGGCTAGTTTATAAGTTACTCCCGCAATGTACGGTATTTGATCATTTTAATTACTTGGGCAGTTTCAATGCTCTTGTTATTTGATTTGGTTTTGGTATTCAATGCCCTGTTGATTTGTGCATCATTGTAGCCGTTTATTTGCAGCGCTTCTTTAACATGTTGAATTTCACTTCTCAGACTGTCACCATCTGACACTTTCTTAGCTCGATGAATGAGCGCCTTGATAAGTGCAAATTTCTATGTGGGGTGTTTGAACATCTTAACACCTTCTGTATTATTGCCTTTTCTTCTTTCACCCCCCCCCCCCCCCCCACCGTTTACCCCCAGATAAATGGAGTTTCACTGTGAATCGTCCACATATGCAGTAATCATAATCACCAAAAATATAGTGGTTGAACAATTAGAATACTTACGTAAGCACTGATAAAATAAAATATAAACTTAGAAACACACTCACGTCTTGTGAGAAGGCCACCGTTTACTTAGCGAGGCAGTGGATGGGTGTCTCTTTTTCCCATGATCCAGTTTTTCATTGTCTTGCTGTTGGCTTGTGCTATGCTGGTGATTCTTTGTTTTGGCAGACTTTCCAGTTTCCCTTCATTTACAATAAGACCATACACCAAAATAGAGAAATAGCATGTTCATATTAGTCATGTTAAATAAATACAATAACCCTTCAATGCAAACCTTATAATCCCAACGTCAGCAGTGGCCATTGTATGTAATATGTAGAGATGATGTGAACAAGCAACTGGTCCCGTTTCTTTGATGATGTCCACTGTTACACTATCTGAGTGTTCTTCACTCATTTTCAGAGGGGGGCCACTTTTGCCGAAAAGACATCATCGGTGCGAGTGCCGCCACACATTTGAAATCATGGGGGGTTTGAGAGCACAATGATGGTGGGGGTGTTTTCACATTTGTGTATTGTCGGGGGCCGCACGTCTGGAACTGCACTAAAGGGGCCACCAGTGGGGCTTGTAATGAAGAACACAACACTATTTGGTCCAGGAGCTTTCCCCTTCTATCATACTGCGAAGAGCAACATTTACTTTTTGAGGAGCGACATCTCGAACTTCATCCTCTTCATCTGAGTAATGGTCTGATGCCTATGAAATAGTATACATTATTTTGCCACAGAGAGCTGCACATATATGTATACACTAGTTTTATAAGGCTATCTCTATCATGAGATATGGTTAAATCTTTCTCCCTAAGGATGTTACATTCTTATTCTGATCATTTTACAAGTTATGTTTATTAATGGTTAGTATATCATTTCCATTTATTTGTAGATCTCTCCTCTGCCTCAACGTGCCCTTTGTTGTTTTCTGATTTGCTGTTTGCTTTCTAACCTTTGCCACCTACTTTCAATGTACTATCCTGTTCAATATTTACACAACAATTAAATACCTCAATCATGGAATGATGATTCAATAATTCGTCTATTCAAAAAGGATGGTGAAAGTTTAATTGAACAACTAGAGACTCATTGGGCTCCTTTTGAATGTATGCAAATTGTTTCAGAAGATTTTTTGAAACAATAGAATTGACGCAAACCAACCATATATGCAATACGAGTTTAGGAAAGGTGTCTATACCATTGACCACATGCTATCAATCAGATTCCAGATTTTGAAAGGACCAATGAATATGAAATACCATAGTGTTTAAGCCTTTGTAGACTATGGCTCAGTGGAAGTTTATCCAGTCATCGAAGCTCTCACAAACCAAGGCCTAAATAAATATTCATTAAAAACAACTTTAAACAGAAATGGAGCAACCATACATGAAGAAAGTAACAAGATACATATTAGAAATAACCAAGGTTATTCAGCAACATGAGCATATTTTCCAAAAATTAAATTGGAGAAGCAAAGACGTATATTTGTGGAAAAAACATTGACCATCTCGGATTTGCTTATGGCATAGTCATTATAGTGCGCAATGGTAATACACTACAGGAAATGCTAGAATCACTTAATAGAGAAGGCAGCAAAATTGGACTATTGAATGGGAACTGGGATCACAAAATGTTGAAAAGCGGAGTATTTTCTTGATAATGAAAAACAACTCACAAATGTGCGTAGAGAAGAAAGTTTTTAATCAGTGTGTATTACCTGCTATGACATGTGGAAATGCGGACATTCACAAATAAACTAGAACAGAAACTGAAAAGTAAGTATATAAGCATGGAAAAATGCATGCTGGGAATTATACTAATAAGCAGAAAGGGAACATGAAATAGAGACATCGGATAGAACGTTAAGCAGGAGCCATCGCTGTAAGAGATGACGGCCAATGGTCGAGACTAATACAGATGTGACAGCCAAAGGAGGAATATAACTGACGTGGTGATGGAACAATGAGATCGACTCATAAACAGGAGCAAGGTAGATCGTTGCACTTCAAGATCATGACATATGGTGAAAACTTGGCGAGGCTGTCATCTTGCAGTGGATATAACACGGCTGATAATTATGATGGACATTATATAAACTCTGCTAAGTACTTTAAGCTTAAGTAATTCAAACTTACTGTGGTTGGATAAGCCCCAAGTTCTTCCATGTTAGAGAAGGCTGTGGTTTGTGGTTCTTTATCAGCCCATGTACTGCTTTTTTCTCTGCTTCTGGATAAATCACTTTGGATTTTGTCACTGTTTGGTTGTTTCCTTCTTTCTTGTGTTTTTTCCCTTTTTGGGAGCTCCCATGCTGGGAGGACAGCGAGGCCATGTGCAAAGCACAGTCCTAGAAACAACAATACAACTTAATGTTTCTTGCAGTATATCGAATAAAAATGCAAATTGATTAAAATCCTGGTTAATGCAGAAGACTAAAGCATAACTTAAATACATGTATGCACACAACACAGTACGATCAACCCTGTGCAATAAACGTCTTCCACGACGATCTTGACTGGCGTCTTTTATTGATAGAATTCTTGCACAGCCCACTCCCACTCTCCCCGTATGTTTCCCTTCTCTCTACGGCCGGGGACGAGCCATTCTCTCTGTTCCTCCGTTGAGGCCCGCCTCTCTCTCACTCCCCGATCCCACCGCTGGCTGGCGGCGTGCCGGGAGGCGAGCCTTGCTGGAGTTCCGGCACGTGGTCGATGGCGAGGAGAGGCTTCTGCAGTGACGCGGTCCGGACTCGAGGCTTCACACACCGACCCGAGTCCTCCCCTGTCCCTGCTTATATGCCTCTCGGCGGAGCTAAGCTCCGCCTATAGCTACGCCCCCTCGTGGAACTTTCACGATAGTTCCCGCACGTTCCCCTTTGACTCTGCCCATTACCCTTGGCCCAGATATATCCCCACTTGGGATTGGCCGTGCGGTTACCCCTTGCCGCCCATTAGATGGCGCGCTCTCATTTCATCCAATAATTCACTACTTCTTCTGAGCCACTAAAAAAAATATTGAGAGCTATATGATAGTTTTTTCCAAGACCAAGGTGCTCTGCAAACCTTCGGGCTACTATCAAAGGTTTGTTCATGAAGCCATCCAGATATATAAACAGACGTAACTTCAACCGAGAAGATGGATACAAATTGAGCAATCATTGGAAGGATGTTATTAACCAGGTAAAACCTTAAATGCTTTATGGTGTTGCCTTCATATCCGCATCTCCCGTTGCTTCAGCTCCCCACTCCCAGCCCCGCTCTCTTCCCCTCCCCACCCCCCCGACATGTTGTCTCTGCTCGCCCTTTAATCCCTTCTAGCTGCTCTTCACTCGGCAGCGCTCCACTTCCCCCCCCCCCCCCCCCTTTCTGTCTCTCCTCCCTGGCTCCTCCCCCCTCTCTTGCCTAGCCTCTTGTTACAGCAGCCCTTTTGCCCACTTCAGCAATTGTTTCTTGCTGTGGTTGTCCCACCTGATGGCGGATGCTTGTGTTGTGCCCGAAACGTGATTTAATTTATTTTATACCTACGTGACTTTACCGAAATAACCAAAGAGTATAGATCCCTGCAGTCACGAAAACTTCAAATCTAGATTTACTACATATCCATAGTACAATTTCAATGTGCAACTGTGTTGTGTTAGTGTGGTCTCGGACTGTTTATGTTGCTGTCTTACTGCCTCACCCAAATCCCCCATTTAGTGTTTGAAAACTTGGCAGGTATTATTTATTTATTGTGACTTGCTTACCTCCCCGATAGTTTGCACTCCTCTCATTTTTGTAATGTTTGTTGTTGTAACATTCTGACTCACCCCTACTGGACATTCTGAGATGACTCAACTCACCAGAGTTGTCAGGTCTATTGACAAAGTGCATGTTAGAATGTGTATGATGTTTATAACAGACAGATACCTTTTTTTTAATGTTCTCATCAAATTTTGGGGACCTGTCCTTTAGCAGAGAAATTAGATCTTTGTAAATGTCACTTTTACGTTCGTAGATGATTTCATCTCCATCCTTTTCAGTCCCCTGTACAAGATAAACATGTGTTAAAGTACAATGATACCACGGGTAGTTAGACCTCGGCTACCCATAATGCACAATTAGCTGGATCAGGTTGGTTAATTAAACAAAATCAAACATGTATTTTAAATTCAATAATATCGTGTGAAAGTCAGTAATTTACTGCACAAACGAGCGTTGAGGTATTGTGCATCTCCCCTGTTTACAGCCTGAGCCTATTGATGGAAATTCCACATTCCTATGTCGGGGGCGAGGACATCGAGTGTTGACTGCCCCTATCCTGAGTTGACATCCCCACAAACAGGTACCTATTTTATCGAACCCAGAAAATGTATGGGCTGAGTCAACCCCCCAACCAGGAACCGAATTCGAAGCCTTTCAATTGTGAGTCGCTCACCCTACCGCTGAGCCGCTTGGCCAGACTATATACTTTAGAGCTCGTAATTTAATATAAAATTGCAATATAGAATACAATGCGCTCGAACATGTTAAGTTGTTTACGTGTAAAATATGTAAAGTGTTATTCAATGTATTTTCAGAAAATTGCCAAAAAATGTTGGTTTCACAGCCTACGGTTATAAGCAATTACTTGATAAGCGGATAACCATGGCAAACACGTGAGCATAAAATGCAAGACTCACCCCATTGAGAAACACTCCCACCGTGCTGCACGTGACTGACAAGAGCTCGGTATCACAGGGCTTGATCATCAAGTAACAGATGTCTCCCTCAATTTGCCTCCAAGGTGGTGCCCGGCACCCATTGGAGAACACATAATCTAACAACACATTATTGTAAGACATGAAGGAAAGGTATTTTGAGTACAAGACATTAAATCAATGTAGTTTTCACTATAATGTATATGTTTTTGCTCGGATTTGCTTCATTGTTTTATCTGTTTTTTGTCATTGCTTTTGTCATTTTGGTGACCCAGGTCAATATTACAAATTAAGCCATCTCTTCAAATCTCACCCGGCTTAACAAAATAAACTATCAACTTGATATACGCAAAAAACATTTACATGGTTGATAAGGGTGATCTTTGTAGATCATAGGAGTTTTTTTCTGATTGCCTAACATTAAATATGGCCTGCATGTGGCTATGCAGTCAGACGAGGGACGACATTGTGTCTTGTACCATTTCGCTTTGTGCGTCCTTTTGTTGGACCGCATCTACCGCATAAAGAGAGGGAAACCTGTATGCCCTAAAGCAGTGGTTTTTAACCAGGGGTATGCAGACCCCTGGGGGTACGTAGCAATGTCCTAGGGGGTACATGAGGTGATATGTGTGAAATTATATCACACATGAGAGTCATTGGTGAATAATCATGTATGAATGTCAATATAAAACAACTACAACAAAAAATAAATCCATATGGTAACCTTGAACGATATAAAAGACCTTTCTAAACTCATTCATCGTAAACAATGTGGTTTCCAAGATTAGCCAGCAAGTGCGAACAAATTATGTCATGCATGCAGAGCGTCCGTTTAATTTATTATTTCTATTCGTTTTCAGTTACAAGCTTGTCAGAACACCTCACAAAATAGACAATTGGTTAAAATATTGATTTTCATTTAAAGCTTTCGTGACTGCAGTGATTCATATTCTTGGTTCTTTCGGTAAAGTCACGTTGAAGGGAAACAATAAAATAATAAAATTCTCACGACGTTTCGACTGCAACACAAGCAGTCATCATCAGGTGTGAAAACCAACGACAAGAACATTTGAAAGAAGTGGCGGTTTGTATTTATTTATTTTTAAACATTAGCACCACGAATAGCGATTTGACAGTTTGTTTAGATGGATGAGTCCATCTATGTTCAGAAAAGAGGAGGGGGGAGACAAAAAATTAATGTATACTGTCTGAAAGACACCGTAAGCGTGAACAACCAATTAAGACCCGAAATGGTTTATCAAATCCTTCCAGTGATTGCAAAGCCAGAATCAATCTTCTCGGTTGAAATTGTCTCTGTGCTTGTATATGTGGATAGCCTCATGAACGAATCTCTCATGGTAGCCAGATGGCTTGCAAAGAACTTCTGTCTTGGAGAAGTCAATGTCATGTGAGCCTACTGAATTATAACAGTGATCTGCCACGGCCGAGGTGTTGGTCCTACCGTGTTTAAGGTCTGCTTTGTGTTCACGAATGCGGTCTGAGACATGTCGTTTGGTTTCTCCAATGTAACTACTACCACAGAGGCAACTTAGTTTGTAGACACCAGGGTACTGTATGTCCGGAATCACATCTTTTACAGACGGAACCAGTTCACGGATTTTATGTAATGTGTTTAAACGGACCGGGATCTTGTGTTTATTTAAGATTTTGGAGATATTTTTGTGATCCCCGCAATGTAGGGTAAAGTGATGGTTTTGAAAGGCTCCTCAAGAGGGTACTTCTTCATGGTTTGAGTGATAGCTTTGCGGATTGTATAGTCGGAGTAACCATTAGCCTTAAGAGCTTGGTGTACGTGCTTGAGTTCACTGCCTATGTGTTCCTGGTCGGATATGCATTGGGCTCTATGGTGCAGAGTCTTGATGATAGAATTCTTCTGTGATGGATAGTGGTAGGAATCCGGTTTCAGATAAGCATCCGTATGGGTAGCTTTCCTGTAGACATAGTTGCTAATTGAACCATCAGGTCTCATTTTTAGTAGGACATCCAAAAAAGGTAGCTTGCCATCTTTTTCGACTTCCATGGTAAATCTGATGGCAGGGTGTATGGAATTGATGTGGTTGAAGAATTAGTCTAGAGCAGGCCGGCCATGTGGCCAGATGACAAAAGTGTCATCCACGTACCTCTTCCATAAGGTTGGGCGCAGAGTGGCAGTCTGGATGGCATCAGTCTCAAATTTCTCCATGAAAATGTTGGCTATAAACTGTCAAATCACTATCCGTGGTGCTAACGTTTAAAATAAATAAATAAATGCGAAAAACGCCACTTCTTCCAAATGTTCTTGCCGTTGCTTTTCACACCTGATGATGACTGCTTGTGTTGCAGTCGAAACGTCGTGATAATTGTATTGTTTTATATACATTTTATAATTTTATTGTTTCCCTTCAACGTGACTTTACCGAAAGAACCAAGAATATAAAATATTGATGTCCATTTATATATACATTTATTTCTCAGAGCCATGTTGGGTGAGGCAAGGGGGTACTTGGTTCAAACTAAATTCAACAAGGGGGGGTACTAGTAGCCAACAAAAGGTTGAGAACCACTGCTCTAAAGGGACTCTCTTGCACTCCAGCTGTAGCATAAGCCAGTAATTGCAGGGCTGCACCTACCTCCCTACCTACCTCAGATAATAGAAAAGACAAATGACTATCATATATGTAGTGAGTCCTACTGAGTCGCAGACGTTGTCTTGGGAGCAACACTATTTATTTCAGTAACTCAACATAACATAACACAACCTACACTTGGGTATTGAATGCCCATCTAGCCACGCTACGACAGAACTAGACATGGTTCGCTATCCCGGAACGGACCACAAGCTGGGTCCCGGACCGCGTGGCTAGAGGCTTCTTTTACCCGACGTGGATCTTCATCACTGCAACACGAAGAACCCCGAGCCCCTCACGGGGCCCCGGTTATATCCGCCCGGGCTGGGCTGGCTCCGCCCCTCACCCCGCTCACCTTCTAGATCTCTCGAGCTCTTTCCCGAAGGCTCCCGAGAGCTCTTTCATACCACGTGACTGCCCAGCGGCCCCCGTCCACCGGTGGCCCCCCTCCAATATCATCAAGTCACGTGTCGGTAGGTCAACCAGCGTATCATGCCCCAACGTAACCCTGGCTGGCTGACATTCCCTCTCGCTCCCTCACCGGGAGCCCGCACCGCACACTGTATGTGTTGCCTCCGTGCTGACCAGCGCTCACCCAAGCCCTGCTAGGGCTGGGACTACGCTCAGTAAGCGGGTTACACACATTATCCGCTGTGGCTTCGTAAGCCCGGCACCATACAGTGACATACACAATCACTCATATATACCAAAAACCTTGCCCATCACGGCGGTTACATTCTTGAAAATAGCCGCAAATGGCAAATCCACGATCCACAAACTCAAAAGCATAAGGGAAAAATATGGTTTAGTTCACGGTTCATAATACAACACCGCTCCTTTTGTTTTATGTTACCCTAAATGAACCCAATGTACTTACATGCTTCTCCTTTTGTCGAATATTTGGTGGACAATAATGGTTTCCCAAAAAGCATGTCAGTGTATGGTTTTATTCATGCAGTACATATAGGAGATATGTGACTTGTCATGTCCCACATTTAACATTCAGAAAATATTTATCCCTACAATACCTGAGATATGTTGTATGCTGCGTATTAAGGATTTGGTGGAGTCCCCAGACAAAGGCTGCAACAGCTCCACTTCACGGTTTATTGCTTCAGGACTCATCGACACCTTTCTGCCAACACGTGAAAGCACAATAGCATCTTTACTGCACAAGAACAACACATGTACTCTTTCCTCACACTGTCCATTTAGATAGAAATTACAATACAACTGGAGTATTGTTTAAATTACTGTACATATTTAACATCTAAATATGTGCGATGTCAGTGCCAAATAAATGGTAAGAGATAAATTGGTTGAATTACACAAATAATAATACTGTATAAGCTTTTGATAGTGATTGCACAATTTGACATGCACATTTCCTATACATCATGTATAGGATGTATTTTGTATTTATAAATATTTGTAATGTCATCCAAACAAGAATCGTTGGGTCTTTAAGATAGTTTTTCAAGAGTATCCAGCTTAGGATGTTACAATAAATAAGTTTGGAGCATTATTTTGTATCCCAAAAAGGTTTTAAATACATTATTGCAGTAAACAATTATTATTCTGACCTTATTCGTGGTACAGAAGCCAATTCAGGCCCAACATCTTCCCATCTGACCACTGCTTTTTACTTCGCATCCAGTTCTAGTAACTGCAAATAATTTGTATTTATACACTTATCTCCTGTATGTCTCCTTTTGTCTTTATTTTTAGAAATGTACCCAATGACTAAAAGCAAATTGTCCGCTTCATCTTCGAGTGAGGGTGGCTTCTGATGCAACTACAACTTCCATTGAATCTTAGTAATTAAATAAGCCTGTGCCAATCAGTGCCAGCACATCTGAAGTTAATCTACCTTAGCTACGTGTCCAGGATGTAAGTGAAGAACTTATGACTTTGTGATACCATTGAATATTCTGTCCCAAGAAACATATCAGATGTGGGCCTATTCAATGAAGGACAGAAGACTTATCCTGAGGCTAATGTCAACAGTAGAAAGGCTTGTTTCCAGAAGCAATGGTTGAATTCATATCCTTGGCTGGAGTATAATAAAAATGTAATTGATGGGATTAATTGTAATCTTATCATTCTTACTCGGCCACTTGCTTCAGGCAGCTTTGTAGTAACTGCAGGTCAAACTGCTGCAACAGTACCAGAAGCCTCTTCTTGATCTCTGTTCCAGGGTCCCCTTTTTCTCCTATCTCTGGCAAATGCAATGCTGCTGGGCCTTCCCCTTCCACTGTGGCAAAACTTTTGCCAAGTATCTTTGTCACTGGATCTCGGTTAGCTGAAATGTAAAACACACACATCACCCATCAAACTTGATAGATCCACACATCCGTGCATTACAGAAACATCAAATGCGATGCAACATGTCCTTGTCATCTTAAGTTTTACATTCTTTAGATAAGATATGCAGAATTAAAGACGTAAAATTAGGTATTAAGTAAAAGTGGCCTTGGGCAGGAGACATGGGTAGAAAGAATGGCCTACGGTTTATTGCTTCACTTTCATTATATATTGTACTTATATGTGTACTGCATTGAATCTGACAGATATTACCTGCAATATTAGATTCATGAATACATTAAAGCATACGATAGGTTACCTTCCAGGCAGGATTGCACCTCCTTGAGCTTGTGCTGCCCAGAAGCTTGCAGTAACCGAGAGAGGTGGTTCCAGTTGGACACACTGACAGTCTGCCCAGAGAGGTAAAGGAGAGGCTGTCCATCGTGTTTCGTATCCTTGGATGCGACCGTTGTCTCGCTGCCAGAGTGTGCAAACATGTCATAGCATTTTAACATGTAGGCTTTCGCGACCTTGATTCAAAAAATAGTTTTTTTTGGGTTAGATCGCGTAAATATGTGTCGTTAAAACCCGCCACCACCCGACACAGCCAACTAGTAAGGGTTGTCACCTAAACAATTCGTCAATGCGAATTGGCACGTTCTGTTTATGTGACAAACCCTTACTAGTTGGCTGTGTCGGGTGGTGGGGGGTTTTAACGACACATTTATATATTTACGCGATCTAACCCAAAAAAAACCTATATTATGGATGGCATAACATTAACACGAAAACGTAGCAATTGGCGGTTGGTACACATTACAACACATTATGAATTTAGGACACTATTTTAAATGATGGGGGAAAATAATCATTGGTAAGAATTAGCCTTACAAACTGTTAAGGAAGCTGTGAAAGACGATCAACCATACCTGGGAATGTAGTCTTGTGTAAAATCAGAAGGCTGTAGCAAAGTTTCCCACTGTAATGGTTCATAAAACTCGAGTGCTGCCTCATGAATATGGAGGTTGCCGAACTCCTCAGCATAGTTTGCAATACTGTTGAGCAATACTTCATTCATTGGTGTGGGCTCTAAAGTCACCCTGCCTCTCGCGCTGTCGGAGGTCCACTGAGCTGCACGAGAGAGTGACACCCCCATGTTGGCGAGACACCTGTTGAGAAAAATACCCAACACAGTACAGTACTGTATGTTGAACTTCTTTCACACCGTACGTAGCCAACCGTGTTAATCGGAGGTGCGGCGGAATGACAACTAAACACAAAAAGAAGTTCTCAATCTGGGTTCCGAAAAAAATACAGCACCACATCTGCTGCATTAGACTCTCTGAATCAAATTTACAGTAGCCTTGATAATAAGCAGTACTGTGCCTGTCTTTTTTCTTCACCTGTCCAAAGCTTTGATACAGTAGACCACAACACCCTGCTTAGTAAACTAAGTTGCCTCGGTTTTTCCGAAAACACAGTAAAATGGTAAAAAAATTACCTCTTTTCTCGCACCCAAACTGTATTCACAGATGGTTGGAGGTCAAACAGTGTTAAGATAACAAAAGGGGTTCCACAGGGTTCCATCCTCGGCCCCCTCTTGTTCTCTCTTTATGTCAATGACTTGGACACTGACCTGGATCATTCCAGGGTAAATCTTTTTGCAGATGACACGATACTGATTACTGCTGGCCGCTCTCTAGATGACGTGATTGCTAAGCTCCAGGGTGATTTCAACAAACTACAACATCAGCTAGTTGTTCTTAAACTAGTCCTGAATACCTCCAAAACCAAGGTGCTATGCTTCTCACCGGGACTAAAGCAGGAAGTAAATTTTCCACAATTTCATTCCTTAAATAATTATCAAATAGAGCAAGTCAAGATCTATAAGTATCTTGGGGTCATTCTGGATTCAAAACTGAATTTTGAAGATCACATTGATTATATTGGTAAAAAGACTAAAATAAAAATTGGTTTTCTGTATCGACACAAGTACTGCTTCCCCCCTATGTTCCGTTTGGAATTGATAAAAGCTACCATACTGCCTTTACTTGATTACTGTGATATCGTGTATAAATCAGCCCCAAGTACTGTACTGAAGAAGCTTGATTCCATCTATCAGTCGGCCTTAAGATTTGCATTGAACTGCCCATATAGGACTCACCACTGTGATCTCTACATTGGGACAAACTTAACATCTCTTAATGTTCGACGGCTTGTGCACCAGATCTTATTTATTCACGATGTACTTACAAAAATAATCCGCAGACTACCTGCTGGATCTCCTCTCTGTTTCAAAGAACAAATTTGACCTCAGGTCTTCGTTCATTTACCAGCTTCACATTCCCTATTGCCGTACAAAAACCGGAGGAAGGGCCTTTGCTATTGATGCCCCCAGGGTCTGGAATGCTATTGAAAATAAACTGCAACTTGAATCACTTACCTATGAGATCTTCACTCAAAACTGATCTAGAGGAGTTGTACACCTCTAGCTACCACTGCTATTCAGTGGCCTAAAATAAAATAAAATGTTTCGCTCCGGATGACCGCTGCAAAGTATTATCTATATTTTGATTTAGTGTGCTGATCTTAAAGGTGCATTGAAAAATGTGATACTCCGACTAATGCTCCTGTTGTTGTGGAGTGACTCATGCAGCCAGCTATGGCTCTAGGGTTTGGTGTTACATGTTATTTATGTAGTTTATTGTAAAAAAAATCGGTCACAGTCCCTATGATCACTGTTACATTGCATTTATGGCTTTATTTTGGTGATTTAGAAAACGTTTTTTGGTTTGGCCATGTTTTTGTTTATTGTAGTACGGAGTTAGACTGATGGCCTTAATCTTAGTTGTCTTGTGGTTGTTGTTGTTTGACTTGCATCCCACTGGGATATTTGCACACAGCGTTGGTGTACGGTGCTATTTCAGGAATATTTTGATGTTTTTTTCCTGGATTTTCTGTTTGCAGTCACACATAGTCACTTTAAGATGTTTTCTTGTTCATGTTTTTTTTGTTTGTTGCGGTTGCACCCGATTCAAGAGCCGAATGGCTCACAGGGCTATACCAAATAAATGGAACTATGAACTATGAGTTTTCAATCTCGATTTCAAAGTGCATAGCTCCAGTGGCTCTCTAATAACGGAAGTTTCGTTCCAGACGGCCGCAGAAGCGCATCTGAAAACGCGCGATCCAGTGATCGTATTTGTCCGACGACCAGTACAGTACACGTAACAAACATTTAAAATATATCATGTGATGAGGCAATATAATTTAGAACGTGATGTGACAGGGTGTCGATATCATTATTGAACCTTGTTCAATCTCCACATCAAAAACCTACCACTCAGTCAAAAGGAAGGTTTAACTGTCTCCCATGCTGCGACTGTCCCCCATGCTGCCGTGCAGGTTAACAACCCAAGTCTTCTTCTTTGGTTCTTTCGGTAAAGTCACGTGGAAAGAGAATAAAATAATAAAATAAAATTCTCACGACGTTTCGGCCACAACACAAGTGGCCTTCTTCAGGTGAAGAAGGCCACTTCTTCGACAGGTTTGTTCCTTTCACCTGAAGAAGGCCACTTGTGTTGTGGCCGAAACGTCGTGAGAATTTTATTGTTTTATTTTATTATTTCATTCTCATTCTACGTGCCTTTACCGAAAGAACCAAAGAAGATGAATCCTTGCAGTCACGAAAGCTTTCAATCGAAACCCAAGTCTTCTGATGGACGTCGATCTCTTTAGCCGGCCTACTGCCCGTCCGTCATCACGGCACCCACTTTGGACACACATACTACCCCTGGAGGTGTGTCAGTAGAGTCAACGTGGACGGAAGGGAGTGGCTCTCATCCTGAGCAATAAACAAATTCCTCGTAAGTACGTTGAACTTCTTTCGCACCCCACGTAGCCAATCGCGCTAATCAGAGGTGCGGGCGGGGTGTGTGTGTGTGGAAGGACAGCAAACTAATCACGCGCGAAAAAAAAAAGTCAGTTCACACGTGAACAACCCTGCGATCGGCCCGCGTGGGTTTGACCCTACGGGTCCATGCTCAGCAAGGCCGGCACAGGTGACGCTTACGGGACGAGCCCCCCAACAACTCTGTCCGCGTGTTGGTGTGCCAAGACAGACGGAGAGGCGCATTGCTGAAGGCTGCGAGGCCGCCTAGCGGCGCTCCAGGCTGGCGTTGCGTTGCGCAAACGATGAAGCTGCTGTCTGGCTCGGCGCAAAACACGATAAATAGAACAAAAATAATACCATAACTATTCTTAGCTCTTTCGGTAAAGTCACGTTGAAGGGAAACAATAAAGTAATACAATATATATATAAAACAATAAAAATTCTCACACAAACGGTCATCATCAGGTGTGAAAAAGCACCTGATGATGATTGTTTGTGTTATGGTCGAAACGTCGTGAGAATTTTTTTATTGTTTTATATATTTTATTGTTTCCCTTCAACGTGACTTTACCGAAAGAACCAAGAATACGAATCACTGCAGTCACGAAAGCTTTCAATCAAAATGTAAGTGTTATCGATGTTGCAGTGTGATAGTGTGATATCACAGATAGACGTGTCTCGTGATAGTGAGATAAACAACGAGTCGTGTTGTGTGAACGTGAGCTTGCGACGCTATGGTAGTGTCGAGTTAGAGCTAGCGTGTAACGTGTGTAGAGTGTGACAGTGACGCCTCACGTTTGCGCTTCACTTGAGACGGAACTTCGCGCTGTACAGTATCAGCACCGCACGCCACCGGCGCCGCCTCAGAGAAACGCCGCTTACAGCGGCGACAGCAGCAGCAAACGGCGTGTTGGAGACGCCTCGCTGGAGGGGAAGGAGGCGAGCGAGAAGGTCGCAGCAGCAGCAGCAGCAGGAGGAGGAGGAGGGAGGGAGGAGAAGCCAGGAGAACGGAGAGGAAACTCGCTCGGAGCCGGCCAGGAACCTCTCTCTCGTCCTCTCGCCGGCAAGTCGCCGCCTGCGCCGTCTCCATGGCGACGGCGTCAAAGCGTTGCTGGGGGAGGAGACCCCGAGCGCAGTGGGGGAGGGAGGAGACCCTGAGCGCAGTGGGGGGCGTGTGCAGTGGGGGGGGGGAGAGGCCGTGTGCAGTGGGGGGGGGGAGAGGCCGAGTGCAGTGGGGGGGGGGAGACGCCGAGTGCAGTGGGGGGAGGAGCGGCCGTGTGCAGCGGTGGTGGGGGGGGGGCCTAGAGCACGAGGAGACTTCGAGTGTAGCGTGCGGGCCGGCGCCTCTGATTGGCCGAGACGAGTGAAGTCTATTTGGGGGTCAGCCCGGAGATCTGAATGGAGGTCAAACGGAGCAGAACCAAGAGTGTGATCAGAGGATATTTAATCTTTGGTTCTTTCGATAAAGTCACGTAGAATGAAAATAATAATTAAATAATAGCATACGACGTTTCGATTGCAACACAAGCAATCATCATCAGGTACGAATGAATGAGAAAACAAACCTCGTAAACTTAGAAATATAATGCAATACAACACAGAGAGTAGGCTAACATAACAGTCAACACCCTACCTGGTTGATTGACGTTCTTCACTGGAGGAGGAATCCGATGGACTGTCAGGCTCTTTTTTTCACAGGTGTCCAGTAAGGGGCAGGTAAGAATGTTACAACAACAAACAATAAAAAGTACATGAAAGCCAAAAAGATCACCCAAAAAACATACAAATACAAATAAACTATCCCCATTCTACCGGGGAAAAGCCCACTTAGGTATTAACTAATTTTTTTTTCAGAAGCGACCTGGCCACAAATGATAGCCGCTCAACAAAGTGGCTCATCATGTGAAAAACCTAACGCAGAAGGCCCCTTTGGTTTGATCTTCCACGAAGCTCATTGTCTACCCTAAACCGCATCTCCTGTCAAATTAAAAAAAACTCTCCGGTAGTGTGCGACTGTGGTCATCCAGAACAGACTATAACGACGTATAACGACGCAATGCCCGATCCACAAATACGAAGGAGACATCACGGCGATGATACAGACCGCTGCTCCTGACGCGATTATCTGGCTTGACCCAACTGATTGTGAGCTTGTAGTTATTGCTCTGCATCTACATCAGCCGTACAATATAAATAAAAAAAGCTAAGACACTTTTTCGAGGGCGATTCGGCCGGCAGACAACATCAAAGCATTCCCCAATTATAGATTTTTTAAAAAAAATTGTAATTACATGGTAAAATTACATTGACACTTACACTTTATTTATTTTTTTAAACAAAAGAGTTATTTTAAATGACAGAGATGGTAGAGAATGGAGATGCCGAGACACGAAACGGGGTGGTTCCAGGCACTTTGGGAAAGCTACATTAAATGTTTTTGATCCAAATTGTGTGGGAAATCTGAAAACTATTATCAGACACGCGTTGCAGATTTGTTTGTATTGTCCAATGTTAGGATGTAGTGTAGTAGAACGACACGATTGTGTTGGCTCGGTATGGGGGCTGTAGGCAGGTGTCATGAAGGTCATGTCAGGCCGTGACACTCTGCGTGAACCCAACAGGACACGTGACCGGATAAAGGGCGGCCAGGGGCCCCAGGGGGGTCACGTGGTTGGGGGCTCGGTCCTTCCCGAAGGGTCGGGAAGGGGGCGTGGCCTGGGGCGGGGGCGTGGCCTGGGGCGGGGGCGTGGCCTGGGGCGGAGCCACCCATGCCGGAGTGGTTATAAGCGGGGTGTGGACGGAGAGCTGGGCTGTTCGGTGCTGTTCTGCTGGGTCATCTCTGGGATAAAGCTCTCCGGTCTCCGCTAGTGGACCAAGCAGCATGTTGGGCTGTCCTGGTCCAGTGATGTAGTACCTCCGTGGGTTAGCTAAGTTAGGAACGGTGACTACCACCTTAAGTCGTTATGTTAAGTGTTACCTGTTGTGTTAGCTAATACATAGTGTTGCCTCCAAAGTTCCAGTGTGCGCCTGAATTTAATCCACTACACTAATAACAACAGGTCAGACAAAAAAAGGGCAGATCTACGGACAATATAGCCTTGTAAATGAAAATGGCACTGTCTTCCCATCTCCAAAGACATTGCCAGCCACGGCATAGAGGTCACAGTGATGCGTCCGATATTGAGCACCCACTGCGAATATGAATGCAGCACGGTAAACCGAATTAAGTTTGTTTAAGTGTACCCAAAGAAGCAACCCGAATTGCTACATCAGAGTTGTCAAATAACGGAATGACTTTAGCTTCAATAATGTCTACGATTTGGAAGACAATGCTTGTTTCTGGCTGAACCCCCGATCCGACTCGAAAGAGAGAGCCCTGGCAGAAAGTGGACTCCGCAGCACAAACATGTTTATGGGGCACTTAAAATTGAAATTTCGGGGCCTTAATATGAAAAATCTCAGATTTTCAGATGTATCCTGTTGTTTGAGTCCTAAAAGCTACCTACAGTGTAGGAAAAAAGTATTTGATCCCCTGCTGATTTTGTACGTTTGCCCACTGACAAAGAAATGTTCAGTCTATAATTTTAATGGTAGGTTTATTTGAACAGTGAGAGACAGAATAACAACAAGAAAATCCAGAAAAACGCATGTCAAAAATGTTATAAATTGATTTGCATTTTAATGAGGGAAATAAGTATTTGACCCCCTCTCAATGAGAAAGATTTCTGGCTCCCAGGCGTCTTTTATACAGGTAACGAGCTGAGAATAGGAGCACACTCTTAAAGGGAGTGCTCCTAATCGCAGCTTGTTACCTGTATAAAATACACCTGTCCACAGAAGCAATAAATCAATCAGATTCCAAACTCTCCACCATGGCCAAGACCAAAGAGCTCTCCAAGGATGTCAGTGACAAGATTGTAGACCTACACAAGGCTGGAATGGGCTACAAGACCATTGCCAAGCAGCTTGGTGAGAAGGTGACAACAGTTGGTGCTTTTATTCGCAAATGGAAGAAACACAAAAGAACTGTCAATCTCCCTCGGCCTGGGGCTCCATGCAAGGTCTCACCTCGTGGAGTTGCAATGATCATGAGAATGGTGAGGAATCAGCCCAGAACTACACGGGAGGATCTTGTCAATGATCTCAAGGCAGCTGGGACCATAGTCACCAAAAAACAATTGGTAACACACTACGCCGTGAAGGACTGAAATCCTGCAGCACCCGCAAGGTCCCCCTGCTCAAGAAAGCACATATACATGCCCGTCTGAAGTTTGCCAATGAACATCTGAATGATTCAGAGGACAACTGGGTGAAAGTGTTGTGGTCAGATGAGACCAAAATGGAGCTCTTTGGCATCAACTCAACTCTCCGTGTTTGGAGGAGGAGGAATGCTGCCTATGACCCCAAGAACACCATCCCCACCGTCAAACATGGAGGTGGAAACATTATGCTTTGGGGGTGTTTTTCTGCTAAGGGGACAGGACAACTTCACCGCATCAAAAGGACAATGGACAGGGCCATGTACCGTCAAATCTTGGGTGAGAACCTCCTTCCCTCAGCCATGGCATTGAAAATGTGTCATGGATGGGTATTCCAGCATGACAATGACCCAAAACACTCGGCCAAGGCAACAAAGGATTGGCTCAAGAAGAAGCACATTAAGGTCCTGGAGTGGCCTAGCCAGTCTCCAGACCTTAATCCGATAGAAAATCTGTGGAGGGAGCTGAAGGTTCGAGTTGCCAAACGTCAGCCTCGAAACCTTAATGACTTGGAGAAGATTTGCAAAGAGGAGTGGGACAAAATCCCTCCTGAGATGTGTGCAAAGTGGTGGCCAACTACAAGAAACGTCTAACCCTCTGTGATTGCCAACAAGGGTTTTGCCACCAAGTACTAAGTCATGTTTTGCAGAGGGGTCAAATACTTATTTCCCTCATTAAAATGCAATTCAATTTATAACATTTTTGATACTCGTTTTTTCTGGATTTTTTTTGTTATTCTGTCTCTCACTGTTCAAATAAACCTATTAAAATTATAGACTGATCATTTCTTTGTCAGTGGGCAAACGTACAAAATCAGCAGGGGATCAAATACTTTTTTCCCTCACTGTAATCTGTTAATGTAAAACCAGAGAGTCGAAAATAACTACTAACATCGGAAGGTCGGATGGAAACATCACAGCCAGTTATGACTTAAACCGGTTAATAACGTCCTTCCAATGATTGCTCAGTTTGTACCCATCTTATTGGTGGAAATAATGTCTGTGTCTATAGAAATGAATGGCTTCATGAACCAAGCTTTGTTGATAGCTAGTGGGCTTGCAAAGTACCTTCGTCTTAGAGAAATCAATTTCGCGCGAGCCCACTACATGAAAACAATGATCAGCCACTGCCGAGGTATTGATCCTACCGTGTTTTTAGATCTGCCTTGTGTTCACGAATACAGTCCGAGACATGTCGCATAGTTTCCCCAATGTAACTACCGCCGCAGATAAGAGCTTAGTTTGTAGACGCCGAGGTATTGCATGTCAGGGATCACATCCTTCACAGATGGGATCAGATCACGAATTTTATGTACTGTGTTAAATCGAACCTGGATCTTGTGTTTGCTCATGATTTTGGAAATATTTTTAGTGACCCCTGCTATGTATGGCAAGGTGATGGTTTTGATTGGGTCCTCAGATGGTTCTTTCCCAACGGTTGGGGTGATAGCTTTATGGATTGTGTGGTCTGAATATCCATTCATCTTGAGAGCTTGGTGTACGTGTTCCAGTTCACTGACTAGGTGATGACGGTCAGAAATACATCGAACTCTATGGTGTAGAGTTTTGATGAGGGAATTCTTCAGGGATGGATTGTGGTAAAAGTCAGGTTTTAGGTAGGCATCCCTATGGGTGGCTTTCCTGTAGACAGAGTGTCTCATTGAGCCATCTGGTCTTATACTTTTGTTCTTTCGGTGAAGTTACGTAGAAAATAAAATAATAGAATACGACGTTTCGATTGCAACACAAGCAACCATCATCAGGTAAGAATGAATGAGAAAAAACAAACATAGTAAACTTAGAAATATAATGCAATACAACACAAAGAGTCAGCTAACACAACAGTAAACATCCCACCTGGTTGATTACGTTCTTACAAAGAATGACAAACAGAAAGACTGTGCCACTGTGTCGAGGCCTTAAATAGGGAGAGGGGTTAGGGCAGAGAGAGAGAGGGGGGGATTGGGGTAGAGGACAATGAGAGAGTTGTGTGGAATTCCGGACCATGGTGGCTGGAGGAGAGACAATGGACTGTAAACAAACCAGCACGGCAATATTAGAGCGAGAAAATCGGAAATTTGAGAAAGCAAATTTAGTAAAATTAGGAAGTGTAATGAAATGCAACACAGAGAGTCGGTTAACAGACAATTAACGCATAGCCTGGTTGATTACATTCTTCCAAAGATTACTAAATTAGAAATTAAGTGTGAAACAGACAAGCAAGGAAAAATGTAGAGAGAGAGAAATAGAAAGTTTGACAACAAATTTAATAAAATTAGAGAGTGTAATGGAATGCAACACAGAGAGTCGGCTCACACACAGTGAACACATAGCCTGGTTGAATACGTTTTCCCAAAGATTGCTAAATTAGAAGTAAACACGGTAGGACCAATACCTCTGCCGTTGCTGATCATTGTTTTTAACGCTGTGGGCTCACACGAATTAGATTTTTCCAAGACGAAGGTACTCTGCAAACCCACTGGCTATCAGAGATTTGTTCATTAAGCCATCCAGATATATAAACACAGACACAACTTCAAACGAGAAGATGGGTACAAACTGAGCAATCATTGGAAGGGCGTTATTAACCAAGTAAAGTCTTAACTGACTGTGATGTTTCCATCCTACCTGCCTATGTCAGCTGTTATTTCCGACTCTCTGAGTACATCACCAGGTTAAATGGCTTTACATTAACGGGCTAAGTGTCTCACTAACACAGCTATCGTTGCCCCTTTCCCTCGAGGTGGCGGGAGCTCTCGTTTTTTTAGCAGACTATAACTGGCTGTGATGTTTCTGTGTATGTGTCTCTGTGTTTGTGTCTCTCTGTTTGTTTGTCTCTCTGTGTGTGTATCTCTCTCTGTATGTGTCTCTATGTGTGCATCTCTCTCTGTGTGTCTCTCTATATGTGTCTCTCTCTGTGTGGGGGTTGTCTTCCTGTGTGTCTCTCTGTGTTGTGTCTCTGTGTGGTCTCTGTGTCTCTCTCTGTGTCTGGAAAAACAACCACCTGTCGTGGGCAGTGCCGTTGGGGGAGGGCCAATTCCGATTGGCTTTTCTCCTCAGGACGTTTGAAGCCACCACAGCGGCTAAATGGGGGCTCTGGACAGGTGCGAGGGGCTGGTAACCCCTCCACCTCCCCTATGCTCTGTTTGCCTACACCACCACGGTGCACACCTCCACGGGGCAGACCCCCTTCCTAATGATGTTTGGTCGTGAGTCTCGTCTACCGGCAGATCTGTTGTTCGGCGTTCCTCCACCACAACCAGAGGAGGGGAGCCAGCCCGTGGAGCACCTGATGGGGACCCTGCGAGGGGCCCGTGGCCGGGCCTACCAACAGAGGGAGGCCGCACATCAGCGGCAAGAGCAGGGCGCCCGCCCCCGTGTGGAGCCCTCCTTCTACTCGGCGGGCTCTAAGGTATGGCTGCATACCCCACGCGTAGAGGCCGGACAGGTGGGGAAGCTGACCACCTACTGGCGCGGACCCTGGACCTTGGTGCGGCAGATCTCCCCCTGGACGGTACTGATCCAGGGCGGGGAGAGGGGCCAAGAGACGGTGGTCAATGTCCGCCAACTAAAACCGTGGAGGGAGGCCCCGGTGGGGGAGGCACCCACCCCCCGTACCCGATGGCTTCGCGCCGTACATGGGCCACGCTGGGCCCCAGTTCATTGCGGGCCCCGGCCTTGCAAGGAGGCGGCGGGCACAGCGACACTTAAACCCCTCCGCCACTGAGTTTGTTCCCCAGCCAGCGGACACCGGAGGACGGGAGGAGCCTCTGGAATGGAGACGGAGACCACCGCCGTAGCCTCGGACAGCGGAGCCACCGCCCACGAAACCGGCAATGAGGGCCGGGCGAGTCCCACGGACTCCGCGGCGCTACCTGGTTGGAGCGGCCCTGGCAAGGTGCTCCAGTCAACCCGGGACGGGGACGGACACCTCAGGGGGCTATGTGGTGCCACGAAAACGGAGCAACTCCGCAAACGCCGCGATCCCCTCCCGGCCCCCGCACTGAACACCCGCACGCAGCGCACCCACGTAGTGTCCTGGCGGGGGGTTGCCTGGCACATCGGGTTTTAATCCAATGTCTGTTGAGCGTGGACAATTAGACCCAAGCCGAAACATAACATAGAAAAAAGAATGTTTAAAAATATTTTAATGATAGAATATAGTATTGTCATCAGTATGACATAAGTATACCAAGTTTCGCAGTCGAAAAATTGAGTTACAAGATTTGAGGATACAACAACAACAACAGTGAGTTAAATAAAAAAAAGTGTGTAATAAAATAGCGTTAACGGTGAGGCGTGCCCCATAGACCTATTCCCGCCGTTCCTTTTCCGCTAGCATTAGCATTGCGGGCACGCGTATTAGGGCTTACCCACCCGAGGGGGGGCGGTGTGTGCATATTCATACCGCCGCCGATCCTTTTGTTCAGCGCTAACCTTAGCGAGGGAAAAACGCGCCTACAGGGGCGCGCACGTGCACACCTCGTTCGTCCTTTTCCTGTTGCGGTGGGGTGCGTGAGCGTGTGGCAGGGTAACCCCGGGCGGTGGTGTGCCAGCCGAGTAGCGATGTCCCTCAGAGAGGGCGCTGGCGCGGGCGAGAGGCGGCCGACGAGGAGGAGGGGGGAGTGGAGAGGGTGGACGTCGGCCCCCCACACACCGAGGCTCAGGTGAAAAAATGTGTGGGAGGATAAGGCGTGGCGGTCGCACACTCCAGGATAATTTTTTCCTACACATCTAAAGAGCCTCGGCACCATACTGAAACAGAATGTCGTTTGATCAGCACGTGCAAAATATAGTCCAGCCTTGCAATTTTCATATCAAGGCTCTCCAACACATTCGACCACGATTGAGTGCTGACGTAGCCAACACGGCCGGGGCTGTGAATGAACTAATCAAGATGGCTTCAGGAACACGGCCGGGCTGTAATTGAACTAAACAAGATGTCTTCAGGGCCAGGGCTGTGAATGAACTGAACAAGATGGCTTGAGGAACACGGCCGGGCTGTAATTGAACTAAACAAGATGTCTTCAGGGCCAGGGCTATGAAGGAACTAAACCAGATGGCGGCGCGAGCGAGCTCTTCCGCGACCGCCCTAACCCAGTAACGTGACTCAATAAAGTTATCATGGGCGGTAGCAATAAAGTTACGTGAGAGTGACTCAATAAAGTTATTCTGTGAAGCAACCAATTGGGAGCGCGGCGCGAGCGGGAAGTGGAATTGCAACTGGGAAGCGAGTCCGGTGTGTACTGTGTGTGTGTACACTGTGTACTGTGTGTGTACACTGTGTGTACTGTGTGTGTACACTGTGTGTACTGTGTGGGTACACTGTGTGTACTGTGTGGGTACACTGTGTGTACTGTGTGTACACTTGTGTGTACGGTGTGTACACTTGTGTACTGTGTGTACACTTGTGTACTGTGTGTGTACACTGTACTGTGTGTGTACACTGTGTACTGTGTGGGTACACTGTGTGTACTGTGTGTGTACACTTGTGTGTACTGTGTGTGTACACTGTACTGTGTGTACACTGTGTGTACTGTGTGTGTACACTGTGTACTGTGTGTGTACTGTGTATGTACACTGTACTGTGTGTACACTTGTGTGTACTGTGTGTGTACACTGTACTGTGTGTGTACACTGTACTGTGTGTGTACACTGTACTGTGTGTGTACACTGTGTACTGTGTGGGTACACTTGTGTGTACACTTGTGTGTACTGTGTGTGTACACTGTACTGTGTGTACACTGTGTACTGTGTGTGTACACTGTGTACTGTGTGTGTACACTGTGTGTACTGTGTGTGTACACTGTGTGTACTGTGTGTGTACACTTGTGTGTACCGTGTGTGCTTACAATGTGTGTACGCTGTGTGTACTGTGTGTACACTTGTGTGTACTGTGTACACTTGTGTGTGTGTACACTGTGTGTACGCTGTGTGTACTGTGTGTACACTTGCGTGTACTGTGTGTGTGTGCACTGTGTGTACTATGTGTGCGTACACTGTGTGTACATGTGCGTGTGTACTGTGTGTCTACACTGTACCGTGTGTGCGTACAATATGTGTGTGTACATGTGTGTGCGTGTACACGTGTGTGTGTGCTGTGTAGACGAGGCGGCCGGGCGTGGTGCTGGCCACTCACCCCCTCGTGTGCCGCGTTGGCCTTCATAGGTCACTTGACAGTCTGTTCAGGTTATACGGGGGATCTTTGTGTGTGCTGTGTGTGTACACGTGTGTGTGCTCGTGTGTGCACGTGTGTGTATGTACACGTGTGTGTGCACGTGTGTAGTGTAGCGGTTAGCGCAACGCTGCGCTATGAACCTGGCGACCCGGGTTCGATTCCCGCTCACGGCCAACACCAGTGACGATTATCTGAACCGGTCCCGGGCCTCCCCTAGGTCGACTCAGCCTCAAATGAGTACCTGGTGCGGTGTGTAAACATCGCCACTGGGGAGACAAAGGCGGTCGGGCGTGGTGCTGACCACCCACCCCCTCGTGTACCGTTCCGGCCTTCAAAGGTGCTACTCGCTAACAGCACTTGCCCCTACAGTCTGTTGAGGCTATACGGGGGATCCTTGTTTTTATCTGTGTGTGTGTGCACGCGCACACGTGTGTGTGTGCACGCGCACACGTGTGTGTGTACACGTGTGTGTGTGAGCACACACGTGTGAGCACTGTACGTGCACTGTATTTACTGTGCGAGCACTGTACGTGCACTGTGTTTACTGTGCGTACCCCTTGTGTTCTCCCTGCATGGGTATTCGCCGTGCTGTTGTATTGCACAATATAACGTTTGGCGCATCGTTTTCCTCGGTTCTATCTACTCCATCTTCAATTGACGACTGCCAACTTCGAAAGCGACGACACTCGGCCCTACAGCTCCATTGACTCCACGAACACATTTGACTCCGCGGTGCATTATTTTCCGGCAGATTCCCTTCGGTCCCCACCGCCGGCCCTCTCGACTCCCATGGCCATGCATGCAGAGTTGATCAACGGCCCAGGCAGGAGACACACACAGAGACGACATGGAGACACCCCCACTGACCTGGGGGGTGGAGGACACATACGGAGAGACACGCACAGACAGACACGAATACACTGACGTGTAGTTGGCTTGCTCCGGATCTTGGCGTGCCACTTGATTTCCTTGTTCTTATTCTTGGTTCTTTCGGTAAAGTCACGTACATATTGTAAGCACACAGTGTACATACACATTGTTTCCCTTCTACGTGGTGACTTTACCGAAAGAACCAAGAATATGAATCCCTGCAGTCACGAAAGCTTTAAATCAAAAATTTTCCTTGTTTTTGTTATGAGCTCAGTACAGACCGTTCTCCTATAGCGCCGCGTGTTTTCATAACGCGAATTGGATGTAACGGGATGAATATGTTAGGGAACACTTTTTTTTTTATAACGCGGATCCGAATTGTGTATAACGCGATTGAGCGAACGGAACTACGTCGCGCGAGTGGGAATAAGCGGTTTCACGGCTGCCTCGGCGTAGCATCGCAGAAGGCATTGGGATGCTGCTGGATGCTCCGATGGTGCTACCCACGCACCTCAGTCTTTGTTCAGCCTGCGTACGCATCTCACGTGTTATCGCGGACTGTGCTTTCTTTACCCTATATTATATATCATTAATTAAAACGGGATTTGTCCAGAATGTCGAAACCGTTCTTGAGGGTGATAATTCCATAAATTGGTTTGGCCCATTGTGCACTGTGCCCCGAAAAAATTCATCTTCTAGTTTTCTTGCAGCCTAAGCCTTGTCTCCAGTTGCCTGTTCGATACCAATGTGCCTATAAAAAAATTTTATTCAATGTGTACTACCTGCTATGACATATAGGTCCTAAACATGGGCATAACAAAAATGGAATTAAATACATAGAGTTTTGTAAAGAAGCATGGAGAGATGTAATGCTTGAAATTACACAGACAGCAATACAGGTATCCCTAAATTTACGAATATTTGGTTTACAAAATGTAGCATTAACGCAATTCGCAGATTACGGACACTTTTCGATTAACGAAATCTCATTTGCGCGTTTACGAAATTTCATATGGCATGTGCCATTAGATCAAATGAGAACCACCCGGGAGGCTGCATCATCCATCTGCGAAAGTGTCATGGTATTCCTACATTGCAACGATAACGCCTCCACATCACCTTTCCAGTAATTCAATCATACCGTTCTTTTGATTCCTGAAAAAGTTAATAATTTTGGTTTTAAATGTATTATTTAATCGTTTTAATGTTTCTGTTATTTTTATATTTTTTGTATATTTTTAGGTTAGTCGAGTTGGAATGACACATACCTCATTTTTGGTATTAAATGAATGGCAAAAGCCATTCCTATTTACAAATTCTCATTTAACGCATATCTTTTTGAAGAACGCATCTTTTATGTAAATCGAGGAATACCTGTACGTGTGTAGTGGCTGTGAATGTCACCGTGTGGTGCCGGGCTTACGAAGCCACGGCGAATAATGTGTTGTCATTATGTGTAGCCCGCTTATTGGGCGTAGTACAGCCCGAGCGGGGCTTGGGTGAGCGCTGGTCAGCGTAGAAGCACCACGTACAGTGTGCGGTGCGGGCTCCCGGTGAGGGAGCGAGAGGGAGCGTCAGCCAACCAGGGTTACGTTGGGGCATGATACGCTGGTTGACCTGCCGACACGTGACCGGATGATATTGGAGGGGGGCCACCAGTGGACGGGGGCCGCTTGGCGGTCACGTGGTATAACAGAGCTCTCGGGAGCCTTCAGGAAAGAGCTCGAGAGATCTAGAAGGTGGGCGGGGCGAGGGGTGGAGCCAGCCCAGCCCGGGCAGATATAACGGGGGCCCCCCCGTGAGGGGCTTGGGGTTCTTCGTGTTGCTGGTGAAGAAGATCTATGTCGGGTTAAAGAAGCCTCTAGCCACGCGGTCTGGGACCCAGCTTGTGGTCCGGGCCGCGATAGCGAACCGTGTCTAGTTCTGCCGTAGTGTGGCTAGATGGGCATTCAACACCTAAGTGTAGGTTGTGTTATGTTATATTGAGTTGGTGAAATATATAGTGTTGCTCCCAAGACAACGTCTGCGACTCAGTTGGACTCACTACACGTGGATTTGAGAACATGCGCAGGTTAATGACATAGTTAAGAGAAGTGGGCTTGGGCAGGATGAGTCGCTCAAAGGGACGATGGACCACAGTCGAGCTTAAAAACGGAGTGGCAACCAAGGAAAGGAATGCGTCCGAGGGCGCATCCACCAGGGAGATGGAGCGATGAAATTAAGTCGTGTTTTAGTTGCTGGGTAAACTCTTGCATCGTAGGATTGTGAGAAGTGGCAGTGGCTCTGGGAGACCTTCATCCAGCAGTGGATGGCTGATGATAGTGATGATGATGATGACGCGTCGTATGCGTGGCTGTGTGTGTCGAGCTGCAGCTGCCATGGACGAGCGGACTCGAAGCGGCCTGCTGCAGCACCGCACGCACCTCGTGCGCGACGTTAAGCCGGTGCTGCTGTTCGACCACCTGGTGAGCGACGGCGTGCTCACCGACGCGGAAGAGGAGCAACTGCGAGCGCAGGTGACGACGCAGACACGGCAGCCTGAGACGAAGCACAGCCCACACAGCCACCAGTGGCTGAGTCAAGGAGGAGGGGGGGCGGGAGCGATGGAGGCAATTTCCCCCTTAAGACTACTAAGATTTACTACTTTATTTCTATTGACCAGAGATTATTCATTGAATTCAAAAAATATATTAACGTAGTGTCCTATGTAACAAGCTGTATTAATTTCAGGACCTTCCCCTTGGGAAGTTTATATATCTGCCTCTGACCGGCATAGCAAAGACACGGAGCGTCAGCTGTTTTACTGCTGTAGGGCTCTCAATCCTACGTAACAGTTCTGCAGTCCTTCACTATTCTTTGCATGTAACAAATCACTTTCTCAGTGAATCTGCAATCTCGTGGTTCGTCCGTGACGTTTCTGAACCGTCTGTACCGCTGCTATCTCAAACCAGTTCTGAATCTGTGTTCTTAAGACTCCTTTCCGCTGTAATTTTCTGCTCAAATGAGCATTAAGGCGGTGTTCATTTCCCATTTGCAGCCCTGAGCCAGTGATGACAATTCGACATTCCTGCAATGTAGTACGCATTTATTGATCCCGGAGGTAGGAATGATGGACCGAGTCAATCCCCGACCAGGATTATACAATTTCCTGGTTGATACACGAACAGGGTCCCTATTAGCAACACAACTTTAAAATGAACTCTCACTCGTATCGAATCATCGTTTTAAGAGTAATCGTGCCGCACAGTTACAGACAGATGGACGGTCAGAGATAACTCATTAAGGCTTTCAACTTTATTTGTAAACCATTAAAATGTAAACGGTATACTTTAGTTTCATGAATGAGTTGAGCTTAAAAATTCACCTTTTACCATCTTGAGGTTTTGTTCACAGAGATAGGTGAGCAGGGAGAGTGGCATTTATATATTGTTCATGTCTTGTATATTTATCTAGATTTGTGATTTAATTTAATTTATTTAATTTTATACCTACGTGACTTTACCGAAAGAACCAATGAGTTTGTATATATATGTTTTACATTTTTGTGATAGTCCATAAAAACAAGCAAACTCGTGTAGTCCATTTTTCATCAAGGCAGTATAATATATTTTGATGATTTTTTAAGTGGTTTTTATTTGCCTAGGTTGCCCGCCAAGTACAGGCATCAGAACTATTGAAGTTGCTCTTGAATAAGGACAACTACGCAGTCATCTCATTCTACAATGCTCTGGTGAAGGAGAACTACATTGATCTGGCTGCATTGCTACAAGATTTCCTGCCCATCCCCATGTCTCCTTCCGAAGAACCTGATCATCACATAAAAAGTGGCTCCAGTGCCTGTAAGTTGCCCATCGCAGCAATTTTGGTCCGTGGTTGGGATGCACTCAGAATTGGGCACGTGGGTCTGCCAGGGATCACTGCGCTGTTAGATTTGCTGTATCTTCCACAGGTGCATTTTGTTTTTAGTCATCACAAAATTGAGTATAATGCCTCTACCCAGAAAATGAATCACTGTTGAAATGCTGTGGCTCTTGTGCACTGATTACATGACACATTTCTCAAGCTGAAATTTACTGAAACCCTTCATTATTTTTAATTTGTCCTTAATCAATGGTGGAAATGTACCGGTTTTTGACAGTACGCCGTTACAGAATTTCTCAGAACACCAGACTTGTACACTTGCATTCTTCAGAAAAGTTCCTACTTCTATAGTGCGATGTTTCCAGAGGGAAACGAAAATGAACCTGGGCTAAAGGGTGAAAAGGTTTAAAAGCGGTACTTCCGCATTTACATTTTCACCACTGCCCTAACTAAAAGCTGGGTGGCATCCACGGTTGTTGGCCATGATGACGTCTTGTTATGCTTGAATTAAAACTTCAGGAGTTAACCTTTGGCAGCTGTAAGCTGGTGGGATCTGAGGCCTTTTTGGTGGTTATGCGATGGTTTAGTGATGATACAAAAACAACACTGTGCCTGCCTCAACTCGCATTTCCCAATTTTGGTGAATGGAGCATGAACTCTGCTCCTTTCATGCTGAGAACATTTCAGGGAGCAGACCAGTGTCAGATGCGCAGACGAACACATCCACATGTACCGGTTTTTGACACCCACTCTCACTCCAGCGCTGTCCTCCAGACAGTCTCGTCCCTTCACCTGATGAAGGCCGCTTGTGTTGTGGCCGAAACGTCGTGATTTTTTGTCATTTTATTTTCACCTACGTGACTTTACCCAATAGAACCAAAGAGTATACATCCACATTCCACCAACATGTGCATCGTGCGATCACAGAGGTACTACAGATACGAGAAAAAACAATTGCCTAACATTGCAACGAAGTAGCTGAATAACGTGCTGTGAAATGCGTTCAATGTAACGGCGTGTGTGTGTGCGCGTACCAGTTGAGATGATGCTGCGGGAGGGAGGCGTGCCACAGCGCCCCGTGGTGTTTGTGGAGCGCACGAAGCAGCTGGGCGCCGTGCGCGAGGCGCTGCTGGGGCTGCGCGGAGCGCCAGGGTGGGTTGTGCTGCACGGGATGGCCGGCTGCGGGAAGTCGGTCATTGCAGCGGAGGCAGTGAGGGACCCAAAGCTTGTGAAAGGTACGAGGGCCCAGCGGTAGTGCCACTTGTTGCAGAGGTTCGCGTTTCTAGTCTGGCAGGCCCCCCCCCCACCCTCCCTCGGTTAATTAATTAACCATAAAATACTACACAGTAGGAGGAGATAAGATTGAGGTGGTAGAGGAGTTTTTATCCTTGGGCAGTTATGTCCGTAATGCAGGGAGGTGTGAAGAGGAGACCGGGAGGTGTATTGCTTTAGCACGACAGGTTTTTGATGGACTTTGGAAACGACTTTAGAAGAGAAGAGAGGCGAGTGAGTGTAAAAAGAAGAGTATTTGAGGCAGAGCTGGATCTTATAATAATAATAAAAATGTATAAAGCGCCCTTACACAATCCTTCACAGGGCGCTACACATGGAAAGGCTCCAAAAGTAGTTGGCATTTGAGCACAGATGTCTGAGATGAATGCTGCAAATTCTGTGGCAAGCCAGGACAAGAAGAGAGCTTGGCAGGTGACTGTTGTAGAGATAATTAACCAAACACGAGAGTAGGTTTTGAGACTAGGCTCAAAAGAAAGCTGTCTCTGGTGTGGACCAATCAGTTTCAAAGACAATGCTTATGCTATCAGAGTATTACTCTTTGGTTCTTTCGGTAAAGTCACGTAGAAAGAAAATAAATTAAATAGTAGAATACGACGTTTCGATTGCATCACAAAAAATCGTCATCAGGCAGGAAACAAACCTAGTGAATGCAATCCAACACAGAGAGTCGGCTAACACAACAGTCAACACCCTACCTGGTTGATTACGTTCTTCCAAAGATTGCTAAATTTGAGAGAGAGACAAAACGCAGACACGGGGACACACAGACAGACACACAAGCAGAGAGAGACAACACAGAGACACACAGAGAGAGACACACATAGACACACAGAGACCCAACGCCGCTGTGCCGAGGTTAAATAGAGAGAGAGAGGGAGGGGTGGGGTAGAAAGAGAGGTGGGTCTGCTGGAGCAGAGAAATTAGCACGTCAATGAGAGAACTGTGTGGAAATCCACCTCGCGGCGGCCGGGCGAGAGAAAGACCCAGCAAGCCTGGTCAATTTTAGAGAGAGTTGTGTGGAAATCAGAGTGTTTTATGTTTGCATTCTGACCACAAGCATTGTGGTTAATGCAGACCTGATTCCTTGTAAAAGGTTTCAGTTTGGTGTTTTAACATCTTAACACCTGTTTTGTTGCCAGAAAAAAGGGGAAAACCTATTCTCATTTGTTGGTACTGGCAAAGGAGGTCCCATGATGTAATCAAGCACGGTTTTGCTGGGTGGGAAGCGTGTGAAGGATGGGGGGAGGGTCGATTGCAGAGGCAGGCACTGGAGTGGTCTCCACGAGTCCGGAGACCAAGGGAAGACTTAAGAGTAAATGGTGGGAGCCGGTATTATTCTCAGGAGGGCGCGTGTCCACTTTGCAACAGCTGTAGGATCTGGGCACGATGACACCTGAACGCTTGAGTGCTAGCCGTGAGCACGTAGCAATGCCGTGGTGTGGTGTGGCGGTGTGTGCGCGTGTGCAGAGTGCTTCCCAGGAGGTGTCTTCTGGGTTTGCGTGGGCCAGGTGGACAAGCCCACGCTCCTCATCAAGCTGCAGAACCTGTGCCAGCGTCTGCAGCCAGAGAGAGAGCGGCTCGACCTGCACAACCTCGAGCAGGCCAAGGACACGCTGAGGCTTATACTGACGCGACACCACCCCAGGCGAGCGCCACACGGCAACATGAGTGCCAGGCTTTGTTTGGATTTTCCTCTGGGTCGTCCCGGTTTTTCCCTCCGCGTTTAGAATCATCATCACGCGTTTGCAGTATTTGGCTGCTGCTTTAATTTTACACCTGATAAGCCACTTTTTTGAGCGATTGTTGGTGGCCATGTAGCTTCTGAAAAAGGGCTACATAGTTCAAGTGGGCCTTACCGGGTAAAACAGTTTATAACGGAGGTCTTTTGGGTTATGTCACGTAAACATATAAATGTGTCGTTAAAACCCACCACCACCCGACACAGTCAACTGGTAAGGGTTGTCGTGTAAATAGAACGTGCCAATTCGTCACTAGTACAGCACACCGGTGTGTTGGAGATTTACAATCAGAATACTCAGATTGTAACGAATTGGCATGTTCTGCTTACGTGACAACCCATACTAGTTGGCTATGTCGGGTGGTGGCGGGTTTTAACGACACGTTTATATATGTACGCGATCTAACCCAAAAGACCTCTATTATGGATGATATTGGTCGTGATAGCCTACGTGTTAAACTAAAAATAGTTTGTTATTTAGTGGTGGTTCGGTGGTTACCACTGTGCGCTATGAACCTGGCAACCTAAGTCAGATTCTCCTAAGTTGGAGACCTGAGGGGAGGCGTGGGAGGAGAGAAGAGAGGAAAGAGAGGGGTGGGGGCAGAAGAGAGCCATGAATAGAGAGATGTAGAGAGAGACACGAAGAATGAAGAGTTTGTCAAGAAGCATGCAGAAAAAAGACATGCGGAGAGGGAAACACAGGGAGAGAGAGAAAGAGAGACGAGGGGAGAGAGAGTGAGAGACACATGGGAAGTGAGACGGGGACAGAGAGACACAAGGGGAGAGTGAGTGAGAGAGCGAGAAGCACGCGGCGAGTGAGACACGGGGAAAGAGAGATACATGGGGAAAGCGAGTGAGTTGGTGAGGGAAGAGACATAGGGAGAGACGGTCCTCCCGCGGCTCCACTGTCTGTCTTTTGTGACACCCCTGTGGGGGGGTGGCAGCCCTGGAGGGGTGGCAGCCCAGCGACAGGGAAACACTGCTCGAGTCGAAGCACTGTAGACTTGTGTTACAGTGTGATGCTGTCTGTGCCTGGCCCCTACGCTTTTTAACATCATCTATCAAGACCAAAATTTCAGCTACAACCCCGCAAGTTGTCGCTCAATGTATTATTTTGTCCCCTTGGTCTGAAATTCCCTTTCCCGCTGTCTGTCAAATTGGCCCCCTCCCACAGTTCCAATATCATGTTAACACCCTGACCCTCCTCCTTCTCTTACAGATGCTAAAGGCTGCGTTGTTGACCACTGCTGTTAAGTTACCATCCAGGTTCCCGGGAACCTTGCAGCGCCCTCATTATTTTTTCCCCACAGTCTCTCCCCCCCCGCCCTCTCCCAACTCTCGTCACCTTCCCTTAATCTTATCTTCCCCCCTCTTGATCCCGATAACCGAGTCCCCCTTGTCAAGCGCTGCGAATGGCAACTGTTGTTGTTGCTGTGGCTGCAGGTGCCTGTTGCTGCTGGATGATGTCTGGGATAGTCGTGTGGTGAAGGCGTTTGATGTCCATAGCCGCGTCCTGCTTACCTCGCGAGACAGCAGCGTCACTGATCTAGCCACTGGTAAGACACGGCACTGACAATCCCACAGCCTTGACAAGCCCACAGACTTGCAAACAGCAGTTTGACATGTAGGCTTTCGTACCCAATATTATTCACAATCAAGGTTTTTTGAGTTAGATCGCGTAAGTATAAACGTGTCGTTAACCCGCCACCACCCGACACAGCCAATTAGTAAGGTTTGTCATGTAAACAAAACGTGCCAATTAGTTACGAGTTCAGCACACCGGTGTGTTGGAGAGTAAATCGACAACATTTACAAATTTGAGTACTGTGCCGTTTCGCTGGTAATTACATCCAGCTTCATCAGCCGATTTTGCCAGAATTATTACGAGATCTACCTGCGTCCAGTCTTGAATAGAGCAAGATAAAGTCATCACTGTGGGCCAAACAGGTGCAGAGTGTAGAGGGGTTTTATTGTAATTATATACAAATTATTGTTAATCACAGTTAATTAGTATGTGATGCCTTTTACAAGGCATACAATTGTAAGGTATATTACTTCATACGCTTCCAAGCAGCACTAAGCCTGTAGCTGTCAGAATGATTAAAGTTATTTGTTATTTCTCTAAATTTCAATAGATTCTCGCATTAACCTTGGCCAGTAATAATTCGTTTTACACAACACTTCAACGTTATAAAAACCTATTGAATGCCTCTGTTCGCAAGCATGTTCTGCAAATACCGACAGTTGTTTAACACGTAGGCTTTCGCGACCAATATTATTCATAATAAAGGTTTTTGGGTTAGATCGCGTTTATTTATAAATGTGTCGTAACCCTCCACCACCCGACACGGCCAATCAGCAAAAAAAGTGTCACGTTGACAAAAGACAAATAATTCACTACTTTAGCCCACCGGTGTGTTGAAGAGTGAAAAAAGTGTCACGTTGACAAAAGACAAATAATTCACTACTTTAGCCCACCGGTGTGTTGAAGAGTGAATCCACATTCACTCTTCAACACACCGGTGGGCTAAAGTAGTGAATTCACCACTTTAACACACCGGTGGGCTAAAGTAGTGAATTCACTACTTTAGCCCACCGGTGTGTTGAAGAGTGAATCCACATTCACTCTTCAACACACCGGTGGGCTAAAGTAGTGCATTATTTGTCTTTTGTCAACGTGACACTTTTTTTTGCTGATTGGCCGTGTCGGGTGGTGGAGGGTTACGACACATTTATAAATAAACGCGATCTAACCCAAAAACCTTTATTATGACCGACAGTTGTGTTTGTGAGTATTTCATATTTAGTTAGCAGGAGTCGGGATGAGAGACGACTCTTGAGTCACTAGACGCGGGAATCAGAGGTCTCGCGTTGACGATAGCTGGAACCTCGGCCATGAGAGTTGTTAGGACTTCCTTGGAGAGTCGAGTGGGCCCGATGATTGTCGGAGCACGCAATGTGCGTGAGACTTGAGGGCGGGTATCTGTGTCTGATCCAGGCTCCACAATTTCAACGGGGTCTGTTGCAACTTCGCTGTGGTGCCAGCTTGACTTTCTCGAGGATGAACCGCATGTGGTACATTCCCGTGGCATCTGTGGTTTTTAAGTAAGACACGGCTGCTATGTCTTTTTGAGACATCTCAAGACACAGATCCCTCTGCACCGAGCCTCAGAAAGAGAGTTAAGGGTTAAATTTTGACTTAAAACTTTCGTGACTGCAGGAATTCATATTCTTTGGTTCTTTCGGGAGAGTCACGTAGATAAAAAAAATAATAAACTGAATACAAATAAAAATAATAAATAAATAACCCTAATGTAGACTGTAGCCTGGTTATTAAGTTTTGTGAGTGTACTGGTAGTCTGTAATGTAGACTGTAGCAATGGTTATTAAGCTGGGTGAGTGTACTGGCAGTCTATAATGTAGACTGTCGCCTGGTTTTTATGTTATTTTGATTACTGAAAGAACCAGTAATAAGCCTACATTATAGACTGCCCGTATGCTCACTCAGGTTAAGAACCATTGCTACAGTCTACATTACAGACTGCCAATATGCTCACCAGCTTAAAAAACAACAACAACAGCTTAAAAAACAACAATTGGTAAACGCTTTGTGGTCCTTACGTGGGATGTTTGGCCAACTCTATTATGTATGTATGTTGAAATTATTTTGCACTGTACATAGCCAAGCGTGCTAATCGGAGGTATTAATTATTGTTTTGTACGTGTGGGAAGAAACCAGAGAATCTGGTGAAAATTCGTGGTCAATCCCCGTACAGATAGAACTTAATCCGTTTGCTGCTTTGTCAGTGATGACTCCTGATCTGAATCTTCCCTGAAGGGGCCAAGCACAGAGTGTTCATGGACCAGGGCTTGTCGGAGGAACAGTGTCTGCAGGTGCTGGCGCAGTGGGTGGGCAGAGAAATCAAGGACCTCCCCGAGGAGGCTGCAGGCATCGTGGCGGAGTGCCGAGGTAAGCGCTCTCGTGGAGTCAAACGCGTGGGCTCCACGCTGCGAGCACCTCCAAAAAGCACGGTCGGCTACATACGGTGCGACAGAAGTTCAACATACATTTAGGTGTGGCATCATGGGTGCCGTGCGTATCGCTGCCGTACAGGTTAACGCACAATTGTTATTGGATTTGAATGAAATACTCAAACTCATATCGCTATAATACCACGGTTGGCTAGGCACAGCGCGAGAGAAGTTCGGCATACAAACAATCGGCCATTGTGTGCCATCGCCATGGTCCAAGTTTGCCACATTTGACAGATTACACTGCAAATTACAAATTTGGGATTACACATAGTAATCATCGCCCCCTCCTGGCAGACTAATTCTCACTTGCAGGCCAGTGCACAGTCAACTTCTGCCACACAGTGATGGCTGCCATTGAGGTGTCCGATAAAAATGTTTTAGATGAAACTAATGATGGATTTGCAGTCATTTCAAGTTCCAAGTTGATGTTGTTGAACTGGGTGAGAACTCATGAGACCAGGATGAGCCTCATTCACAAGAATCACCTAGGTCACCAAAATGACAAAAACAAAACCAGTCGAATAACGTGTAGCGATGACGCAAATAGAAATCAGGGCAAAATCAGCTGTCACGTAAGACATAGAAAATATAGCACTCGCTTAAATCGCTGTTAAATAATAAACTCCCTGCAGCGGAAGTTAGCTCGGGCAGAATTATTTTTCCGCTGAGCAAAGTACAATTACACTTAAGTTGCAGAAACATTAAACAGAAATAGGGTCAGTATTGTACTAATATGTAAACGGACAACGCTACACGATGTCAAATGCAATTGCAAAGTGACGTTCTCATAAAGAAATGACAGCTCAGCACTAAATTGCGGTTTAGATGGGAGAGTAACCACGGAGGGAACGAGACAGAGGGGCTTTCACCATGGAGATGGAGAGATGCCATCAGCTCGTGTCCAGCACCTCGATGAATCGTTGCATCACAGAGACCATAAGAAAAGTCCATGACTTGAGGAGGCCTTAATTCCGTGGTGGATAGAGCATGGCTGCTACATAGGATGATGACTGTACCGAATTTACAAGTGCCATCAGAATGAATAGAATATACTGTGGTACAAATTGCTGAAACACAATGGCCTCAAATTATATCTAAAGCCGTAGATCCTCACCTCACTTGGTAAAAGCCTCAGCTAACTTTGGTCACGCAAGATCCACCCCCCCCCCCCTGCCGTTGCTGAAATGGAAAATTACGGAACGGTTACAAAAATATTTACGCTCATTTTGTATTCGCACATTTAAATATGTCTTGAATCACAACACAGCTCGCAGTCCCTGAGGGAATATATTTTCCACGACTTAAAATATTAAGTTTGAACATGCCAGAAAACAAAAAGAAAACTGGGAGCCAGTTAACACCTGCTGCTGCTTTCAGGTGGCAAAACTACAAATGACTGGAATGTTTTGAAGGTCGTTGGACAAACGTGAGGGAGTGGTAGGAAGCTTGCCCATTGAGCCAATAGCTTCTTTTCAATGGTGCCACATTCAATACAGCTGCTATGGCACCACACTTGTTGCTTGGGGAGCGAGGGTTTACAATGGTTGTACAGAACAAATGCAGGTTGGCAATCATAATTGATGGCATTGCCAAGCAAACTAGAGAGAAGAGCAATGTAAGTATAATGCACTCTCTCCACCCATTAGTGCCACACACTAAATTTAAATACATTTTATTAACCAGGTAAAGGTCACTGAGCTGTTACCTCTTTTTCAGAGGTGATAGCTCATCAAAGTGGCTGATCATCATATGTGTGAATTTATCGTAGCAGCCAAATAATCTCGGCGCATGTTTTTAAATGTGGATGGCAACACTGGTGGACCTGAGGACCATGGGGAGACAACACGCGGTCTCCAAATATACAGGTGTCGGGATCAAACTCATGACCTCTTGTGTACCGGGCAAGGGGGATAACATCTCGCCTCCGCGGTGCCTGACGATTAACTTGCAGCAGACATGTTTATAAACTTATACGATTGTTCTCAGCAAATCTGGTTGTGACTTGTAGATGCCAAAGAGTTCCACATCACACACAGCAAATCCACACACCACGACAAACGAAAGGGGCTCCACAATAATTGCTGTATGAATTTTTTTTCCACCAAATCGAATTTTAATTATGACGTTTCATTTGAACTCTAAGGAACAGCCTGGGTGCCAACAGCTTCGTGTCTTTTTTTAAAGTGAACTCGTGGAAAAAGAACCTCCCATCACATGATGTAAACTGATATCCTTGGCGTTTTGGAGTGCCCTCTACACTGACAACACAAAACACGACCTCCTAACACGTCATAGTTTTTTCGCAGCCAATATGATTTGTAATTGATTTTGAGTTTGGCAACGTAGAAACCTTGCGGAAATGTATTTTTCGTGATGTAATCAAACACATTAAATTGTCACATGTCCAGTCATTTCACGTGGTGCATAAACACGCCAACCAGAACGTCATAATTACCTTTTTTCATGACCTGAAGATGCTTGCCACAGCTTCAAGCGAAATGTCGGATATCAAATTGACACATTTGGTCGGGAACATTTTTATTCAAATTTACCTTTGAGCCGAAACGATAATAATTGGCGCGTTAAAACGCGTCTACACGTGGAAAATTAATGCTTGGCTATGTTGGGTGGTTCAAGGGCTACACGACAAAAATATGGCCAGATCATACATGTGGCCTAAGCCCAAAAATCTATTATAATTCGCTATGCCCAACGCAGTCCCCAGCCACTTCGATTGGTGGGGAGTGGCTGATGCTGTTTCCTTTTGACCAGGTTCTCCTCTGGTGGTGACTCTTATTGGGGCCCTGCTCAAGGACTTTCCTTCTCGCTGGAGCTATTACCTGAAACAGCTCCAGAAAAAGCAATTCAAGCGCATTCGGAAACCGTCCTCATACGACTACGATGCTTTGGACGAGGCCATGGAGATCAGCGTGTCCGCCCTCCAGGTGGAGCTTCAGGATCACTACAACGACCTCGTCGTTTTCCAGAAGGACACCAAAATATCCTCCAAGGTACAGTGGCCACAGGATTTTTGTTTATTTGCCGACAAGGGCCTGACACATCAAGCGATCGGATACAAACAGCCCTCTCAGAGTTGTGTAACAGATAAGAGTTGACACGTGCCCCTGATTGAGCAATGTTATAAAAACTTTGGAAAAGAGACGGTGGGAGGGAATTCAAAATTGGAGCAGCGCGATGGAAGAAGCAGAAGAGAGTTGTGATTATTGTAGTAGCACGGTCGAAAAACCTGACCACCCTCTGAGCAGTTACTGTGCCACGTCATACAAATGGAAGATGGAAGGAGAGAAGCTATGGAGAAAGAGGAACAGACAAAGACACAGAAACACGGGCAGAGACGCACGCAAAGAGGATCCCAGAAAGATGGCCATGGAGAGGCACACAGTGATACAGACACAGATAAAGTGAGACACGGGCAAGGTAATGGAGAGGGACATGTACATGTAAGAGAGGGACACAGGGAGAGAGAGACGGAGAAGAGCATGGAGAGAGGGACTCGCAAATAGATTTACACTGAGATACCAAGAGAAATTTGGGCAAACAGAAAGACAGAAGAGACGGAGAGATATGGGTGCATAAAGACACACAGACATTCAAAATCTATTAACCAGATGAGAACGCATGAAACCGGGATGGTCTCATTTGGAAGAGACACCAGGGGCACCCATGTACGCCACAATGATTTGATACGTCGCCCCTACTTGAAATTTATGCGGACCCGCAGAGGCTGCGAGCCCCAGAAACAGCCGCTCGTGTGTGTGACTCGCTGTGACTGTAATTGAGAGTTTCTGCTGTGTGCCTGCAGGTTCTGAGTGTGCTGTGGGATATGGATGTGGTGGAGGTGGAGGACACAATGAAGGTCCTGGTGGACAAGTCCCTGGCCTTTCAGCAAGAGGACGCTGACACCTTCACGTACTCCTTGCACGACTTGCAGCACGACTTCCTGGTGGAAAAGAACCACGCTGTGCTGCAGGTGAAACTTGACCATTTGTCCCAAGAGATCGACGATCTTAACTCTTTCCCGTTCCAAGATATCTGCAAGTTGCAGGGGTGGAGTCCAATTCACCGCTGAATCTCGGAACGCGCAAGCGGTTGAGCGTTAATTTTATTTATAGAGGCGTAGCGTCGTTGTTTTTAAAGACGTTGTACTCACTGCAGAGAACCATAACGACATGACCACAGTCTATGATAGCTGAGGCCAAAGTGTGCGACATGGCCTCTCGTGTAGCCTCGTGGGAACCTCGGTACCGACAAAGTAATTTTACTTTAGTACTTGTACGTCATCGGAACAAAATCGGAATAAAAACTGATGATGTAGGAGATCTGGGTTTAAAAGGTCAAAGTTATTTCCTGCTTAAATCAACATTCAAGTGGTACTCATCTCCTGTATACATCTCTCTGTCAGTGGTGTAAATTATACATTCCCACAGTGGGGACGAGCCGAACCATAGCACAACCGCTGTGTGCTTCCTTCATCAGTAGTTCTAATTTTATTGAACCCATAGAGATGATGGGCCGAGTCACTAGGATCTGATCGCGACCTTCTGATTGCGAGCCGCTCACTACTGCTGAGCCACAAGAAATGCGTTAACTTTTGATCTATTACAGCTTTGATTGTGCTATTTGTTGCTCCCCACCTGACGTGTTGGGCCTTTGAGCCTGTGCTCAGATAACCTCAAATAAATATACAACAAACCTGTACCAATGACAGTATTGTTGTTGTAGTAGCTCGTTCACCACTTGTTGCAGAGGTCGTGGTTCGAATACGGCAAGCCGCCTTGGTTCGAATACGGCAGGCCGCCCTGGTTATTACCATGAGTGTGTTACCTGTAAAATACTACGTGTCGTCTGCTTCACAATGGACGTTTAAGATCCCCTGGTGTCATTCGCAAGGGTAGGACATTGTGTGCCAGCGTCAGGGTCCGAAATTGAATAAATTATCCGCAAATTACTCAATTTGAATTGTACACAGCAGCAATCATCGCCTCCTACTGTCAGACTAATTTCTGCTTTATGAAAAATAAGAATAGGTGTTACCCTTTATGGCCATGAAACAGGTGTTAAGATGTTCCAATGCGTTGTTTGCAGGCCAGATGCTTTGTCAGATTGTGCCACATACGGACAGCTGCCACTGGGGGTGCCATGAAAATGTACAAGATGAGATGTGATGTAAGGCGAATGGAGTTGCTGAGGCATTTAAGTGAGTGCCATGCGAAAGCAACTGTGATAATTCAAGATGATGCTGTGCACTTGCAGAAGCGTCACGCTAAGCTTGTCGATCGCTACTTTGTACACTCTGGAAAAAACTTCTCCTCTCTGCCGGACGACGGATACGTGCACTTCTTTCTGGCGACTCACATGGCGGAGGCGGGCCAAAAAAGGGTTTGTGCACACATACACAGACATCTCCGTGCAGCCGGGTAGGAAAACTATTGGCCTTGGGTTTGCTAGTGGCGTTAAAGAGTTGGCTGGATACAGCGCAGAATTGTCCCCAAGATGTTTAAAGCTGAATCGAGCCCAACTGAAATCGCTCTGGAATCAAATGACGTGGTATTTGAGCTAATCTAATGGTCACAATAGTGCGGCCTTGTGTGGTGAATCCAGCGCAAATGTGAGTGCACGGCGAAATAGTGGGCTGAGTTCATTGAGTGTTGTATTTACGGCTCACCTGGAGGCTACATCACAATCATCAAAACGCGGAGGAGCGGTGGCTTCCACAGTCTAAAGGACATAGTCGGACCAGTTGGCAGTGCTTGTTTCTATACAGAAACCCTCATTTTACGTGGATCTTCTTTGAGATGTTGTCGATATGGAGTTGAAATGACAGTTTTTTTCAATTATCAACAGACCCAAATATTTTAATTGGTTTGTTTAATATTGTGGTTTCCAATACCCCCAAATAGATGGTGACTGGTAGGGATGAGTCTATCCATATGACAATCATTGTTGACCCCCCACAAAAAGGTACCTATTTTATCAACCCTGGAAGCATGATGGGCCAATACAGCATTTGAATTTGCAACCTTATGGTTGTGAGCCACTCGCTCTGCTGCTGAGCTCACTGTGTACTGCATTTCCGCATTATAAACTAACTCATGCCCTGAATCACAACAGGTAAAATTCAGATGCTGGGGCCAGAGTACAGAACAACTTGCGCAATTATAGAAATTGTGTAAGCTAAGACTCGTAAACTCTTTCCATAAGGGAGTTAAGGCAAGTAAAAACCGTGTGATGTGAGGCGAGAACTTCTATTGTCAAAGTAAAACAATGTTAACTGATAATTAATAAAATGACATAATTATTGACATTAATAACAAATATAATAAACATTAATAACACGTATATACTTGCCCCGACCACAATGGCTGACGTGCATGGAGCGATGATGTAACGGTGGCCATGTTGCATGGGGTTATCTTCCTGGCCGGTGATTGGTTTGTGAAGTGGGAGTGACGATATAATCCCTAGCAACCACTGCCACGCCCCACAGCTTCGCGATCACACCGGGACTCGCATACCTCCTTCGAACTTTGTTACGTTTTGGCCAATTTCGGAGATGACTGTGAGCACACGCTGCTGGATTTTCTGTTCATTTTCTGTCCTCGGAGAGGGGGCGGCGGGGGGGGCGGGGGAGGGGGTCCCATTGCATTAAAACAGCGAATCTGTGTGCACGCTTTAACTTGCGCGCGCATGCGTGCAGGAGCTGTGCGAGCTGCTCTTTTCTCTCGAGTGGGTGGAGGCCAAACTGCGAGTCGTGGGCTGTGCTCACCTCATCAACGACTACCTGCAGCACGAGGAGCTCATCACGAACTCGAGTCAGGTGCTGCCCCACGCACTTCAACCTCCTCTTGACTCGCCGCTATTTTCAATTGGGGGTCCGTGAACTTGGAAATGTCCGGGAGTGTTTATGAAACCGTATCAGTGTAGTTTGGATGGGTCTTTTTCTCATTGTGGTACAACATTGATTTATAGTTATTAACAGATCTACAGAGGCTGGAATTTGCAAGTGAAGTTTTAAAAGAGTCAAGCAGAGCCGAGTGAATTGCACGCGTTTAGTTGTTATATTGGAATAAATATGCATTTTATAAAGCTATTGCTGCTCAACACAATCGTTAGTTTGCCATTAGCATGATCTTATACACGTCCAAGAGCTTGATCCCCTCGCCTGGTTATTTCGTCCAATGAGCTCCCATGAACAAAAAAAATGTCTTGGCCACAGTGAAGTGACCTCAGTTGACCACTGAGGCTGTGCAAAAGAGCTTTATAGCTCATCGGATTCCTCCAGTATAAATATTCTGGTGCTGACGTTTGAAGAATTATGAGCGGTGTTACGTAACGTGCTTTCAAATTTATGTAATCTGATTATTGGATCATGCATGGATGCCAGGGTGTGCCACACAAACAAGGATGGATGTCAAAACGCAACCGAAGTTATCAAGATTGAAAGTTGAGCATCGCATTGTGATTTAGATGAGAGAGTAACCGAGGATATTTGTGAAGCGATGGGATGCACGTGTTTGGGGCATTAACAGAGCGTGAATGACAATCGTCTGAGGTTTATTTTTCCTCGGTACAGTGCACTCCTGTGCTGTGGAACGTCTCAGATTTTGAGAATTTTGGTCCTGAATAAACTCTTTGGATAGGCAAGCGACTGCGTCACCTGTGTATGTGTAGTGAGTCCAACTGAGTCGCAGACATTGTCTTGGGAGCAACACTATTTCAGTAACTCAACATAACATACCACAACCTACGCTTGGATGTTGAATGCCCATCTAGCCACGCTACGGCAGAACTAGACACGGTTCGCTCTCCCGGCCCGGACCACGAGCTGGGTCCCGGACCGCGTGGCTAGAGGCTTCTTTTACCCGACGTGGATCTTCATCACCAGCAACACGAAGAACCCCGAACCCCTTACCCCGCCCACCTTATTGATCTCTCGAGCTCTTTCCCGAGGGCTCCCGAGAGCTCTTTTATACCACGTGACCGCCCAGCGGCCCCTGTCCACCGGTGGCCCCCTTCCAATATCATCCGGTCACATGTCGGCAGGTCAACCAGCCTATCATGCCCCAACATAACCCTGGCGGGTTGACACTTCCTCTCGCTCCCTCACCGGAAGCCCGCACCGCACACTGTACGTGGTGCCTCCGTGCTGACCAGCGCTCACCTAAGCCCCGCTAGGGCTGGTACTACGCCCAATAAGCGGGCTGCACGTAATGCCAACACATTATTCGCCGTGGCTTCGTAAGCCCGGCACCACACAGTGACATACACAGTCACTACATGTATTGAAGATGAACTTGGCCCAGTGGATCTCCCTCCGAGTTGAAAGAGGAGGTGATAATCGGTCTCGGAGTAAAGGTCACAGTGATGAGTGGAGTGGTTAGATATCGTGAAAGGCAGAATGAGAGACAGGATTTAGAAAATCCAATAATACTTTAGAGGTTAATTTGAATATTTCAGAACAGTCTTGTAAAATTATAAAGGCAGGAGCTATCAAATGTGTCCTTGTAGAGGATGAGAACAGATTTGGTTTCAAAGCCCCGATCAATTTTTCATTTTTTCGATTGTGAGATTGTCCCACTATACATATCCGAAATGCGTTCCTGGGAAATGCTTCTAAGCTCGAAATTACTTGGACATAATGTTAAAATCGGTGGTTGCGTTCCGAGCCAACATTTCCTGGGGAAAAATGCATGACTAAATATGAAGTGTACAAAAATGCACGTTCTTATAAATTAACATAATTTTGTATTAATAAATACAAATAATTAGATGAAACTTACCAGAGATGGTTGAAGAACTTCCTGATCGAGGCCTCTTAGTGTGACCTGGAGTTATGTGGCGAAGGGGCAGGATCACCTGCCTCTTCATCTAAAACTATTTAAACTAGCTTTATTTTTTGTTATTTTATTGTTTCCATTCTACGTGACTTTACCGAAAGAACAAAGAATATAGCTTTATTTTACCAAGTAAGGCCCACTCAGCTATATAACTCTTTTTCAGAAGCAACCTGGCTACAAATGGTAGGCCATCGAGAAGTGGCTTATGTGGAAATGTATAGCAGCCAAATACTCTAAACGCATGTTTATAAATTTGGAGGGAAAAACCGGAGGACACAAAGAATAATCCACGCGACCACGGGGAGAACATGCAAACTCTAAATATACAGATGTCAGGATCGGGATCGAACCCATGATCTCAGGCAAGGTAGTTACAGTGAGGGAAAAAAGTATTTGATCCCCTGCTGATTTTGTACGTTTGCCCACTGACAAAGAAATGATCAGTCTCTAATTTTAATGGTAGGTTTATTTGAACAGTGAGAGACATAATAACAACAACAAAAATCCAGAAAAACGCATGTCAAAAATGTTATAAATTGATTTGCATTTTAATGAGGGAAATAAGTAGTATTTGACGCCCTCTCAATCAGAAAGATTTCTGGCTCCCTGGTGTCTTTTATACAGGTAACGAGCTGAGATTAGGAGCACACTCTTAAAGGGAGTGCTCCTAATCTCAATCTCAAAAAAATAAGCTAGATTATTACGTGGCTTAACCCAAAAATCTGTTCTGTATCGTAAATAAATTAACATATATTTAAAGTTACAATGTCGCTATCGCTGGCTTTGCGTTGCGCACCCACGCTCTGAATCTCTGTGCAGGAGCGGTCGATGTGGAAGGACTTCCTTGCGTTCTTGTCCGTGAATGGACACCACTTCACGCCCACGCGGCTGCCAGACGTGCTGCAGCTGGCGCTGTGCCAGCCCGACAGCTCGGCGGTGTGTGCTCAGGCTCGCGCGCGCCTTGCCCGCGGTCACCCACCAAACACCGTCTACCTCGACTGGCTGTGAGTGCTGGCCGTGCCGCATTCCCCATTGAGTCTTTAGATATTTTTTTTTCTTCTCGGTTCTCTGCATCCTCGGCGCAACGTTACCAAGCTCGGTCGTAATTCTCGGCCGGCACAGCCTTCAACAACACCCGACCGGTGAATATGTTGTACTAGACTTTTGTCTGTATGCGTAGAGAAGTACACGGTCATCCTCGTCATCAACCGTGATGAATTCGCTGCTGGGTGATGGCTTTCCAAAGCCGCCTCCACCTTTCATGATCCTGGGACGCAACAAGCCACCCGTCACCTGCAACATGTATGCGTTAATATATAGGGGCCGCCGGTGGCGCTGGTTAGAGCACTTAACCCGTAATCAGAGGAGTTAACATTCCATTTCGTATAGACTCAGCCCATCATCCTTTCGAAGATGATAAAATTTGCACTATTTTGCAGTCAATAAGTTTATTTGATATGAAAAAATAAGAAGAGGTTTTACGTTTTCCTGCAAAAAAACACGTGTTAAGATGTTCAAACACCAAATATATACCGTTTACAAGGCATCAAGTCTGCATTAACCACACTTGTCGCAAAACATGCAATCCTCCGAATTTAACCTTTTGAATTGAAGCCTCATCCCAAACCAGAGAATGACTATCTTGCTATTTAAATATCCTTCATGTTGTGTTTAAAGGTGAACTTCAAAGCTGCATGTCTTGCATATTTTATCTAAATTAAATTTTCCTACTCCGTGTCCTCCAGACTGCTGTTTAAGCTTTACAGGGTGCATATATGATGCATAATGGAACGGCATTTGATTAAAATATTACTGCAATTCGGAATTGAGCAGCTTAATTTATTGATGACATTCAAATTTAGATAGAAATTGTGTTAAATTTGGCAGCAGGGTGGTGCAGTGACAACACTTGAACCTGGGTTCGATTCCCGACTGGGGCACATTATGCGTGGAGTTTTGTATGCTTTCCTCCTGCTCTGCATGGGTTTCCTTTGGGGTTCTCCGGTTTCCTCCCAAAACTAAAAAAACACCCCCAATGTAACTGGTTTTGGCCAAAACATTCCAATGCAAAATTTTTACTGCAAATTACTCAATCGGATTATAAATGGTAACATTGCTGCCCACTGTGTAAACCTGGCAGGACCCTCCTGGCAGTCTTGAGACTCAGTGAGGCTTTCCTTGGTAAGCAAATAGTCAGTGGTTGAAGTGTCCATAACGATAAATGTGTTATAATACTCTTTGGTTCTTTCGGTAAAGTAAATAATAAATCACGCCGTTTCGATCGCAACACAAGCAATCGTCATCAGGCAGAAAAACACAGCAGCAGAACTGCTGAACAAGAAAAGGGCTGTTGCAACCAGAGGTTATGTAGAGGTTTGAGGTGGGCGTCACCCAAGGGCAAGTAGGCGGGGTCAGAGATGCAAAGGAGTCCCGTCGCCGTGCGCACGCACAACAGCTGCGTCAAAGGAGGATTGGCATGCTAATGCAAACGAGCACAATGGAAAAATGCGCCCCGTAAGTCGCACAGCAGCACCGTCATCATGCACGCACAGCAGCCACGTCAAAGGGGGATTGGCATGCTAATGCAAACGAGCACATTGCGAGAGTCGGAAATAACTGATAAACAACGGCAGGAAGGATGGAAACATCACAGCATGTTATGACTTAACTAGTTAATAACATCCTTCCAATGATTGCTCAGTTTGTACCCATCTTCTCGGTTGAAATTGTGTCTGTGTTTATATATCTGGATGGCTTCATCTTTGATGGTAGCCCGAAGGTTTGCAGAGTACCTTGGTCTCTGAAAAAACAATATCGTGTGAACCCACCGCGTTAAAACAGTGATCAGCCACGGCAGAGGTATTGGTTCTGCCGTGTTTCAAATCTGCCTTGTGTTTGTGAACATGGTCCGAGACATGTCATTTCGTTTCCCCGATGTAACTGCTACCGCAGACACAACTTAGTCTGTAGACACCAGGGTATTGCATGTCGGGAATCACATCCTTCACAGAAGGGATCAAATCACGGATTTTGTGTACTGTGTTGAATCGAACCTGGATCTTGTGTTTGTTCAAGATTATGGAAATATTTTTGGTAACACCTGCTATGTATGGCAAGGTGATGGTTTTGATTGGGTCCTCAGATAGCTCTCTCCCCATGGTTGGGGATACAGCTTTGCGAATTGTGCGGTTTGAATATCCATTCATCTTGAGGGCTTGGTGTACGTGCTCCAGCTCACTGGCTAGGTGGCGCTGGTCGGAGATACAACGTGCCCTATGCTGTTTTAATGAGGGAGTTCTTCTGGGCTGGATGGTGGTGGGAATCAGGTTTTAGATAGGAATCCGTGTGGGTGGCCTTCCTGTAGACATCCAGGAATGGTAGCTTGCCATCGTTTTCTACTTCCATGGTGAATTTGATGGATGGGTGTATGGAATTGATGTGGTTGAAAAATTGGTCCAGTGCTGTCTGTCCATGTGGCCATATGACAAACGTGTCATCTATGTATATTTTCCACAAGGAAGAACGTAGGGTGGATGTCAGGATGGCATCTGTTTCAAATTTCTCCATGAAAACATTCGGATGTACCAGGTTTGGTAAGGCACACTGCCTTACAAATACTTACTTCACCTGGAATGGTACATTCTACAAACAAAATGAAGGTACCCCTATGGGTTTCCCCTTGTCGCCAGTGGTAGTGAAAATGAAAGAGCCCCTCTTTTGTGAACTTGGTGAAGTTCGATCTGTTCGTCACGTCACCACTGATTAATTATACGCTTACACAGGAGGGTACAGATGCTACTATTAGTGTAGTGTAGTATTCGTGTGTAGTGTTATATCAGTAGTTTGTAGTAGTGTAGTGTGTTCTATGAGTATTGTGTTTCATGCTTACACAAGAGCTACGGATGCTACAATCGGGCAGCTCTTGATACTGTTCAGTTTGGATGTTCTCCCTGTGGTCGCGTGGAATTTTCTTCTGGTCCTCCGGTTGTTCCCTCCACATTTAGAATCAACATCATGCGTTCAGAGTATTTGGCTGCTATACATTTCCACGTGATAAGCCACTTCGTTGAGCTATCATTTGTGGCCAGCTCACTTCTGAAAAAGAGCTACATAGCTCAGTGGGCCTTACCTGGTAAAACAAAATATTGTTTAGCTTAGCTCTATTCAGAATCAGAATCTTTATCCTGAAGGAATCCGATGAGCTATTAAGCTCTTTTTCACAGATGTCCAGTAGGGGTGAGTCAGAAAGTTACAACAAAAAACAATACAGAAAACGGGAGGAGTGCAAAGTGTAGGAAAGGTAAACAGATCGTTAAATATAAATATATAAACTCGGTAAAGTATTTAAGTTGATCACCAAGCTCAACATATGGTTATGTTTTTTCAGTCGATTTTCAAATGCCAAAGAAAGTAACACTCTCAGGATTGTTTTTCTGGTGGCCATTACATCGGCCTGGAGGCTTTGTAGCATTGCAGGCCCTGTTGTGCTCTCACATGAACTCGTTTGCTTGGTTGTATGTTGATGAGTGGGCATGGCTTGTTGTTAGCGGCTTCTAGCCGTGTATGTGATGACGGCACGCTAATTCCTAGCTGGAACCTTGCGAGGATGTCGATTTTGTTCGTCTTCTGGATCTTTGCTAGATGGTCGCACTTCGCCCGGAAAAAAAAGCCTTCAATGTTGAGATGACGAATCCGTACACAACTACGGTGATTGATGGAAGGTTTGGTCCTGAGCAGGAGCTCCCTGATGGCTTCTAAAGATGCTCTTCCCACCGAGAGGTCGACGATTGACGTTCGGTCGCCATGCTGATGGCATTCGTTGTGGCTTCAAGCGTAACGGGGTGAGACCGCGAGATGGCCGTTATCTTCCACCCCTTTGTGCTGGCACGCGGCAGGAACAAGGCGTGTGTGGCGGTGTCCCAGCGCTTGGTGGTGCGTGCGCACGCGGGCGCCGTGTACCACGCTGCCTTCTCGCGCTCGGGGGAATACGTGGCGTCGTGCGCTGGCGACGGCTACCTCAAGGTAAACAACTGGGCGCCCGGCCGCCTCGCATCACCCGCTCTCTTTTAGCCCTGCGGAAGCCTCTCTGGTCATCGTGCTGTCTATGACATTCATCCACTTCCTTCCCCACACTGTCTTGTGCCCAAGGTGCCATCTTTTTAGAAAAACAATGTCAATGATTAGGTTGAGACTCGTGTAGACAATGCGGTGATGCTGTGTTTGAGTTGGCTCGCACAAACTGGTGTACACTCAAAGACAAAGATCCCCCATATAGCCTGAACAGACTGTTGGGGAAAATGCTGTTAGCGAGCACCAATGAAGGCCAGCGTGGCACACGGGCCGCCTTTGTCTCCCCAGTGATAATGTTTGCACACCACACCAGGTACTCATTTGAGGCTGTGTCAACCAAGGGGAGGCCCATGACAGGTTCAGATAATTGTCACTGGTGTTGGCCATGAGTGGGAATCGAACTCAGGTCGCCGTGTTCGTAGTGCAGAGCGCTAGCCGCTACACTGCACATTCACACACTCTCTCACAAACACTTCTTCGACACCGCAAGGCTCCCACTATGTCTGGATGCCGTTTTTATTGCGCTTGTTAAGGTGTGATGTGAAATGCATAACGCACGTCATCCACGCCCCGGGCCAGAATCGGCACGGGAAGCAGCTGGCGGGGTACCCACTCGTACCATGGCGGCCCCTCGGTGACTCGTCCCCGAGGTGTCAGCGGAAAAAAAGGGTTGTTGTGAGTTTGAATGGTTGTGCACATTTGTCAGTGTTTGTGGTGTGTGCTGTGTGTACGGAACACAGAAGTGGAATTCCCGAACGGGCGAGGAGCTGATGGCCACCTACGCCCACGACGAGCCCGTCCTCTGCTGCGCCTTCGCGCCAAATGGGAGGGTCATCGCCACGGGCTCCGCCGATCACACCGTCAAGGTGGGTCAACCAAACCCGCCAGGGCGCATCGCCGGCTTCCCCGTGCAGCTGCTCCTCGGTGAACCAGGTTCCAGGGAGATATCTTTTCTGCCAGCCCAAGGCCATTACATTTACAGTATAATTGCTTTCGTCATTTGAAACAGAGGCTTTAATGAAGGTATGAGCTTTTACTAATTTTAAACAAATAAATGAATATAATTCTCGCCAACGACGATTCGGAAGCTTGGTGGAATGCGTTTGATGAGTGAGTAGTGGAGTCAAGAGAGTGGAAGAGGGTGGTGAATCATCCGGCTGCTGCTCTCACTCTTCTTCTTGTTGTTGCTAAGCTTTCCCTTCTTAGGCACTGGCCACTCGCTGTAATCTTATCCATAATAGAGGTTTTTTTTGGGTGAGTTTGCGTAAATGTGTCGTTAAACCCGCCACCGCCCGACACAGCCAATTAGTAAGGTTTGTCACGTAAACAAAACGTGCCAATTCGTTACTAGTACTGCACACCGGTGTGTTAGAGACTAAGCCCACGACATTTACAATTCGAGTACGATGTTTTTCCAGTAATTACAACTAGCATCATCAGGCAACAACCCGATTTATGGAGAAATCCTCCTGTTTCGTTCTTTAATAGAGGGATAAATGTGGTTTCGTCACTTGTGAACCAATCAGGTGCGAAGGCCGGGGGGGGGGGGTGGGTTAATATATGTGTAGTGAGTGGCTCCGACACGGTAAGGACTTCAAGTTGTTTACTAATAAATCTTCGGTACAGCCTCGTCTCTCTCTCTCTCTCTGCGGATGTCCACCCGCTCCGGTGACTGCACTGCCTCCGCGCCACGTGGCGCTCACTCCGCTCACCAACACGCCGCTGGCTGGCGGCGCGCTAGGGAGCGGCTGAGCGGCCGGAGGTCGAGCCGCCACGTGGCAGGTGGAGATGGCGGGGCAGCAGCGACGGGGAGCTCCGCTTGACCTTCAGACACCGACCCCTCACGTTGCCATGCCCCCCGGCTTCTATTCGCTCCCCGGAGGCTAAGCCCCGCCTCTGGCCACGCCCCTCCTGGAACCGTCGCGAACGTTCCAGAGGCTTCCCTGGTGGATCCGCCCCATCACCTTTCACCTAGATGTAATGACCACTATAGATAAACGTAGACTGTATAAGGTAATGTACCCCCCACAATAATACAGGAGATGGCTCTCTCTTATTACATATGCATATAAATTACAATGTATATCCATTACCGGTTTGGCTATTCATAGGGTAATCAACATACGTTATACATGCACATTATGCACGCACACGCCTGTTTTTTGTGTGCACGAAAATCGCGGTACCTATTGTTGTCTGCTCACATTTAATCACCATCGACCTATGGTGACCTATATAGGCATGCAGTTAAACAGTGTATTGCAGCACTAAGCCTTTAGCTATCCGAATGAGTAAAATATGTTTTACTTCTCTCAATTTCGATGGATTCTCTAATTAGCCTTGGCCAGTAGTAACTAGTTTTGTACAGGACTTCAACATTATCAAAATCAATTGAGTGTCCTTGTTGGCACGCATGTTCTAACGCTGCCAACATTTGTATTTCGGAGTATGCAATATGCCTTTGGTGTTCATTAAGTTCCATGCTGATCATTCATTCTGTCTGACCAACATAGCATTTGCCACAAGAGCAATTAATCCGGTACACACTTTCTGTTGGCTTGAAACTCCATTTCCGGAAATATTTCCCGACGGTGTTTAGGTCTTGGTTCAGAGTGGATTCGATGTTGTTGAAAGTGGTTTGCTCGCGTTACCAGGGCAAGGTCATCCGCATAGACAAATGTGCGTGACCCTTTGTAGGGTGATCCTCTGAGAGACGGAGCGATGAACTCCGTCCACGTGCAGGTGCTGGATGGATTCTTGCAAGGTGGCGGCGGCACCATCTCGGGGAGGCCTTCATTCAGCAGTGGATTGATCATGGATGATGATCCTCTGTGAAACTCAGCTGTGGTGTATTGTGAATGTGTGCTGCGGGTGGCACTGCAGCTGTGGAATGCGCAGTCTGGCCGGTTGCTGGGCCCGCACAGGGCTCACGACGGCGAGGTGCAGCACTGCACGTTCGCGCACGCCTTCCACAAGCCACTGCTCGCCACGTGCTCTCAGGACTCCTCCATCAAGGTACGACGCTCGCGCGGGTTCAGTGGCTTCATCTCGGCTCGCGCTCACCTCGGTCACACAGTGGGGACTACACACGAGCAGCAGTCATCGCATTCCGACTGCAACCTCGTATCCATTTGTGGGCAGGTGCTCGGTCACCTCGTTAAGCGCAGCAGTGGTTCTCAGAGTGCGGTCCCCGGTACCACCTGTGTGGTTCGCGGGGCTGAGATGCAAACGCCGGTTGATCCGGACAATAATGAAAACGTTTATACCTTTTGTCTCGGACGTGGAAAAAAATCACTTATACCTGTGTAGTGAGTTCAACTGAGTTGCAGACGTACTCTTTGGAGGCAACACATTTATTAACACCAACACACGGGGCAACTGCCCCTTTACAGAATAACAACCTATGGTGGTGACCACCAGGATAACTACACTAAGCACACCGTAACTAGCTACAACGGACCAGACCCCGTGTTGGAGACTCTGTAGGACGTAGAACGTAGACGGAGGTTCCTTCAGGAGGAACAACAGCGCCGGTCCCTCTGGGGGGACCCGGATTATATCCCCTGTGGCGTGGCTGGCTCCGCCCTTGGCCACGACCGCCTTCCAGAATCTTCGAGCAGGATCTCGACCCTGACACGTGACCACCCCTAGCCCCGACTTGGGGGGCCCCTGTGTAGACTTAACCGGTCAATTGTCCTCTGGGGTCAACCAGAGTGCCACGGCCCTTAGTAACCCTATTTCCATGGCCGGCACTCCCACACCCTGTCGTGTCGGGGCCGGCACTGCACCCAGAGCGTGGTGCCATCCAACGCTATCGATCAGCGCTTACCAAGCCCCTCTAGGGCCGGTACTGCACCCACATCATGGTGGTGTCTGCGATGTCGCTACACCGCACGCCGTGCCTCTCTAGGGCCGGCATTACACAGTGACATCCCGCGATGTTACTACACCTACGTAAAAAAAAAGTTCCAGTAATATGACTAATTTTATATGACTGGTATTTGTGAAAAAGAGCTTCATGGCTCATTGGATTCCTCTCGTCTCAATAAAGATTTTGCTTGAGAGAGAGAAGTGAATGCGTTTTGTCACAAAGGGTTGTGGGCTGGGTGGTCCGCGGATATGTTCTTATCGGCCGAGTGGTCCGCGGGCCAAACAAGATTGAGAAAGATCGGTGCTGCACTGGAACAGCCACTGGGGAATGCCCTTTGAATATTTATGATGAGATGTGAGGCACATTGAGTTGCTGAGCCATATAAGAAATGCCATAATAAATGCAACGATTATTATGAATGTACTTCGGGGTCGTTTGTCCATTATTTTCCTTTATACATACACTTATGTTGCATTGTATGTTTAATTACGTGCATGATTCTATCGTTCTATATTAAAATTCTTGTTCACAAGAATATTCATGTTGATATTTTTGTTTTACAAAAGGGTAGGGAATGCATTTTATTTGCTGATGATTTCCAGCTAAGGCTGCATGCATTTATGCATTATCTGTGATGGTCCGTTTGTCTGTAACATGGGGTCACAATAACTCTTGTAAGAATGATCCAATATAGTGTTAAGTTGTGTCACTGTTAGGAACTTGTAATCATCGCCACTATGGATACAAAGGCGGCCGGGCATGGTGCTGGCCAGCCACCTCCTCGTGTGCCGTACTGGCCTTCCTCAGTGCTTACTAACAGCATTTGCCCCAACAGCCTGTTAAGACGATATGAGATCTGTATCTTTTTGTGTGTGTGTGTGCGTAGCTGTGGGAGTGGAAGGAACAGGGGAAGGGCTCGGCCCTTCTCGGCCACTCTGGGCCGGTTCGCTGCTGCTGTTTCTCTCCGGATGACCAGCGTCTCGTCAGCTGCTCTGTTGACTGCACACTCAAGGTACTGCCACTCAGATGGCATCGCACTCCATACAAATAAAATTCCACATTCGTTATTCAAGCCACTCGCGTAGATAAAAAATGATAAATAATGCTCTTTATAAATAATTATCTTTATTTACCCAAGAAAGCCTCACTGAGTATCAAAACTACGTTTTACAGGAGCTTCCTGCATCGGGATGTTTGGCCAGTTCCATTCATAAGTGTTTCGCTCATGACTGCATCCTGTCAACTCTTGTGCACATGTATCTGCGCTGTTTAATACGTGTGTGTGTGTGTGTGTCTGTGTACATGTGACTGTGTGCGCTGCGACCCAAGTTCGATTCCCACTCACGGCCAACACCAGTGGCGATAATTTTAACCGGTCCTGGGCCTCCCCTAGGTCGACTCAACCTTAAATGAGTACCTGTTGAAAATGTCGCCACTCCGGAGACAAAGGGTTGCCGGGCGTGGTGCTAGCCACCCACCACCTGGTGTGCCACGCCAGCCTTCGGAAATGCCACTTGCTAACAGAACTTGCTCCAAAAGCCTGTCACGGCTATACATGGGGGAATCTTTGTCCTTCTGCGTCTGCGCGTGTCTGCGTCTGCGCGCCCGCGCCCTAGGTGTGGAGCGTGAAGCTGCGGCAGGAGGAGCGCTCTGTCGACGTGCGCGAATGCGTCGACTCCGAGGATGGGGCAACGAAAGAGGGGGAGCGCTCCCTCGCCCTCCGAAGTTGCGCGTGGTCCCCGGACGGAAGGCGGATCGTGGCCGTCGCAGAAAACATCGTCTTCGTGAGTGGTCAATTTCCAGAGGCGGCACTCATCTCTCGTTTACAGAAATTCCACGTTCCTATGGCAGGGACTAGTCTTCCCATAGGACAATCACTGTTGACTTCCCCAAAAAGTGGTACAAGTTTTTTCGAGCCCCGAGGGGTGACGGGCCAAGTCAAACCCCCATGACCAGGATTTGAACTCACGACCTTCTGATTGCGAGCCGTTTCGCTCTACCGCCGAGCCAGCTGGTCAAATGTGTGACGTCATCAGATAAATAAGTGAAACCCTTAAACTATAAACTGTTTTTTTTTTTATTTTACCAGGCAAGGCCCACCCAGCTCTGCAGCTCTTTTTCAGAAGCGACCTGGCCACAAATGATAGCGCAACGAAGTGGCTCGTCATCACGTGGAAATTTATAGCAGCCAAATAATCTAAACCAGGGGGTGGGGGATGTCCGGTCCCGCGGGCCATATGAGGCCCGCGAAATCATTTGGTCTCTGGCCCTGCCAAGGAAACCGCAGGCCAGATTCGAAATTCAATAAATCTAGGAGAGAAAACCTGGAAAAGCAGTTGTGAGTAGCGACATCGTCAATACCGGCTAACAACATCACACGCCTCGCCAAAGAGAAGCAGTTCCAGCCGTCGCATTAGGGTCGAGTTAATTAAATGTTTGACCAAATATAACGGGCTCATTTTTAAGTTGATAATTTTGTATGGCCCGCGAATGATGTTATAAATATCCAAATGGCCCTTGGCAGAAAAAAAGGTTTCCCACCTCTGATCTAAACGCATGTTTCTAAATATAAAGGGAAAAGTCCACGCGACCATGGGGACAACACGCAGATTCCAAATATATAGGCGTCGGGGTCGGTAGCGAACCCACGACCTGCTGCATATCAGGCTCAACCAAGTTAATTTCCATCACCCAATTACTTTATTTTTCACGCAGTCTGGTGCGAACAGATTTCTACCTTTTACCCGGCATATGTAATGTACGCGCGTGTTGCGATTCGTCCTTGGTCAATGAATTTCCCCAGGTCTCTGTCGCAAATGACGCCTCGATAATCCCCCTACTCGCGCGCGGCCCTAAACGAGCTCGGCAACGCCGCCCTTGCGCCCTGGGCAGCAGGTGGGGCCGGCCCCCCAATGTGGCCGGGATTCACCTGTGGGGCGGCGTCGTTGTCTCGCCAGGTGTTCAACGCTCTCACGGTCGCGTGCGAGAACGTGCTCAGGACTCACGCCCACTGCACCATCCTGGCGGTGGCCTTCGCTCCCGACAGCCTGCACTGCGCCGTGGGGCTCTCCTCCTACTCCCTAGAGGTACCGGTGCTGCAACGTCTGGAACAGGCGGCGCGCCGCTCGTGAAGATCCGGTGATTTTCCTGCTCAACCGAACGTCGAGGCGTTGGTGCTTGTCCCGTGTTTATTACAGCCCTGTGTCAGCGGCAGACATTCCACATTCCTGTAGCGAGGGCGAGTCTATCCGTAGGGCAACCGCTGTTGACTTCCCCACAATGTGGTATTCGTTTTATCAATCCCTGAGAGAGATGATGCGCCGAGTAGAACCCCAACCGTGATTTAAACTCGTAAGCTTCCGCTTGCGAGCCGCAACTACCGCTGAGCGACCTGGCTGTATTGATTACTGTTAAGCAGTCACCTGCGGGTCACCAAGTTTCTGCTCCACACTCAAAACTCGCTTATTGTTCCCTAGCTCGCCCCACGACCCCTTAATTTCCCCCCATAACTGCCACCATTACTTTTCCCTCTTCATATCCTCATGATATGGCTTTCATTCATTCCCCATTCATCCGGTCCATTCATCATCATTTACTGCCATCAATTTCACTTTCACCGAATTCACACATCAGAGATTGGCCATTGCTTCCTCTCATCTATTTAATTCACCTCATCTCCACCATTACAGTCATATGTATCATTGTTAATTCTGTTTTTATATATCGCCTTAGATAGGACGCAGAAAGGCACCCGAGCCTGTAATCGAACACAGGACCTTCTTGCCGTGAGGCCCAAGTGCTGCCACACTGCCGCCACAATTTGGAATTAGAAACGTGAGAACCCTGGACATTTCCACAGCTGTGTGTGGGTGGGGGGAGATTCCTGGATGTGTAAGCCAGGGTGCGCTTGAGTCTTTTTTCGTTGCGCGAGCCGTTGGCCAGCACTGGGCAGGTCGATTGCGCAGTGGGCCGACCTCGCCTTGCGCCCGCGTTGTCTGTTCTGCGTCGTCCTCTCAGATGTGGAACGTCAAGAGCTGCCGTAAGACGGCGGACTACCGGGGTCACGTGGGCTGGGTGCATGGCGTCGCCTTCTCAGCCGACGGCTCGTGGCTGCTGTCCGCCTCGGAGGACCACACAGTCTCCGTGAGTGCCCTCATTCTGAACTTGAAGGAAAGGCTTTTTATCTTTTACACTGTTGCTAAGCACAGCCCCGAGGGATCAACACGTGAAGCGGCCCAGAAACAAATGGCACTAATAAAGTTGTAAATAGATTAAAGAGTTATCATGTTTATAGAACTGAGCAAGGTTTTCATGAGAGGGTGGGGAAAAGAGACAATGGTAGGGAATTCCAAAGTAGAGCAGTGGAAGGGAAGAAACAAAGAAGTGAGGTGACCTGCAGTGTGGTGAGTGAGTGGTGGAGTTGGTGAGTGTGAGGTGGGTGAGTGTATGGGGAAGTGGGTGGTGTATGGGGAAGTGGGTGATGTAGGTGGGTGAGTGAATGCATTGTTGTGACCTGCAGTGTGGTGGTAGAACACGGTATGGGTGAGATAAAACAGTCAGTCTGGTAAACCGAGCCCTCAACATGGGTGTGAAGGCATCGGTGAAGTTCACGGAAACAGTAACCATGGTAGAAGCGAGAGGAGTGACAAGGAGGTGTCTGGCTGCCAGTGTTGCGAGTGACTGGACTGAATCGGTGAGTGCTGGATCATCAGTTTAACACGTAGGCTTTCGCGACCAATATTATTCATAATAAAGGTTTTTGGGTTAGATCGCGTTTATTTATAAATGTGTCGTAACCCTCCACCACCCGACACGGCCAATCAGCAAAAAAAAGTGTCACGTTGACAAAAGACAAATAATTCACTACTTTAGCCCACCGGTGTGTTGAAGAGTGAATCCACATTTACAGTTTGAGTACGACGTTTCGCTGGTAAATACATCCAGCATCATCGGGCAATTCGCCAGAATGGTAAAGCCCTCGCTGGCTCCCGGTTTTATATAGAGCAGCAGGGTGACGTCATCACTTAACTCATATCAGGTGCAGTGATTAGAGGGGGGGGGGGTATTGTAATTATATAATCGATTAGTAATCAGTCATTGGTTATGATTAAATTGAGAGGAATAAGAATAACTTTAATCGCTCTGACAGCTACAGACTTAGTGCGGCCTGGAAGCGTATTATTAAATAATACACATTACATTTTGATTTAAAGAATTACTAATCTACAACTCATTACTAATCATAACCAATGACTGATTACTAATCGATTATATACTTACAATACCCCCCCTCCGCCTCTAATCACTGCACCTGATATGAGTTAAGTGATGACGTCACCCTGCTGCTCTATATAAAACCGGGAGAAAGCGAGGGCTTTACCATTCTGGCAAATTGCCCGATGATGCTGGATGTATTTACCAGCGAAACGTCGTACTCAAACTGTAAATGTGGATTCACTCTTCAACACACCGGTGGGCTGAAGTAGTGAACTATTTGTCTTTTGTCAACGTGACACTTTTTTTGCTGATTGGCCGTGTCGGGTGGTGGAGGGTTATGACACATTTATAAATAAACACGATCTAACCCAAAAACCTTTATTATGAATGCTGGATCATCACTCTACCTGACCGCTTCGCTCTGAACTCTGTAGTAGCGTATATAGTATTTATTACTGTAGTAGCGTATATAGCTACTGTAGTAATCGTATATTGCTGTAGTAGTGTATATAGTATTTATTATATGTTCATTTTTATTTATAGTTATCAATATTTTTGTGGTTATATATTTATTATATTATTCTGCTTATTGTTCGTTTGTTATTTTTTCTGCTGATATAAATTTCCAGGTGATGATAAAACACTTCGTTTAGCTATCATTTGTGATAGCCAGGTCGCTTCTGAAAAAGAGATACAGTAAAACCTTGGATTGCGAGCGTAATTCGTTCCGGAAACCAAAGCACTCGTATATCAAAGCACTCGTGTATCAGTTGTGATCACGTGACGCTCGGCAGACAAAGCGTATATGTACCACTCGTATTGCAAGACCTCGCTCGTTTATCAAATTAATATTTATTTAAAATTTTTGCTCGTCTTGCAAAACACTCGGAGACCAAGTTACTCGCAATCCAAGGTTTTACTGTAACATCGCAGAGTGGGGCCTTAACTTGGTGAAATAAAAGCAATTAATAATTTTTTGGTTTAGTAAACGTGCGCCCCTTGCGTACGCATGTATGTTGAACTTCTTTCGCACCGTACGTGGCCAGCCGCACTAATCGGAGGTGCGTGTACACAGCTGTGGCAGGTGAACGGGGAGGAGAGTGCGGCCGGCGTGTACCTCAAACGTGACACGCACACGCTCTTCCGGGAGGACGGCTCTCTCCGTATCGCTGCTCCTGACATCAACAACTGCCTGCGGGTATGGGAGCGTAGACCGCCTCGATCTGCGTGCAGTTCTGTGTTCGTCAGCACGCTTAGCCGCCTTTTTTTTTTAGGTTGAGGGGGGGGAGGAAGGGAAAGTTCGAGTCGATCCAAGCTTTCCCCTCCCCACGTTCGATTTGCGTACATTTGCATTTCATTTGCTCATGAATTGGTGTTCATTGCACATTGTTTAGACATACAGTAATCCCTCGACGACCGCGGCGGGTCAGATTCCTGGAAAATGCCGCGGTAGGCAAATCCGCGGTTTGTGAAGTGCAAGGAATATGGAAAATAGGTTGGGGGAACCACGGCCATCGTCATACTCATCATAGCTTAACTAAGTTGCCTGTTTATTAACTAAACACCGAGTAAAATACAGCGCATTACACAATAACATAATAAATAATAAAGGAACATTAAATTAAGTTTACGTAACCTATGATATTAACGATGATGACAATGAGATGATGGAGGAAGGGCTGATTAGAAGGAGGAGGGGCTCAGCCCACCCCCCTCCTCCAGGCCACAGACGCAACGTGAATGTGGTTGCGATGTTACACGGTCTGTGCCCTGCGAGAATTATAGTACGGCATGTACAACAAATAAGACGGACAGCTGTTCAGCCTCGGCCCCGCAAAATCTGTAACAATGACGTTATGCAATAACATGAGGTCATGATGTAATGCAATGATGTAAAACCCATGTCGTGTGGCTTCCTTAACACCGTACTTACCTGTGGATACTCAAATTTAGTCGATGGATGATACATATCACACACACACACACGTGTGTCAAAGGCACAGGGGCAGCCCTGCATTTGCTTGCTCATTCAGCTGCTGGTGGAACGGCCTCCACCGGCGTGAACGCTCGAGAGTGTGTTGGTCTGCTGTACCACGTTGACCAGATGTTATAAGAGGTCGGCCTTACCCACACTTTACCCTACCACCCACGAACTGCTGATTGATTTAACTGTGGTGTAGCCATGCATAACGCTTGGTCGACAGAGGCGGGGAGGCAGGGAAGAGAGAAACTTGCATTGTTGTGTGTGTGTGGGCGGGTGTAGGTGGTTGACGAGACGGGGCAGGTGGTGAGCGTGAGCGACCCACTGCCATCGCGTGTTCGCTGCTGCTGCCTGAGCGGGGATGGAAGAATTGTGGCGATGGGCTGTGAGAGCGGAATCATGCAGGTTTACACGCACGCAGACTTCATTGCGCAGCACAGTGTAGTGGTTGTGGTGGTGCGCTACGAACCCGGGGACCCACGTTCAATTCTCGCTCACTGCCAACATAAGAGACGAATATCTGAAGCGGTCCTGGGCCTCCCCCTAGGCTGACTTAGCCTCAAATGAGTACCTGGTGCGGTAAGACAAAGGCGGCCGGGCGTGGTGCTGGGCACCTAGCTCCTCGTGTGCCGTGCCGGCCTTCATCGGTGCTCGCTAACAACACTTGCCCCAACAGTCTGTTTAGGCTATATAGGAGGGGGATCTTTGTCTTTGTAAAGCGGTGGAAAGGTGCATGGAGCAGTGGTGCAGTTAGTGCGCTGCGCCACAAGTTTAAAGTTTAATCTGTTTAACCCAGTGAGAATTTAAGAGGCCAGGATAGTCTCATTTGGATCACCAACATTACAAAAAAATCACGTGACATTGGAGTGCGAAAATAAGCAAATAGAAATGAGAGAAGAAACATACGAATGCATGTTAACCAAATTATTAGGTGATGTTGCATTGGCGGTGGTTCACTTGCACAAATATCACAATTGTCAGCTAATTGTCAACTCGTTCGTCAATAACACTGTAGCCTTAGCATTTTAAATGTGTAATCAGGGACGTTTTGGAAAATTTCACTTCGTGGTAACACAAATGAAATTTGGCATTCCTCCAGTAAAAATGAATATTCTTATGCTGAATGTATTCTGATTCCGACATGACGGGCACATATCTCAACCTGTTGGAGGCCGTCCTTAGGTTGACTCAGTCTATCTGGTGCAGCAGTCGACAACAGCAGAGTGACCACAATAACCCCCTCTGTGTACCGTGTTGGTTTTCAAGGTGCTTGCTTAACAGCACTTGTCCCAACGGTCTGTAATGGTTATACAATTAACCTTTGTATTTTTTCTGTAATTTCAGCAAACCCGGATTTGATATCTCGCCATGCATGTTCATCAAAAGATATGTTTGAACCTGCCCTTGCTCGTCCTTAAGTCGATTCAGCCTTACACGAGCATTTGGTGCAATGCATGACCATCAACAATGGAAAGACAAAGGTAGCCAGGAGTGGTTCAGGCCACACCACTTCCCCCACCCCCCGTGCACCGTGCTGGCCCCCGTAAGTTTCTCATAGCGTTGGTCACCTAAGTCCCTCTTGCAAATGAGACTATTCCTTGTCTCTAAAGAGTTTTCATCCGGTTCAATATAATAAACTTAACTTGCCCCATAGTTTGAGGGATCTGTTGTGTGTGTGCACCAGATTGTGGACACAGAGAGTGGCAACATCCTGCACGTTTTGGAAGGGCATACAAAGTGCGTGAGACAATGCCAGTTCCTGATGGACGGACACGTTCTCCTCTCCTGTTCCGATGATGCAACTCTGAGGGTGCGTGATTTCACATGCACTCAACTTCCCATGCACTCAACTTCTCATGCACTCAACTTCCCACGTGCATACACACCCGTGCGTCACAGCAAGAAGCCCCTGAATTCGATTCCTGATTCGGACGCCTATCTGTGTGCACAGTTTGTATGATCTCACCACGTTCTGTATGAGCTTACACCACCATGTTCTGTATGTGATATCCCCCGTTTCCTGCCATATCAATTTTTTTTTAAATAAGTAACCATTATTGGCCAAAAATTCTGATGCTGAAAAGTTACCTGCAAATTTACTGAATTCGGATGACAGCAACCCCACTGGGCATCACCCAAACTTTTGTGACACAAAGGGGAAACGTTTTTCACATCGAGGAGAACGCCTCTCTTCTGTGACGATGTGGAAGATAGGCCGCATATAAGAGGATTCACAGACACTAGATGTTTCCACTCTTAATTTATAGCAGTGCATGAGCTGCGTGACAGTGGTAAATAATAAAACAGGAACATCGGCATGGGGTCTCTCATGTCCATGGGACGTGTTAAGAGTGAGCAGGAGGCTTTGTGTGAAATAAGCCATGGCCCAGCGATAGTGTGTTCGCCGCTTGTCACAGAGGCTCGTGGTACGTATCCGGCAGGCCATCCTGGTTAATGCTGCGGATGTACGTCAAAATCCCCTTACGTCGTTCGAAACGAGTAGGCAGTTGTGTGTGCGCTGTGTTCCTAGTTTTCCGAATTCGCAAAAAATTACTTGCAGATGACTCACGAATTTTGATTACAAACATAGCAATCATTGCCCCTTACTGGTGAACTATTGCCCACTGCTTGCAGGCCGGTGCTTAGTCACCTATGTATGTACTTCATGTTGAACTACTTTCGCACCGTCTGTAGCCATGAGATAGGGGCTTCACTTTTAATTGACATTGGAAGGGAATTATTCTCTATGATGACCTTGACTCTAATGATGAATATTCTTGGTTCTTTCGGTAAAGTCACGTAGAAGGGAAACAATAAAATAATAAAAATATAAAACAATACAATTCTCACGACGTTCCGACTGCAACACAAGCAATCATCATCAGGTGTGAAAACCACGAGAAAATGTTCTTGTTGTGGTTTTTTTCACACCTGATGATGATTGCTTGTGTTGCAGCCGAAACGTGAGAATTTTTATTGTTTTATATTTTTATTATTTTATTGTTTCCCTTCTACGTGGTGACTTTACCGAAAGAACCAATAATATGAATCCCTGCAGTCACGAAAGCTTTAAATCAAAATCTAATGATGGAGTCGCAGTCAAAGGTGGGGACGTGCCACGAGGATGTTAAGGCTCTTCGAGTCGTCGAGGCATTTAAGCAATGCCACATAAATGCAAATAATATTGTTACGAGAATGTCAACTTACTTCCAAGTGAAATTGTAATTATCTGCTCTTATAAATGGACGTTGAATGAATTGTCTTCCATTGTGCTCAGATGTGGAGGTGGAGGGAAGGGGGGGGGCAGTGCTCCGTGCTTGACGAGCACACAGAGGACGTGAAGTGCTTCTGCCTTCTGTCCCAGAGCCTCCTGCTCTCCTGCTCATTTGACGGAACCACCAGGGTAAGGCCTCACCGCGGTAGCCGCACACACTCGCAAAATGTATTCAAGTGCAGCCTTTTTTATTATTATTGAGGCAATGTGCGGGCCCGTTATGTGTACACACCGTTAACATAAGTCAAACCGGTTACGAAAATCAAGGGGACGAAAAGATGCGGAACGGGCTCGCTGCCCCAGACCATACGGGGGGGGGGGGGGGGTCTCACCGAAGAGGGAAAGGGTGACTTTTTTTTAGTAAAGGGGAAGGGATGATGAAAGGAGAGAGGGATTTAACCGAAACACAGCTGACATAAAGAAGAGCAAAACATAAAGGACGACAAGACGAGTATTTTTTATTTCCACCCCTCCGAGTCCGGCTCCCGTCTAATCTGCCGTTGTTTTGCCCCTTATCTTCGGTCCCTGTCTCCCGACCCTCCATCCTGAAAACTTATTTCAGGTGTTGTATGAGGGGTAAAGTACAGGCTTTTATTGTTTACTCAGGAAAGCCATGCTGAGTCTCAACCCTTTTTCAGGAGGGTCCAGACAGGTTTTCACATTATAGATTGGCATTGTTGCTGTGTGTAACCAAATGTAGTAATTTGCGGGTAGTATTTCAGCATTGGAATGTCACCAGTTGCATTTCATGTAACCTTTATTTTCCTTTCGTCAAGCAACCTTAAAACCTTTTGATTAAAGATGTATTTTTGGGTTAGGTTTTGATTTTTATTCTGACTTCTTGGATCTTGTCTGAAAGAAGTTTGGCTCCGGTTTCAAGCAAAACTTTGTACAAAGTGATACATTTGTGAATATTGTTCAACTTATCCAAACACTGCAACAATAATTATAATCGGCATGTCAAACGCATGTCTGACAATTGATTTTTTTGGCTGTCGGTGGTGGAGGGTCTTACCACACATATTTGGCCAAATCTATGAATTAGAAATCTTAATCTTGGCTGCATTAATCCTCGTGTTGCATGTATATGTTGAACTTCTTTTGCACCGTACATAGCCAACCATGATAATCGTAGGTGCGGGGGGAAGGACAACAAACTAAACACCAAAAGTAGTTCAAAATAAATTATTTCATTCGAGACTGGTTATAGCGGTGTATGTTAGCTAAAGCCAATACTTCCCATCCTATTAATTTCTTCGCGTTCCGTACAGACGTTTAAATGTTATCCTTTCACAAATGTGGGTTTTCTCCGGCCACTTTAATTCCCAAGCAAAATACTGCTTAAACGAGAATTGGTCAAACATATCACTCCAAGATCCTGCTGAGTCTTGAGACTTGGAAAGGCTTTTTTCGATTAATAAATTATGGTAGAATTATTTATTTCCTAACTATGATCAGCTGCTTCTCACCACGTCATTGTCAGTGTCTTGACTTTCGACGTTCGTGATTTTCTCTTCTCATCCGTCCACTCGGCTGCTCTTACCAGGTTACCGTAACAAGTTGATATGACCACATCTTAAATTCCTATTCTCTTAGCCACACGTATATTCAGTGAAAAATAGTATCAGTCCCTCCCTCATCTCAGGCCCTCATTAATTTCAATCTATCTCTGAAATTCCTCCTTTACTTGTCAATCAATACACCAGGGCATGTTATTATAATTGGGTGCCATGGTAGCGAGATGTTATCTCCCTCGCCGGATATGCAGGAGGTTGTGAGATTGGTCCCGACCCTAACACCTGAATATTTGGAGTTTGCATGTTCTCTCCATGGCTGCGTGGATTTTTCTCTCACATTAGATAGATTTATTGCTTTAAAAAAATATTTAATTTGACAGGTATTGTGTAAATCTATGCACCTATGTCTGTGCTTACCACCTTCAAGAAAACCTGCACTCACCCGTGTGGTTGAATAGCTCACACGACCTAAACGGTGTGGGAAGTACGTTATACAGAAGTGGATCACCTGCTGTATATTTGGAGTTTGCATGTCTCTCTCCCCCTGGTCGTGTGGTCCTCCGGTTTTTCCCTCCACATTTAGAATACACATGCGTTTTGAGTATTTGACTGCTATACATTTACACGTGATGATAAGCCACTTCATTGAGCTATCATTTGTGATGGCCAGGTCGCTTTTGAAAAATAACTACATAGCTCAGTGGAGCCTTACCTGGTAAAATAAACTTTGTTTTTTTTAACCCAATATCAATGATCACAACAGGGGGCACATATAGACAAGGGTAATAATCAGCATGACAGAGGCAGGGGTGTGCCATCTGGGTATGTTTCTAACTTGAGCAGGAACAGCTTGAGGTGTACCAGGTAAAATATATATCTAGGCAGACGATGGGGGCCGAGGGAGCGAGCTTTTTATCGGTGGATGAAATTTCGTCAAGTTATTCAAACAGATGCATATGCACTCAGGAAGGCCTATGTCGTTTAGCGATAAGCTCCATTCAACGAGAAAATAAATATTGCGGGGATTGCCCTCAACGGGTGTCTCGGTGATTCACTTTTCCATCACCGCATTCCCTCTGCCAGAGAAAACGGCGAAAGTGTTGAGAACCTACCCATGAAAGAGGCGTACCTGAGAAAGGGGATATGGATGGGAGGTTTAAAAAAAAAAAGTGTACTTCGTTAGACACCGACCCCCTTATGGGCAGCATGGCCAGCCGACTCACCTCACGTAGGTAACAAACTACAATGAGGGTTCGTGATCTATTCAGTTGCCTAATTATAGCTTTTCTCGCTACGACGTTGACAATTTTGGAGTAGCGTGTGCTGTGGCTTGGACACTCCCAAGCGTTTCAGACCCCAAAGAGGGGATTCTGCCGAGGGCCATAAATATTTTTTGTTCAAATAGTTAAGTGTCTTGATAAGATCTAGTGATATCCAGGCACAGACAAATGGCATGCAGGTATGTCTATATAGTTCCCCGCAGGCACCTAGGGCAGTCTGGGTATTAATTTGTTTAACTTTGCCCTCCTCTCATTAGTGAGGTAAGTTCTATGTAAATAAATAAAAAAAGTTGAAATATTCTTAGTTTTTTCGGTAAAGTCACGTTGAAGAGAAACAACAAAATAACAAAATATATATAAAACAATAAAAAACAAATTCTCACGACGTTTCGACCATAACTCAAACGGTCATCATCAGGTGTGTCGGTTTGCATAAATGTATTTAGAAAACGGCATATTTATTTATTTATATATATATAAAAAAATAACGTTTGCATCACGCGCAGCGATTGGCAGTTTGCCCAGGACTAGTCCATCTATTTTTTGAAAAGAGGAGGGGGGAGACAAAATTTGTTTTTATGTATGCTGTCTGAAAGCCACTGTAAGCGTGAACAATCAATCAAGAACTGAAATGATCTATCAAATCTTTCCAATGATTGCTAAGATAGAATCCATCTTCTCGGTTGAAATTGTCTCTGTGCTTGTATATGTGGATAGCCTCATGAACGAATCTCTCATGGAAGCCAGATGGCTTACAAAGAACCTCCGTCTTGGAAAAGTCAATGGCATGTGAGCCTACTGAATTAGAACAATGATCTGCTACGGCCGAGGTGTTGGTCCTACCGTGTTTAAGGTCTGCTTTATGTTCACGAATGCGGTCCGAGATATGGCGTTTGGTTTCTCCAATGTAACTACTACCACAGAGGCAACTTAGTTTGTAGACACCAGGCTATTGTATGTCCGGAATCACATCTTTTACAGACGGAACCAGATCACGGATTTTATGTAATGTGTTGAAACGGACCTGGATCTTGTGTTTATTCAAGATTTTGGAGATCTTTTTTGTGATCCCAGCAATGTAGGGTAAAGTGATGGTTTTGAAAGGCTCCTCAAGAGGGTTCTTCTTCATGGTTTGAGTGATAGCTTTGCGGATTGTATAGTCGGAGTTACCATTAGCCCTAAGAGCTTGGTGTACGTGCTTGAGTTCACTGCTTATGTGTTCCTGGTCGGATATGCATTGGGCTCTATGATACAGAGTCTTGATGAGAGAATTCTTCTGTGATGGATGGTGGTGGGAATCCGGTTTCAGATAAGCATCCGTATGGGTAGCTTTCCTGTAGACAGAGTGGCTCATTGAACCATCAGGTCTCTTTTTAATTAGGACATCCAAAAAAGGTATCTTGCCATCTATTTCGACTTCCATGGTAAATCTGATGGCTGGGTGTATGGAATTGATGTGGTCGAAGAATTGGTCTAGAGCAGGCCGGCCATGTGGCCAGATGACAAAAGTGTCATCCACGTACCTCTTCCATAAGGTTGGGCGCAGAGTGGCAGTCTGGATGGCGTCAGTCTCAAATTTCTCCATGAAAATGTTAGCTATAACTGGAGAAAGGGGGGAGCCCATTGGGGTGCCCTCAGTTTGTTTGTAGAAAGTTCCATTCCAAGTGAAGTATGTATTGGTTAAACAGTGTCTCACCAGGGGGGGTACCTCAGTGTTTAGTCCTTGATGAACCAAGTCTTCAATGATTGCAATGGTGTCAGGTACAGGAACCTTGGTGAATAAGGAAACTACATCAAAACTGACAAGCAGGTCGTCTGGGGACAGGGAAATACCCTTGATTGTTGATACCAGGTGAGTAGAATTTTGTACCGCAGAGGTGGTCTTTCCAGTGAAAGGACGCAGGATTTCAGACAAAAAACGAGCTAGTTTGTAGGTGGGGGAGCTGATAGTAGAGACTATGGGACGAAGAGGTGTATCAACTTTATGTATTTTTGGTAAGCCGTATAATCTTGGTGGCCTGGCAGCAGAAGGTTTCAACGAAAACTGTTTAGATTGATCAATTAATGCGGTTGAATCAGAAATTATTTTGTTGGTTTGTGTGACGAGGCTGTTGGTGGGATCTCTTTTTATTTTTGTATAACTACCATCGTCGAGTAATTCTTTAATTTTGTTGTTGTATTCTATTTTATCCATGATGACAGTAGCATTGCCTTTGTCAGCTGAGAGAACTACAATATCATTCCTCTTTTTTAATTTATATAATTCAAAACGCTCATCTTTGCTGAGGTTGCTAGCTGGCATCTTAGCGTTTTTGAGGGTTGCAGCGATTTCAGATCTTGCTACGTCTGCAGCGATGTGACCCAGGCCCCTGAGAGCAACGTCTACTTGGGCAATTATATCATTAACTGGTATGTGTTTAGGTGTGACTGCAAAGTTTAGACCTTTAGCTAAAACGGATTTCAGACCATCGGAAATAGAACTGTTACTGCGATTAATTACGACTTTATTAACGTCTAACTTTTTGGTGTGTGGGTCCGGTCTTTTGTTGAAGAGGAGGTTAAATTTGGAAATCAGGTTTTCCTTACATTTGGTCGACATAGTAGCAGCTGAAGAGGCAGTCATATTGTCTACATGTTCCCAATCCGATGTGGACATTATTGCCGTCAATGATAAGAACTAGATCAGTTAGACAAGACACTCTACAAATCACACTTATCATTGACGGCAATAATGTCCACATCGGATTGGGAACATGTAGACAATATGACTGCCTCTTCAGCTGCTACTATGTCGACCAAATGTAAGGAAAACCTGATTTCCAAATTTAACCTCCTCTTCAACAAAAGACCGGACCCACACACCAAAAAGTTAGACGTTAATAAAGTCGTAATTAATCGCAGTAACAGTTCTATTTCCGATGGTCTGAAATCCGTTTTAGCTAAAGGTCTAAACTTTGCAGTCACACCTAAACACATACCAGTTAATGATATAATTGCCCAAGTAGACGTTGCTCTCAGGGGCCTGGGTCACATCGCTGCAGACGTAGCAAGATCTGAAATCGCTGCAACCCTCAAAAACGCTAAGATGCCAGCTAGCAACCTCAGCAAAGATGAGCGTTTTGAATTATATAAATTAAAAAAGAGGAATGATATTGTAGTTCTCTCAGCTGACAAAGGCAATGCTACTGTCATCATGGATAAAATAGAATACAACAACAAAATTAAAGAATTACTCGACGATGGTAGTTATACAAAAATAAAAAGAGATCCCACCAACAGCCTCGTCACACAAACCAACAAAATAATTTCTGATTCAACCGCATTAATTGATCAATCTAAACAGTTTTCGTTGAAACCTTCTGCTGCCAGGCCACCAAGATTATACGGCTTACCAAAAATACATAAAGTTGATACACCTCTTCGTCCCATAGTCTCTACTATCAGCTCCCCCACCTACAAACTAGCTCGTTTTTTGTCTGAAATCCTGCGTCCTTTCACTGGAAAGACCACCTCTGCGGTACAAAATTCTACTCACCTGGTATCAACAATCAAGGGTATTTCCCTGTCCCCAGACGACCTGCTTGTCAGTTTTGATGTAGTTTCCTTATTCACCAAGGTTCCTGTACCTGACACCATTGCAATCATTGAAGACTTGGTTCATCAAGGACTAAACACTGAGGTACCCCCCCTGGTGAGACACTGTTTAACCAATACATACTTCACTTGGAATGGAACTTTCTACAAACAAACTGAGGGCACCCCAATGGGCTCCCCCCTTTCTCCAGTTATAGCTAACATTTTCATGGAGAAATTTGAGACTGACGCCATCCAGACTGCCACTCTGCGCCCAACCTTATGGAAGAGGTACGTGGATGACACTTTTGTCATCTGGCCACATGGCCGGCCTGCTCTAGACCAATTCTTCGACCACATCAATTCCATACACCCAGCCATCAGATTTACCATGGAAGTCGAAATAGATGGCAAGATACCTTTTTTGGATGTCCTAATTAAAAAGAGACCTGATGGTTCAATGAGCCACTCTGTCTACAGGAAAGCTACCCATACGGATGCTTATCTGAAACCGGATTCCCACCACCATCCATCACAGAAGAATTCTCTCATCAAGACTCTGTATCATAGAGCCCAATGCATATCCGACCAGGAACACATAAGCAGTGAACTCAAGCACGTACACCAAGCTCTTAGGGCTAATGGTTACTCCGACTATACAATCCGCAAAGCTATCACTCAAACCATGAAGAAGAACCCTCTTGAGGAGCCTTTCAAAACCATCACTTTACCCTACATTGCTGGGATCACAAAAAAGATCTCCAAAATCTTGAATAAACACAAGATCCAGGTCCGTTTCAACACATTACATAAAATCCGTGATCTGGTTCCGTCTGTAAAAGATGTGATTCCGGACATACAATAGCCTGGTGTCTACAAACTAAGTTGCCTCTGTGGTAGTAGTTACATTGGAGAAACCAAACGCCATATCTCGGACCGCATTCGTGAACATAAAGCAGACCTTAAACACGGTAGGACCAACACCTCGGCCGTAGCAGATCATTGTTCTAATTCAGTAGGCTCACATGCCATTGACTTTTCCAAGACGGAGGTTCTTTGTAAGCCATCTGGCTTCCATGAGAGATTCGTTCATGAGGCTATCCACATATACAAGCACAGAGACAATTTCAACCGAGAAGATGGATTCTATCTTAGCAATCATTGGAAAGATTTGATAAATCATTTCAGTTCTTGATTGATTGTTCACGCTTACAGTGGCTTTCAGACAGCATACATAAAAACAAATTTCGTCTCCCCCCTCCTCTTTTCAAAAAATAGATGGACTAGTCCTGGGCAAACTGCCAATCGCTGCGCGTGACGCAAACGTTATTTTTATATATATATATAAATAAATATGCCGTTTTCTAAATAAATTTATGCAAACCGACACACCTGATGATGACCGTTTGAGTTATGGTCGAAACGTCGTGAGAATTTTTTTTTTATTGTTTTATATATATTTTGTTATTTTGTTGTTTCTCTTCAACGTGACTTTACCGAAAAAAACTAAGAATATGAATTACTGCAGTCACGAAAGCTTTAAATCAAAATTTAAAGTTGAAATAGTTGAATGTGCTATCTGTGTTATGCTGTGTCTGCCACTATCCTGTTATTTTTCCACTTTACTTGCAGTTGTGGGACCTGAACGAGCTGTCATTAGTGCGGACATTTTGTGGCCAGGAGCCACACGCCGCCATCTTGTCGTGCCAGGTGATGCCCAGCCTAGGCCTCTTTGTCGTCACCTGCACCGATAAGACAGCACAGGTGAGCAAAGACAACTTACTTCACCTTTGCGCTGTTATACTATTCGTGTGAACTTCACTCGTTGGTATCTCTACCCGTGTTGAGGACTCAGTCAACCAAACACTCACTGTGTTGTCTCCTGTGGCTCACATGAACATTCAGGGCAGTGCCTCATATCAACTTTACAGCTCTAAGCCAGTGGTGGAAATTCCACATTAATATGATGGGGTGAGTCGATCCTTAGGACAGCCACTGTTGATTTCCCCAGAAAGTGGTTCTCAATTTATCGAACCCAGAGGGATGATGGGCTGAGTCAGCCTCAAACCAGGATTTGATCTCACAACCTTCTGATTCTATTATTTTTGGGCTGACTTTAATCCTGAAATTTGGCCGAACTAAAAACATTCCCATTGCCAGATTAATACTTCTTCTTTGGTTCTTTCGGTAAAGTCACGTAGAATGAGAATAAAATAATAAATTGATCAAATAAAATAACACAATAATATTCTCACGACGTTTCGGCCACAACACAAGCGGCCTTCATCAGGTGAAGGGACGAGACTGTCTGGTAGGACAGCGCTGGAGTGAAAGAGCCACGTTCAGATCACGACTTTTAAGCTGTGTGAGAGGAAACAAAGCGCCTTGACAAAGGAATTAGCATATAATTTAGCATTGAAATGGCTGAGTGATTAGCTTGTGACTGGTCACAGCAATAAGTTAAAAGTTAAAGCATACACATCCGCAGAGGCACCCCTTGACAAAGGAATTAGCATAGAATTTAGCATTGAAATAGCTAAGTTAAAGCATACACATCCGCAGAGGCACCCCTTGACAAAGGAATTAGCATAGAATTTAGCATTGAAATAGCTGAGTGATTAGCTTGTAACTGGTCACAGAAATAGCTACGTTAAAGTCAGAGCATACACATTCACCGAGGCACTTAGTACAAATCAAACAGGAGAATTTAGCATTGAAATAACTAGACGAAATTAGCATTGAAATAACTGAGTGATTAGCTAGTGACTAGTCACAGAAATGACTGTTGAAGTCAAGGCCTACACATCTGAGCTATTCACAGTACTATATAGTGAACCAATAAAAAACTAAAATATAAATTACCTTAATGTTATCAATAAACTCTATATTCTCCAATCAGCTAAGCTACCAACAATAAGTCGTTATATATCACAATGCTATATGGCGAAAAAATGGGTGGATTCTTACCCTCAACTTCAGCACCACGGATAGCTACGGGCCCCGTTCAGACGGACGAGTTCATCCATGGTCGGAACAGAGGAGGGGGAGAAAGACAGCTGCGAGGCGCTATTATACTCCATGTTGTAAACCATACCATTAACCGTGGTGTGAGAGGTATTAAGAGTCAATGCTGGCGAAAGAGCTGCGGTCTGAAGGTCATCGTAAAATACAATTAATTTAGAACAGAAATGGTTTAAAACATCTTTCCAATGGTTACTAAGCCAGAATCCATCTTCTCGGTTGAAATTGTCTCTGTGCTTGTATATGTGGATGGCCTCATGAACGAATCTCTCATGGTAGCCGGTTGGTTTGCAAAGAACTTCCGTCATGGAGAAGTCAATGTCATTCGTTCATAAGGCCATTCACATATACAAGCACAGAGACAATTTCAACCGAGAAGATGGATTCTGGCTTAGTAACCATTGGAAAGATGTTTTAAACCATTTCTGTTCTAAATTAATTGTATTTTACAATGAACTTCAGACCGCAGCTCTTTCGCCAGCATTGACTCTTAATACCTCTCACACCACGGTTAATGGTATGGTTTACAACATGGAGTATAATAGCGCCTCGCAACTGTCTCTCTCCCCCTCCTCTGTTCCGACCATGGATGAACTCGTCCGTCTGAACGGGGCCCGTAGCTATCCGTGGTGCTGAAGTTGAGGGTAAGAATCCACCCATTTTTTCGCCATATAGCATTGTGATATATAACGACTTATTGTTGGTAGCTTAGCTGATTGGAGAATATAGAGTTTATTGATAACATTAAGGTAATTTATATTTTAGTTTTTTATTGGTTCACTATATAGTACTGTGAATAGCTCAGATGTGTAGGCCTTGACTTCAACACACTCATTTCTGTGACCAGTCACTAGCTAATCACTCAGTTATTTCAATGCTAAATTCGCCTAGTTATTTCAATGCTAAATTCTCCTGTTTGATTTGTACTAAGTGCCTCGGTGAATGTGTATGCTCTGACTTTAACGTAGCTATTTCTGTGACCAGTTACAAGCTAATCACTCAGCTATTTCAATGCTAAATTCTATGCTAATTTCTTTGTCAAGGGGTGCCTCTGCGGATGTGTATGCTTTAACTTAGCTATTTCAATGCTAAATTATATGCTAATTCCTTTGTCAAGGGGTGCCTCTGCGGATGTGTATGCTTTAACTTTTAACATAGCTATTTCTGTGACCAGTCACAAGCTAATCACTCAGCCATTTCAATGCTAAATTATATGCTAATTCCTTTGTCAAGGCGCTTTGTTTCCTCTCACACAGCTTAAAAGTCGTGATCTGAACGTGGCTCTTTCACTCCAGCGCTGTCCTACCAGACAGTCTCGTACCTTCACCTGATGAAGGCTGCTTGTGTTGTGGCCGAAACGTCGTGAGAATATTATTGTGTTATTTTATTTTATCAATTTATTATTTTATTCTCATTCTACGTGACTTTACCGAAAGAACCAAAGAAGATGAATCATTGCAGTCACGAAAGCTTTAAATCGAAAGAATAATACTTGTATTTGTCAGTTCTAGGACTTAAAGTAAACATTTCAATTATAATTTCCGCTTTGATGTTTTTATATTTGGGTCACACTAACATTTTGTTCAGGTTTTGGGAAGAGATTCAAAGTTAAGTCAACATGCTCCAGATAAAGGTTCTCGGTGTGTTCATGTCGCCCGTGGACATGTTGAATGGAATTGAGGACGTGGTGATGGTGGAGCGTCGGTCACATGTCTGTATCATGAGAGCATGGGTCACGGTGAACAGTGATTTGTTTCCACCGCACCGTACCCAGGTGTGGCAGCTGGACGGTGGTGCGATGCCGCTGCACGTGCTACAGGGGCATACGGACTGCGTTCGCAGCTGCGGTTTCTCCCCCGACGGAAAGATCCTCGCCACCGGGGACGATGAAGGTTTCGTGATGGTAATGCAGCAGGAATCGAATAATCCACGCTAATGTGCAGGGAGGGGATCATGTCACAGAACCTGTAATCCACGGCGCACAACACGGAGGTTACAACTATAATCCGTAAAAAACAAAAATTCGGGCCGACACAGTGTGCCACGGATTACAGGAGGAAAGAGCTGTGTTATTTTTCATTTAAAAAATCACAGGTAACAGGGGAAGCACAGCATGTGACTAGCGGCTGTACTAATCCGATCTAAATTTGCGGATTAAAAGTATGTAATATTTTATGTGTGAAATAATATCTTGAATTTTTTTTAGACATGATGAAGTCTAAAAAATTCTGAAAGTATGACTTGTTTCCAGTGCGTTTACCCAGGTGGGGCAGGGGGATAAAGTACAGTGAGGGAAAAAAGTATTTGATCCCCTGCTGATTTTGTACGTTTGCCTACTGACAAAGAAATGATCAGTCTATAATTTTAATGGTAGGTTTATTTGAACAGTGAGAGACAGAATAACAACAAGAAAATACAGAAAAACACATGTCAGCAGCAAACGCATTCACCACTTATTGTTCGCGGTTTGAATCCGGCATACCGCCCTGATTAATAGTGCTGCTGTATTAACTGTATTAACCATAATATCAAAATGATTCGTCCTTGAGGAAAGCCTTAATGCCGATATTGCACATGGCTCTTACAGTCTTGAACTTTCCTCTCCTAGTGAACAGCTGTGGATTATGGGCCGTACCATTTCCGTGTCATTCATGAGGGCTGTTCAAATTTGGCTAATTTGGACCACGACGTCAGCACGTGATGGCCTACCAGTTTTTATGTGACATCACCAGATCTTTAACATCCACCCTGAAGCAGACCGTGTTATGGTTAATACAGTTAATACAGCAGCACTATTAATCAGGGCGGTATGCCGGATTCAAATCGCGAACAATAACTGATGAATGCATTTGCTGCTGGGACACGATGGTGGTGACGTTGGTGATGGGCACTGGGGACGATGGAGGCTTTGTGATGTTAATGATGAGAAGAAAAAGTCGTAAAAATGTTGCCAAAATTATCCAAGACCGAACATTGGTTAACGTGTGCATTGGGCCTAGTAATGTGGTGCGCATTTATGGTGGTTCCCTGTAACTGATTTCATCATCCATGATGATGGCAGGTCATGTGTTGGTGTGAGTGGCGTCAGGAATCACTGGGTTACGAACAAGACGCCTTCTTGATGTGACCATTCCTACAGCACGTGGACTCTACCTGACGTAGAGCACTTAGGGCAGTATTTTAATTTGAAAAGCAGCAACTTGTGTTGAGTTGTTTGCCAACATCTATGGCAGTATCTTTCAGCTTGTATGGCAAAAGTATATACGTCTCCACATATCTGTCATGTAACAAAAATAAGTGGGTTTTTTTACACATCCTAGCAACCACGTGACTTTCTTGAAATACGTTGCTTCAGCAGCATTGATTCAACACAATCAAACTCTGACCGGTTTTCACAACGTCCCATGTGATGTGATCAGCCTGTTTTTTGTCAGTTCAAGTTCAAACTGATATTCTGTTTAACCAGTTGAGAACCCAAGAAACCGAGGATTAGTCCCGTTTGCAAGACTGGCCTGGGTCACCCTTGTCAAGCACTGGTGCGGTGTGCTTGAAACTGCGTCTTTGTGTGGGCGTGCTGTGATGTCGTGGGAAACGGTAGTGTAGCGGTTAGCGCATTGTGCTACGAACCTAGTGACCCGAGTTGGATTCCCACTCTCACGGCCAACACCAGTGACGATTATCTGAACCGGTCCTGGGCCTCCCGTAGGTCGACTCAGCCTGAAATGAGTACCTGGTGCGGTGTGTAAACATCGCCACTGAAGGGACAAAGGCAGCCGGGACGTGGTGTTGGCCATCCACCCCCTCGTGTGCCGTGCCGGCCTTCATCGATGCTCGCATACAGCACTTGCCCCAACAGTCTGTTCAGGCTATACGGTGGATCTTTGTCTTTGCTGTGATATGAACCTTATGGAGGTACCCCGGGGTACCATAGTACCCCGGGGTACCATAGTACCCCGGCTCTCGCATAATGTCCATGATGCAGTCATTTTTAATCTGTTGATGGTCGGCGATTCGGCAATCGACTCATCTCGACGAGCTGTACACGATGCACCACTGCGGCGCGTACGAGCGTTCAGGGTTTCAGCGCAATCGTCCTCGCTGCATTTCGACATCGTGGAGTAGCACTGAGTTCGGATTGATTGGTACCCCAGTCGCGGAGTGAAGTGCACCCCTGGAAAAAATAATGTCCTAGAAATAAAATATTTAATTGCCTCGGCCATTCTGTATTATTTGGTACCCTGCGGTACCGCCATAAGGATCGTACGTGGAACCTTACGGTGTGTGTGTGAGTGTGGTATATGAAACGTTACGGTGTGGGTAGGCATTATATTGTGTGGTTGGTGTGGGTGTGGTGTGGAATGTGAACAGTTGCGGTGTAGTATGTCAAACATTTAGGTGTGGCCAATGTGATATTGAGTGCATGTGGTATGTGAAACGGTGTGTGGGTTTGCTCTGTGCTGCAGTTGTGGAGTGTGGAGAGCGGCCAGAAGTGGAGCTGCCAGCCGACGGCTCGCCATCACGCCTGGGTGACTCAGGTGTCCTTTGTGCGAGAGGGGCGGATATTACTCTCGGCAGCTGACAACATCAAAGTGAGCTATTCCTGATGTGCAACTCCTTCGGTGTGTGGCACTCTGCGCCTTCATCACTGTGTAACACCGTGCGGGCATTTGTGTCTATTTGTGTCTGTGTGTACACGTGTATTTGTATATATTTTGAAAGCGTCGATGCGTTTGTGTGCGCGTCTTTGCGTCTGTGTGCACGTGTCTGTGTCTTATCTGCGTGTCTGCCAGTTTTGGGATGTGGAGAGTGGACGTGTGCTACAGACGTTCTACCCTCGAGGGAGTCTCCTGAAGCGTGTGCACACCTCCCCAGACGGAAATCGGTTGGTCACCGTGGACTCCATTGGGCTGCTTTACATGCTGTCCCTGCTGCCCTTAGCCCCGACAGCGTCGACAGGACCCGTCCCACCAGCCAAGGCGAATAATCACGTGCAAAAGGAACCTCCGCGACTTGACTATGCAAATTTCAAGCAAGCCGAAGTGCCTGGCTCTGAAAATTAGCGAGGGTTTGAGTCCACGTTGATGTCTCACGAAGTGTGCTTTTGTCATGTAAACTGAAGACCTCTTCAACGTTATTTCCTGCTTAAATGAGCGTTGAGGCAGTGCTCACCTCCTGTTTACAGCCCTGAGCCAGTGTAAATGATACATTCCTATATCAAGGGTGGGTCTATCAATAAGATAACCACTGTTGACTAATGCACAAAGTGGTGCGTATTTTTATAGACTTTGGAGGGATCATGGGCTTGAGTCGAACCCCAAGCCAGGATTTGAACTGGCAGCCTTCTAATTGCGAACTTATTGCTCTACCAACTGAGCTACCTGGCTGGCCAATTATCTCTTGCCATATTTGCATTCCAATGTTTTTGTACGTGTTTTAAGTTTTACCAAAAGTGTAACTTTTGTATCTGCAGTGGCTCAAATTTTTGCAATTATCGGATTGTTTTACACTGTTTCTAGTGAATGCTATTGTGAGCCCGATGCTCGCGTAGTGATAGATAAGCAGTAAGCAGCAGGCAGCGGTGATGCAGAGGTAGAGGAGGAAAACAGTGCAGGAGGAAAATGTTGCAAAGCAGATGAGTAGGAGCTACCGGAGCTGAGAGTTTACTGGGATATGAAGGGATACAGACAATTCTAGAAGGCTGGCGAGGTCGATAAAATGGAACTGAGGGGGGAGAGTGGGAGGTGGGTTGGAGTGACGGACCGAACCGGAGTTGCAAAGCAGCGGAGATGCAGGGACAGGTCGAGCTTTGGGATGGTGCTGTTTGGGTTGGCGACGAGGGGAATTCGCTGAACATAGAAACTGGGTCAGAGAAGAAAATGTCACGAGTTGGTTATGGGAGATGCACAACAGCGGGTGACTGGTACCGTTCTGGCTAAGATACACAAAAGGGTTTTAAGACCAAACCTGAGAATGAGTATACAAGGTAGCTGGGAAAAAGCACGCAATGGTTTAACACTCTACCCACACTTAAGAGAGCACACCTACCTAATGTAAAGATAAGTCCGCATAAGCTGTGTAAAAAACCCGAAGCACACTTAACGCTGAGAGAACACACTCCTTGCACATGAGGCGAATACACACACATGATATAGGTATTGTTAGGTACGGGGAAATTAAAATCACTGTGAGAATTTGTAATGAGGCAGAGTACTTTATTTTTGTATTGGTGAATAGATTGGACACCGAAGAAGTTGGCAGTTTTCAGTACAGTTTTTGCTTCAAAGCAAAATACGGCAAAACGCTTCTCTCAACAAGGTCACATGAAATGTAAATGTGTATTTGTCGCTGTTAGCACCAAGAGTCAAATTTGTGTCTCTCCGTGTCGACAAACACCTTGAACCCTTGCTTGATCTCATTTGACAACCACGTGATCACGAAAAATGCCTTTGTAGTTGTGACGCAATCATCAGCTTGGTCCACGTCGCTACGGACCGGACAATTGTCACCACCGCAGAAATGGCTGATGAAAATAAATATCAACACTTTTAACTAAATATATCCTCTCAGTGTGGATATTTACGATGATGTTGGCTATTAACACTGAGGTAATTAACCACGTCCCTTTCCAATAACTTTACATGTGTCTAAGCATCTCTTATCTTATTACAGTACTAGCTTTACTACCCGGCTTCGCCCGGGATTTTGATTCACCACGCCCGGCCGCCTTTGTCTCCCCAGTGGCGATGTTCAAACACCACACCAGTTACTCGTTTGAGGCTGAGTCGACCTAGGTGAAGGCCCAGGACTGGTTCAAATAATCGTCACCGGTGGTGGCCGTGAGCGGGAATCGAACTCGGGTCGCCGGGTTCTTAGCGCAGCGTAGCGCTAACCACTACACTACAATGCGTTACGCTTCCACATGCGAGGGTCACGTGACAGATTTGACGTCACAGCTCACTTGCCGTGCAAAAAAAATGCATTATTGAGCCCCCCCTCCCCTAAAAACAAAAGTGTATTTTTATATTTTTTGCATGGTGAACAGTCTGGAAAGTACCCACATGGCAAATTTCAAGTTTGTTGCATGTCGGGAAGTACGCTAAACATTTTTAACAGACACACAATCACAACTTTACCTTTTATATAAATGGAGATGTTACAACAAAACAGCATCACTTATGCTTTCTGCCCTGTTCAAATGTGAGGTCTCAGCTGTGATGTCTCCTTCTCTGGCATTGCCATATTTCACCATCTGAACCGCGGTTTATGTATATATGTTGACCTTCCAACCGTGCTAATAGGAGTTGCGGGGATATTGATAAGGTAATTAGATCAACCCCCACCAGTGTGGCCCCCTTTCATGATGCCAGCTTGTCTGCGAGACATGGGGCGGATGCTCTGTGGCTACGTCAAATTTGATTTCACGCCTTGGTGCAATGACTCAAGATGCGCGTGCATAACCAAACCGAGATGCTCGTGGTTGGTAAAGAGGTCCTGTATATTCTTGGCTCTTTCGGTAAAGTCACGTTGAAGGGAAACAATAAAATAACAAAATATATATAAAACAATAAAAATTCTCACGTTTCGACCATAACACAAATGGTCATCATGATGAGCGTTTTATGGTCGAAACGTGAGAATTTTTATTGTTTTATGCATATTTTATTATTTTATTGTTTCCCTTCAACGTGACTTTACCGAAAGAGCTAAGAATATGAATTACTGCAGTCACGAAAGCTTTAAATCAAAATTTAGGTCCTGTATACACAAGTAAATCCGCGTGCTCTCAAATCTCGCGGTTGGTAAATTCGCGGTTGGCAAGGGATTACTGTTATCTCCTATGCCTTACCCAGTTTCAACTCTTCGACAACATACCCAAAGGAAAATGGGAGATAAACTCAACCATCAACAGGAATGTTTACACTCGTTGGACCAGCAGTCCCTGCGTCTTACCGTGATCTAGGGTACCGTAGTGGCTAGGAGATGTTATCTCCCTCACCTAGTTTTCAAGAGGTCGTGGGTTCAAGCCCAACCCTGATGCCTGCAAATTTGGAGTTTGCGCGTTCTCGCCGTGGTCGCGTGGATTTTTATCTGGGTCCTCCGGTTTTTCCCACAACATTTAGTCAGACGTTTATAGTATTTGGCTGCTTTTACATTTTCCACATTATAAGCCACTTTGTTGAGCTATCATTTGTGGCCAGGCCACCTCTGAAAAGGGGCGAATAGCTCAGTGGGGCCTTGCCTGGTAAATAAAGTTGTTTTAGTTGTGTATCTTGCTCAGACCACACAGTGTTTTTTTTTACTTGGGAGCTTGTTATATTACTCTGCATTGTGCTCTGCTCGCAACTACGGTGCTCAGAGAGAGTGATCCAGGAGCCAGTGTTGAACAGCCAAGACATCCTTTATTCAAGCACCCACAAAAGACTGCAATGTTATCAGACAAGGCTTACGACTCAGCCTGCAGAGACAACATGCCTTGCTCCAATCCCAAACAAGTAACCCAATCCCAAACAAGTAACCCAATCCCAAACAAGTAACCCAATCCCAAACAAGTGTAATAAACGACTTCCACTACTTCTTGGGACTTGCGTCTTTATTGGTTACGACTGCTCGGCTTCACACTCTCTCCCCAGATGGTCTCTCTCTCGCTCTCTCTCACACCGGGGCACGCGCTCACGGCTTCTCTGCTCTGCGCGTGGCTTCTCTCGCGTTCCCCGCACCCCGCTGGTTGACAGCGTCGGAGATCGCTGCCCTCGAGGATGCCACGTGGTCGATGGCTGACGAGGGTGGAGGAGACGCGGTCCGAACCCAGGCTTCCACACCGAGTCCCTCTCCTGCCTCTCCTTATATCCGCCTCGGCGGAGCGAAGCCCCCCCCTCTAACCACGCCCCCCCCCCCCCCTCAGAACCTTCCCGATGGTTCCCGCATACCCCCCTGAGCTCCGCCCATGAACTTCGGCCCAGATGGAACCCATAGCCCTGATTGGCTATCACCGATGAGCCAATAGGTATGCAGTCCTCCGTCACCCGTCGGTGTGCTCTCTCATAACACAAGTAACCCAATCGCAAACAAGTAACCCATCCCGTGTTGACTTTAATTCCACATTACAAAGTATCAAACATGAATCGTCACAAATATATGGTAATTTAACTCGAATAATTAATAGTCCTGTACCCTTAATGTGTATGAATTATGTTACATTGACTAAGAATTACTTTGATTCAATATGAATGCTAGAGCTCCGTGTGAACGTGACTCGTGAACTGGAAGTAATGTGTCTGCTTCATATGCCGGAAGGTGTGAAGCTTAATCTGGAGCACCCCCCCCCCCCATTCAACCTCTCCGTAAGCAAGTCGCACACGCTGAAGTTACGCGATTCCATCATACCACGAGGGGGTGTGATCCCATTAATAAATTCGTCACGTACATATTGTATACACCACCTGTTACAATCAGCCCCCCCACTGAATTGTACTTAGACCGCATTACCCTCAATTGGCAAAACATCTCCACCATAAACTAAACAAAACGGGAGACGACCCTGCGTTATTTTACGACAACCTTGCACCCGGGCTCAAAATTGTACGCGGAACGACTAAGCTTCGTAACAGCTCCCTGTATCAACAGATTTGAAGAACACCGCGAGTGGCCAACCACCTTATCCTCTTTTTGTTCGCAACTCGCCCAACTACACTCCCAGAACTCCTGTGCCGAGTCCCACACAAAACTGGTTGAATGAGTCCCTTTGAATCAAATGATTGTCCACCATTAATTTAATGCACACTCGCGTCAAACGGTGATTGAGCCCTCACCCCACGGAACTATCACGTTCACCTTGAATCATAAACAATGTTCGTGATTAACTTCACATCACAGGTCTTACAAATCTACCAACCCTTGTGCTATAGTTCCATGTGTAGTGTGTGTGTGTGTCTCACGAGGCACACACAGAAGTCTGGAGGCACCACGATTTATTAACCGAACAGGGCTACGGGTTAACAACACTCGGGGTTATTCTAGACCCCCAAAAGGGGTCTCTGCATAAACTGAGTCCCCGTCGACCGTTGCTCCAAGACCCCTGAAGCAACGCCGCACGGTTAGCCATCCACGATGGCTCCGCCCCCGTCCCTCTTATCCCCTCAAACGTCACCTCACTCCGCCTCCGGCCACGCCCCTTCCTTGGTCTCTCGCGACGGAACCGGAGCCAGCGTCACATGTCCCTCCGGGGCCCCCGTTACCGCTACTACATATCGGCACGTCCCCTCTCTCTGCGACGGGACCCTGCTCTGTAGGGCCTGGTTCCCCGCCACGTCTCCGTCGGCCCCATCGAGAGGCACGTGCGCGCTCATTCACCAGTTGTGGTTGTAGTCGGCTTATACGCCGTAGAGACGCTATTTACGTCTCTACACATGCGTTGTCACAGTGTTTATCCCTTGCAACAGCTGATAAACTGTTAGAGTCCTGACTCATCACGGGTGAACGACGTCATCCTTCAACAAAGAGGTCGGGCCAGGAAATCGTGGTGATCCTGCACTATCGCAGGCTGATGGTGATGCATCTGAAATGACCGGAGGCACAACACTTAATGGCAGGCAATGAAATTCCATTGTCATATCCCGACGCTTGGACTTCTCCGCAGCTGAGTCGTTGTTCCCATCTTGGACGGTCAAAGACGCAATATTGAGTCATTGCATTACAACTTTGAGGGAAAAAAAGTGTGTGGTGAGGTCTTAATTATTAAATATTGTGATCATTTTTTATTCTCACGGTCTCATTGTTTAGGAGTGTGGGTTTTTTTTTCACTTTCTTCATCAGCTCCGATCACAGATTAACTTTCAGCACTGCAAGCAGTCCCTAACTTATGAACGTCCGACTTACGAACATCCGCACTTATGAACGAACCATCCTAAAAAATTAATCTTCCGACTCGCGAACCGAACCATGGAACTATTTTATTCGCAGGAGAGATCCTTCGCAAGATGTAATGAGTCCCAGCATTAATCTGGGAGTAAATGTGTGGGGAGCGGTGGTGTAGCGGTTAGCGCGCTGCGCTACGAACCTGGCGACCCGAGTTTGATTCCCGCTAACGGCCAACACCAGTGACGATTATCTGAACCGATCCTGGGCCTCCTCTAGGTCGACTCAGCCCGCTAACGGCCAACACCAGTGACGATTATCTGAACCGATCCTGGGCCTCCTCTAGGTCGACTCAGCCTCAAATTAGTACCTGGTGCGGTGCGTAAAAACATTGCCACTGGGGAGACAAAGGCGGCCGGGCGTGGTGCTGGCCACCCACCTCCTTGTGTGCCGTTCTGGCCTTCATAGGCTATATACGGGGGATCTTTGTCTTTTGCATGCACACTGTGTGTGTGTGAAAGTGAGTGTGTGTGAAAGTGAGTGTGTGTGAAAGTGTGTGTGTGTGAAAAGTATGTGTGAACCTGCAGCAAAAAAACCCCTACCTCCTCGGTGGTGCTGGGCAGTAACGTTGTTGAAGATGAGAGCAATGCCATGGGGTGAAGGCCAATTCCAATCGGCTGTTCCCCTCATGGTGCTCATA